CTTTGCCGCTGCTGTCTCCTCCGGAGAGCAGAATGAGCTGCAAGAAGTCTTGGGCTGCATGAATATTGAAGAGAGAATGCAAAAGGCCTTGATCGTGCTCAAGAAGGAACTCATGAATGCCCAGCTCCAGTCCAAGATTACCAAGGATGTTGAGAGTAAAATCAGCAAGCGCCAGCGGGAATATTGGCTCATGGAGCAGATGAAGGGCATCCGTCGTGAGCTCGGCTTGGAATCAGACGGCAAAGACAAGCTTGTGGAGAAGTTTAAGGAAAAGGCTGCCAAGCTTGCCATGCCTGATCCTGTCCGCAAGGTCTTTGATGAGGAGATTAACAAGCTGGCCCACTTGGAGACGGCCGCCTCAGAATTTAATGTTACGAGGAACTACCTGGACTGGCTCACCCAGATCCCCTGGGGCCAGCGAAGCCCAGAGAACTTTGGTATTCCGAACGCCGTCAAAGTCCTCGACGAGGATCACTATGGTTTGCAAGATGTCAAGGATCGAATCTTGGAGTTCATTGCTGTGGGTAAGCTGCGTGGCTCGGTTGAGGGCAAGATTCTTTGCTTTGTCGGCCCTCCTGGTGTCGGCAAGACGAGTATCGGAAAGTCCATCGCCAGAGCTCTTAACCGAGAGTACTACCGCTTCAGCGTTGGAGGTCTTACCGATGTTGCAGAAATCAAGGGCCACCGAAGAACATATGTCGGTGCTCTTCCCGGTAGAATCATCCAGGCTTTGAAGAAGTGCCAGACCGAGAACCCTCTCATTTTGATTGATGAGATTGATAAGATTGGCCGGGGCTACCAGGGAGATCCCTCCTCGGCCCTGCTGGAACTTTTGGATCCTGAACAAAACAGCTCCTTCTTGGATCACTACATGGATGTCCCCGTCGATCTGTCAAAGGTCCTATTCGTTTGCACAGCCAATATGACAGACACCATTCCCAGACCTCTTCTGGACCGTATGGAGCTCATCACTCTGTCCGGATATGTCGCGGATGAGAAGAAGGCCATCGCCAACCGCTATCTTGCGCCAGCTGCCAAGGAGGCAGCCGGTCTGAAAGACGCTGATGTCCAGCTCACCGACGAGGCCATCGACGAGCTTATCAAGGCCTACTGCCGAGAATCAGGTGTGCGAAACCTGAAGAAGCAGATTGAAAAGGTCTACCGCAAATCAGCGCTGAAAATCGTCCAAGAGCTTGGAGAGGAAGTCCTACCCGAAGAAAAGGCTCTGACAGACGAAGGCAAGGCCGCTGCGGAAAAGGCCAAGCAGTCTGCTGCGGAGGCTGAGGGCAATGAGAAGAAGGCCGCCACCGAGGCTAGTGAGGACGAGACTACAGAAAAGCCACGAAAAGCGTTACAAGTACCAGACAGTGTCCATGTTAGCATCGGAAAGGACAACCTGACCGACTATATCGGACCCCCAATTTTCACATCTGACCGCTTGTACGACGTGAGCCCGCCTGGTGTCTCCATGGGCCTGGCCTGGACACAGATGGGCGGCGCTGCCATGTACATTGAGTCCATCCTTCAAGCACCTCTCCGACCGAGCTCACGACCCGGCCTAGAAATCACGGGTAACCTCAAGAACGTCATGAAGGAGTCAACTACAATTGCCTACTCGTTCGCCAAGTCATTCGTGGTCAACAAGTTCCCCGAAAACCACTTCTTCGACAAGGCTAAGATGCACCTTCACGTTCCCGATGGTGCTGTTTCCAAGGACGGTCCCTCTGCTGGTATCACCATGACCACTTCGCTGCTGTCTCTGGCACTGGACGAGCCGGTCAACCCCACCGTGGCAATGACTGGTGAGATTACGCTGACCGGCAAGGTCCTCCGCATTGGTGGACTGCGGGAGAAGACTGTGGCGGCCAGGAGAGCGGGATGCAAGACTATCATCTTCCCCAAGGATAACATGTCAGACTGGCTGGAACTTCCTCAGGTATGTTTTTCTTCTTCATCTCACACATCCTTCCTTTCTTTAACCGCCTTGAACTTGTGCTAACAATGTATTCTCACTCATATATAGACCATCAAAGAAGGCATTGAAGGCCACGCTGTAAGCTGGTACTCTGAGGTCTTTGACCTGGTTTTCCCCAACCTGGACCGCCAAAAGGCCAACACTTGCAAGATTTGCGAGTGGAAGGCTGAGCAGAAGAAGAAGAAGGACGATTCTGAAAGCAAGGAGGACGATGATTAAATACACACTGACATGGCATATCTTGGAAAGCATACGAGAGCACGAGGCCATCATCTCACTTCGCAGAGGAGAGAAGAATATTGAAGAAACTCCCGTTCCTCTCTCTGGATAAGCTTTATCATCCCTATTCCCTCAACTACAACAACACGTCACAGGCACACATTGTCATATGATTCATATGATGACACGAGAGGAGAACAAGCCAGGCATTTTCCAACTTATCCTTGTTTGATTTTCGAGCAGAGCAAGGACTGGGAAACAATGACTTGGCGGACAGATATCACTCCCATTCATTTTGTAAAAACACAAAAATCAATTTGGCCATTCTTTTTGTTTAATCTTGTCAGGGGGAGAGACCAAACAACGAAAGAAAGGGGAATTGGCATTCATGTATATTAGATCCAAATTCAGTCGGCGAGGGCAGGCAGGCGAGGAAATGTAGAATATTTCGGGGCGCTTAGACGCGGCAAAATCTCCAATTCATAGAAGCAAGGGCAGGGAAGGAAATTCAAGTCTAGGTATATAGTATATCGACGCATAGCACAATGAAGAAAAAAAAACAGGTTTCATCATCTAGTCTTGAAGCCGAGTTATGTGTGTCATGGCTGTAAATCCCATGTGACATGACGTGGTGTAGTGAAGGAGAGTTGATCACTTTGTTTGTTGTTCGGTCAAGGCCTTGGCGGTAAAATAAGCTGACATCACTTTTAGCAGGTATTGCAGAGATAGCTCCAGTTTACAAGTCTAGAGGAAGACAAATGTTGGTCATTCACAGCGCGGCAGTAAACAACATCACTTTCGGTGTCTACCAAGGCGACTGGAGTTGATGTGGCAGCGCCTTCACGGGTATCTCCGGTTGCACAAACTGTGCCTTGTGCAAAAACAAGTCATGTTCCGTGTCAATGCCTTACGGTTCGCGGCCAGCGCTACAAAGCTTTTTCCCCCGAGCCAAGCCAGGCCGTTGTGGGCGGCCATCTTTATGCTGTCCCATCTGAAACGGCGCGCGTGGGGTTGAAAGTGAAAGCTCCGATCTGGCGTTGCGGGACGGTGGTGCGGGACGGGCCTAGGCTAGAATTGGGCGTCCGAGCCTATCAGGTTGACTGTGAATATTCGTGACCATTGGTTGATGGCGAGCAGTGATTCTCTAATATGTATGTACTGTAACGGTTCCTGGTATTTAGCAGCAGTAGTAGCATTACGACTTTAACGGTTCGGTCTTGTTTACGGCTAGAGTTTCCTCTCAGGAGAAAAGACGTTTGAAGCACTGATGCAAGGGGAATGTGCGTAAAGTGATGCATCACTCGGCCGTTGCTGATCCGGTTGATGCTCAGCCCAACCAACAACCCCGCGGCTGTGCCCAAGCTAAGTGCTAAACCATGAAGCCATGGCCAGAACTGGCACTCTATCCAAGGCGACTAAGTTGATGCGAGAAAGGCGAGCAGACGGACGAGGCATGTGCATTGCGCGAGCTGCATGCGGGAGGGCACGCTTGGGCGATTGTTGCGAGCGCGGCCTGTATGACTGGCGGTATCATGATGAGCGCATGTAAGTCTAGCGATGGCAGCCTCATCTGCTGTCCAGTTGGCCCGGCTAGCAATGCAGTCATGCCTGACCCCACACTAGACCTGGGCAGAGGTCCAGAGCATGCGCCTTTATCTGCGCACCAGCAGTCGGGGAAGCGATGATGATGAGATTTGCGGCTGCTGGACAAGAAGAAAAACAAGGAACGCTGGGCATCGTACTGGACAATCCGTCCGTCGCCCACGACTTCTCCGTAATGGCCCAGGCGCATTCAAGAGCTGCTGCCAGCATGACGTGCGTACGCAGGCCAGATCATCTCGGAACGGGGGCCCGGGCTTGGGGGGCTGACAGATGAGTCTGCGGATGCATTTCGTCTACGACCGGTAGGGATGAGAGATAGGGGCAGCAATTTGCAATTTGCAATTTTCCCGTCGAGCGATGGTAGCCTTTTCGTATATGTAATTTGTACTTGGCAATTTGTCGTTGTAATTCCGAGTAGGTACCTAGTAGTAATACCACATTTTGCTCGTCCAATAGTGTATGACGCTCAGCAGTAGATATCATGTTGGTGATGTCGCTGTTGCTTGGCCCATTGGGCTCTGGCTACCAACCCACTCGATTCGCGAACGGACTCATCGTGCCAGCTTCGTGGTAGCGATCATTATATGATGGATACCTGACTTGGAATATGGCCCAACCTTGTGATGGCCCGTACTGTAGCCCAAATCCAGTGTTCTTGAAATTATCCTCCCAAGGATTCCGGAAAGGCCGAGTCCTGGCGGATGGCTACTAGGTCCAAACAGTGGTATGTGACTAGGGCAGTAAGATTCTAAAGAACCATGGCCTGAAAGTGATGATTCTGCTCAGTGGCAGCACAAGTACCAGCATGTACCAGCTGCCCTGACAGATTGGCCGTCCGAGTACCGAAGCGATTGATTAAGCGTCCATGTACGATGCGGCATAGTCCGATCTACGTAGCCTGCTGGCAGAGACCTGGACCCTGCGGACTGGAGCCTGTGTCAGACCTACCATCACTAGCATGGCCTTCCCACAGTACCTGTTGTACATTGACAGCGAACCTACAGTAGCACGACAACGCTGCTAGACTCGTATTCTCGTCAGGTTCTCCGAGGCCTAGTTCGCTGCCCAACTGCCACCACCCGGTTCGTGGCTGGCCCGACGTCCAAGCTGTCGGTGCAACGACGCCAGCAAAAAAAAAAACAGACAACCTGGCAGCCAAGCTAGGAGCCCATGATGGCACTATTGCTGATCGCATGCCCGGCTGCTAGCGAGCAGGACTTGAGTCGAGTGGTAATGCTGGTCTGGCACTGGTGCTCGGTATGAGACCTACCACCGGCAAGGCGTCGTTGCCATGGCAATCGCAGCAGCTTCGGTCGCTTCCCATCACGGCTCTGCTCTCCGTCAGTAGGGCTCGACAAATAGAGTAAGCGGGCGGAGCTGGCCAGGTCGTTGGCGAATTGGCGGTCACCAAGGCGAGCAGATGAGCAGCGCGGTCGATGGGGCAACGCCTTTGTTTATGGTCCGGATTGACATTGACTGCGGCCCTGGCCCGGAGAGCTGCGAGATGCGCGGGTTGGGTACAGATTGCTGGCAGGATTGGCGGCAGAGAAGGACTTAATGAGTCGAGGTTGAGCATCATGAATGACCTAAAAGACATGAATGGGTCAATGGCTTCTGCCACATGCGAGGAACGCGAAAACAGCCCATCACAGGTGCAGGCCCCGCTGTGACAGTGGCTGCGGCCCTGCTGTTGGCGCGTCATGCCACCGCCCATTGCCCGTTTGGAGCAGCGGGAGGGTGCCATCCAGCGCTGTGGCCGCCCATTGCAGCGACGATTGGCAGCCCGAGGTCCACTGAGAGCAGCCGGCGCACCCTGGATTTTCTGGCCAGCGGGCGAATGCTGTAGCCACAAGCCAAAGGAGGGGTCCAGCGGCGCCCAACCCGCAGTCCGGCTGCAAAGTTGACAGCGCTAAGCAGCAGCTAGCAAGGGCGACGGTGCTAGTCTAGCTTGCCGTCTGGTGCGATGGAGCACGAGCAGCAACCGCAACCGCAGCCCGCTAGCGGCAGGCGACTATGGCGGGCTTTCGGGCACGACTCCAGCGGCAAGCCTAGCCGCTAACGAGCTGTTCAGTCCATCGAGGCTTTGAATCGACCTGTTCCGTTCCGCTGCCTTGGGCTTACAGCGTGGTTGATGCTGCTACTGCAGGATGTGTCTGTCAGGCCCAGGCCCCAGAGGCTGCTTCTGGATGCTTGGGATCAACAGCAGTACACAGGTACAGGTACCGGTACAGATACAGGTACGAGCAGAAGTGGCTGTCTGTCCTCTGTCTGGAGCTGCTGGGATTCGATCCCACGTACCTACTTACTGTACAGGCGAGCACCAGGTAGGCCTTTTGCACCAGACCGGGAGCTTCTGGAGCCAGAGCCAGAGCCAGGAGTCTGGGTTCTTGTTCTTGTACCGAGTACGACGGGGTACGCTGCCCCTCTGGCTGGGAACGACGGGTACCCACGACGTGGTGGCCGCACAAGGCTGGTCACGACCCCAGAAATAGCCCGCGTCCCATTTTCCAGGGTTCAATCTGCATGTACCTGCTGGTACTGCCTACCTCTGCCTCTACCTCTGCCTCCATGTACTGGACTGTACTCCGGATATCTCGTCTCGTCGTTGTTCATCTCCAGATCAACCCGGCTTCGACTCTTTTCGTCGCTCTCGCCAACCTCCTCCGTGTCTCTCAGGCCGCTCCACCTTCTTCTGCCTCCCCTTGCCGCGAGCGCTGCCTCCTTTTTTCCCTTTCCATCTTCTGCCCATTTCCCCTTGTCCATCGTGGGGGAGCCGAAGCCTTTTATTTGTGCCTCGTCGCCCACATTTTGCCTCGCCCCTCGAAGCGGCTCTTTTACACAGCAGCAAACAAACTCCGTCCATCCATCCCTCCCGCCTTGCCCCTCGTCCTGGCCTCGCCTCGCCTCACCTGCTCTCACCGCGCATCGTCCGCCAAGCTGCCGTTGTTACTGGACAAGCAACTGGGCTGGCCAGCCACTCACAACGCCCGGCCTCGTCTCGTCGTCTGCCTGCGGTTCGCCATCCACTCACCGGCCGCCTTGTCGTCTCCCTGCGTGCGTCCTCCGCGTCGATCACAGACAATCCGCCTCTTGTTCTTGACTCATACGCAGTCAAAAAAAACCCTGGCAGCCCCCCCGTGATCTATTCGAGCTCGTACAGGCTTCTCTTCTCCAGCAGCTTTCCGCCCTGCTGATCCCTGGCGAAGCTATCTGTTCGGTCAATCGGCATATATAGCAACGGCCTGCCTGCTTAGCTTCCATAAAAGCTCAAGCACCCCTCCTTGTCGCAGCTTCAGCCTCACGACAGGCTGTCATCGCTCGATAATAAAGCCGTTTTCTGACATCTCACTGGTTAAAAAGACATACATTTAAGGAGCGACAGAATCTGACCATTTACTGTACCATCGCGCACCATCTATTAGGTACTGCCTACTTATATAGTGGGTACTTGATGCTCGCAGCCGCACACCGCATATCGACAAGTACCTTGTATAACATCGGGATCGAGCCGGTTGCTCAGCATGTCTCTCCCAGATGGCCGTCCATGCACGTCGCCGTCGCTTCTGCACCCTCAGTCGCAGCCGCAGTCGCCGCTACCCGTCAAGCAGGGCTTTTTGCGCAAGCTCCTGGCCCGCTCAGCAAGCACAAGAAGCACAAAGTCGTCGGCTTCGTCTGTTTCCGCCGACCAGCGACTTGCCCCCGAGCCCATCTCCAGCCCCGGCCTGATCAAGCGCATGTCAAAACGAGTCGTGCCTGGCCTGCCTCGAACCCAGACATTCAAGCGCCAGCTGTCGGAAGATAGAAAACATCTGGCTCCTGTAGAGCCCTCAGCAGAGGAGCGAAGGGCGGCGTCCGTCGACAGGCGGGCTCACTATCCACGCAAACCCAGCGGGCGAGTCTCAAAAACTCACGTCGACCCTCACTCCAGTGCGCCGAGCTTCTTCGGCGAGCTTCTGCACGAAACTACTTCAAACTATGCACAGTCGCTTCCCATCGACCTCGCTGAGTTCGAGGCGGCGGATGCGTCGTCCGACATTCCGCATGCCGAAACGGATGATTCAGATATCGACGGCCATGAAGATGACGATGCCGATGACGAATACGCCACACAAGACGCGGCGTCTATTGCCGATACTTGCTCCATGACCACGTCGCAGTACGAAGCAATGATTCTTGACAAGTTAGAGCGGGAGTGGATTCTCAACCTGAGCATGCACTTTAGAGACCGTTCAAAACGAGAAAAGTTCTTTGTGACATATCGTGAGGAAGAACATATTTGGCGCCGCGTCACCATCTCATTGGATTATCGTGATGCGCCAGAAAATTCTCTAGAGTGGGATCTCAGCCGCACTAAATATCAAAGGGATAAGAGCACCAAGATATACGAGGCTATCCGCGACAGTCTGCAGGATATCCAATTTTACGACTCAGTGACCAACCTGAAGCTCGAAACTACTGACGGAAGACTGCATGTCCACGTAGTCGAGGACGGTAATGTAAGTGACTTACCCCCACGTCATCTATTGGGACCCATGGCCGTTTTCAATGGCAGACTAATAACGATTCACCCTCAAGGAAATCATTCATTACCCCACCGTCAGCCAGATTCGGCACTTAGGGTGTAAAAGAGTCAAAGAGCGAGACATTGTTTTCGATTCCCACATGTCTGGCTTTGTTTACAAAGTCAGCGTGATGGGCAAGATGCTGATCAAGAAGGAGATTCCCAGCCCCGATACCGTCGAAGAATTCCTCTACGAGGTCAATGCTTTGAGCGGCCTGCGCTTTTCAAAGCACGTTATTGACTTTTACGGAGTTGTAGTCGACGATGATGATGAGCAGGTCAAGGGCCTTCTCATCAGCTTCGCTGGCCAGGGCGCCTTGATCGACATCATCTTTGAGAATTGCAAGGAAAACAACATTGGTCTTCCTTGGAGTACAAGAGAGAAGTGGGCAAGACAGATCGTCCAGGGACTGGCTGATGTCCACGAATCCGGATTCGTCCAGGGAGATTTCACCCTATCGAATATCGTCATCGACGATGCTGGCGATGCCAAAATCATCGACATCAATCGACGAGGCTGTCCCGTGGGATGGGAGCCTCCGGAGGCGACGGCCCTCATCGAGTCTAACCAGAGACTATCGATGTATATCGGGGTCAAGTCGGATCTGTATCAGCTCGGCATGGTGCTCTGGGGGCTTGCAATGCTTGAGGACGAGCCTGAGACGCAGGGTCGGCCGCTCATCCTGGGGCCAGAGATTAACGTACCGGATTGGTATCGACAAATGACAGAAATTTGCCTCAGCGATGACCCACGCATGAGGTTGCAAGCCTCGTCACTGCTGCGTATGTTTCCACGAGCCGTCCCGGACGACGAGCACAGCGACGCACTGCGCTCGGATCACGATCCAGTGCGCGTGGATAATGGTGCCGTGAACAACGAGTACCTTTCTGATGGCTACGACGTCGAGTCCCACTCCGCAATGAGGACGGCTGACCTTGACGAGGAACTGGCCTATCCAAGCTCAACATATCTGCATAGCGGGCCTCTTCCTTACGACCAGTACTATACGAGTCGGGGCAGGTCACCACCAAGCCCACTGCCTAGCGATATGGGCGGCGGTGAGGTGGCATACAAATCCGCCTGGGCGGCAAACAAGAACATTGCTCCCTCTTACAGCGACAGCGGGGATAGCTATGTGATTCCGGACAGTGAATATGACGTACGGCGACAGCCAACTCCGACGCCGTCGGCTGAGAGATTCCTGAACATTAGCGATCGACGTTCAAGGCCCCTGAACCAGCTCAGTACATATGAAAGCACAGAGTACTTTACAGCCACTGATGATGCAGCTTCCAGGTCCGGGCATGGACTATCCGTTCCAATGGCACCCGAATCAAGCTGGGGAGGGTCAGCCGCCAATGATGTGTTTGAAGACGCAGACGCTACGCTGGAACCAAGGGACGCGGATGAAGAGAATTATTTCGCCAATACAATCCCCGCTGTGATTGTTACCGAGTCACCTGTTAGCGCAGTAGCTCGGCCAAGGAGCATTGTGTCTCTGGATGAGATGCTTGAGAGGGAAATTGACGGAGAAGAAGATGCTGGCAGGCAAGACTCTGCTATTGACATCGACTTTGAAGCTCAAGAAGCGACCATTATCCCGGATGTCAACATCGAAGCGCCTCGGCTAAGCCCGAGACTCAAGCTTTCGAAAAACACAGCCAATATCAAAGTTAAGCGGCTTAGAAAAGCCTCACCCAGGTCACCTTCGTCTCACGCAACACGCCAACAGACGGATGCAGCTGATACACTCATTTCAACAGACGCGACCGCGAGCTCCAGGGTGGACGACGGGGCAGGACTTCGGGTAACGACGCCTGAAACCGAGTCGGAACCTGATTATATCGCCTCGCGCTCGCCGGGCTTCAAGTCGCCTGATCCCCGGCAAAGCTACAACGCTAGCGGTGCGCAGAGAGCCGGGCAGCTTCTTAATGCAGGCGGTACGAGTGAACGCTGGGTCTCGCCAAGCGAGGAGACGTTGGGCCAAACTGAACCAACCGGCGGATTCACGTATCCCAGACACGGAACTATTCCCGTGTCACTGACGGGGATTGGAGCAGCCCACCTGGAGCTTGAAGGAGATTTGTTGCAGGAGAAGGGACTCATCGATGATGAGTTTCAATTAATGACACGACCCGAAGCGGCAACGCCGCTCATGATTACGACAGATGCGCAGACATGAACAACCAGACACACACATATATACACACAGATCTCATTGGCATACAGCGATAGCCTGCTCTTTGTTTGACTTTACTGCCTTACTTTTCACTTTCATTATTTTTTTTTCGCATCTTCTCATCACTGTCTCTCTCTCTCTCTCTCTCTCTTTTTTTTTTTTTCTTTGATCTCATTTGAAATATTGTTGGCATTATGCTTTCTTGCGACTCTCCTTGTGTAAAGTAGATATAACTGCGCAGGCAACTGACCTGGCTTCTTTTTCTTTTTACGATTTTTGGTTATGAGTATTTATGGATATCACGGCATTGGAAATGACATGGGCCAGCAAGACAGCATAGCGCCGGACTAACGAGTATGAGACATGATTAGTTGGCAATCAAGTAGAACAAATTGAATATCAAGATGTTGTTCAAACGAGTGTGCTGTGAATAGTGATTGAACATTAAGATGATATTCAAAAGAGGAATGCGTTGAACAGTGTTGTGCCATGTCTTTTCTACGTTACGTTCAAAGAATGCCCATTATGGAAATATTCTGGAAGGGCACTAGAAGCCGGGTGAGGCTGCTCGTGTGGCGTCTTGCAATGTGGCTACTAAGCCTAGCGCTGTGTAACTCGAAACGAAGGTTGGCCGTTTTCGATATCTTTTCGATTGTTTTCTGTTGGGGAGGGGGCGTGTATCTAGTAGACGGAATCTGGGGAAAGCAAAAAAACATGCGCACAGAATGATGGGATGAATGAAAAGCTGAGTACAGTGGCGACCGAAATGAGTGTCCGCTTCTATTAATGTAAAGCTTCTCTCCGCACAGACCACTTTGCGAAACTGTGGCTGGTACAGTGCTAATCTCCTCTTATCATCATGTACTGTACTGTCTTATAGCCTAAGAATTCCGTCTATTTTTAAATAAAGTGCCATTTCTGGCGCCTAGTTGCGGGCTACTGTCGCCATTATCCTAGCAACTGAATTACAATATAGTAGTGGCGACACGGTTCTACCCTACTAGATTTTAAACCAGATAGTATAGTATATATTTCAAAACGCCCCTTCAACCATCTATTATAAAGTTATGAATATATGTTAGTATAACTAGATGTGAAACCGGCTTCCTCTCCAATGTTAACTCTCGTGATGTTGAGCACGGACCACATGCTTTGGGTACATAAAGATATATATAAAATAAGCCAGAACTGGCTCTTGTCATTACCCATTTTGGCCGTGTATTAACTTTCTGACAAGTGCCTAGAAGTAGAGTAGAACTATATTCCAATCTTAATATTGTGTTAACAACTGGCTATCTGAAACTATCTGACTGAGTGTCGCGATTTGAACTTATATAGCAAGTTGTTTCTTATAGAACGCCGGAGCCTATTGTTTCATCTTCCTTATGGAACGCTCGTGTGCAGCATTCCTGGTGTGGGAGTGTTCTCGTACAGCGTTTCCAGTCTAAGGATGCTCAATATACTGTAGCAATCCTCCTTCTGATTGGTTTTTGTCGGGGATTTATGATCTAAAGTGCGCATCTTTTGTGATAGCATAAGTTGTCAGGTCGTGACAGAGAGAATAAAGTTCATAGAGACTAGCGAGTCAAGGTTAGTGAATTCGTCTCTTATATGAATTACAGGCCGGATAATTGCTCGCCACTGTGGTATGTGTAAGTAGCATAGCTCTCCAGTTACACGCATGTATTATATACTGCCCAAGCTCTAAAAGCTAAAGGGAGTCGCATCAGGAGTGGACGAAGAAGAGAGCGATTCTGCCAAGACAGACGACCCATGCACGCGACACGCAAGGGTCTTATCCGAGGAGGCGGGGATATCCTTACAGCGTACTCGTAGGGTTAAATGACCCTGGCACATGCATGCAGTGCAACGATAGCACTACTAGGCCGCTTCGTTCTGCAATTCAGTGGCTGGGAGAAGGCACATGCAGTCTTTATTTTCCATCTGTTCAGTTTTCCACCAGCTTACAAATTTTCGAGTAGGTAGGTCTCTCATTACCTGTCTCAGTTACCCGCGTCTTGAATTTCGCGAATTTTTTTTTTTTCCCACTGCGTACTCGCACTCATTCCTCCCACGATGGCGTCCGTCTTGCCCCTCCGCTTACTCCGCTACGATGCCGCCACTCAAAGCTTTGCCGTCGTGCAGCCCAATGCCCCGGGTGCACCTAGAGTGCAGTCGTTTGACATAACTTCGTACACGTGGGGACTGAAGAGAAAGATGCCGTTCAAAACTAAAATAGAGGGAGTGACCTGGCCCTTGTACTTGTCCAAGAAGAAGCTGCGGAATATCAAGAAATTGATGGTGCAAGGCGGGATTGAATATATATGGGCGGATTGCGTGTGTATCAACCAGAGCGACGATGCTGAGAAGGCTCGCGAGGTGCCCAAGATGTACGAGTACTACAGGAGCGCTCGCAAGTGCCATATACTCCTCGAGATTGACGAGGTGTGGGACCCTCAGAAGACGGTCGCCAATCTCGGATTCGTGGGCCACATTATGTCGCAAACGAGTGGTGAGGCGATCACCTCGGAAGCGAAAATGACGCAAAATATGGTCGACAGCCTGTCTGAGTGGGCTAATACTGCGCCCTGGGCCTTTCCCATGGATAAATCCATTGTCAAGTCGGCTTCTATAGATATGGGCGTTCTTAACTGCTACTCCACATGCGTCAACCAAGTCAAGGCCGTGTTCGACAATGTGTACTTTCGACGCGTCTGGACGTACCAAGAGATGCTGCTGGGTAAGAACACCACACTGTGGAGTGTCGACAAGACCACGTTATCGTGCGCAGGCGAGTTGGGTGTCTGGATGGACCTGGCGACCGACTCGAGGGACAAGGCGTCCAAGCTGTACGACTGGATCAATGATTCTCGTCATCTCAAGACCACAACCCAGAGCATGATCCTAGCCTTGATCAATTATGACAGTGACATCCTCCGTACCCTGCAGGTGGTAGTGGAAGGTATCAACGCTGCAAGAGGCGACATCATCAACGGCGGCCCTTTGTGGTGGAAAAGAAACCACAAGGGCGTCGGCAACGTGTTCTCGTCCATCTCCATCATCCCCCGAAAGGCGACATGGAAGCCCGACACCTTCACGGGGCTTTTGGGTGTATTTAGCGGTTTGTTTACACCGGCAGAGTTTGAGCGGGATATGGCCACCACCGACCTGAACGCCCTCTCGTTTGCCTTCTTCAAGCAGCTGTCCATCAAAACGGGCCAAGCATGGACCAAGCTCGCCATCGGCAATGGAGAGGATCGTGAATGGGGCTGGATTCCAGTTGGCACAGAGTATGAAGATGCAATTCCTGAAAAGAAAGAATGTACTGACCACGGGCTCATCGGGATGGGGGACGAGGAGGACTTTAAGAGCGATGAGGAGGAGGAGAGACTTGAACGGGAGGAAAGAGATGGAACCGACGACGACGACAAGAGCGACGACCAGTTCACGACCACCGATTGCTTCTCTGGAGTAATCAATCTCGGCATGCTAAAGCAAAACACAAGTCTAGCCAAGGTGTATGCCACGACTGGCCTCATTGGCAGCCCACGCGGGTACATGAAAATAAGTCTAAATCAGGTTCCATCAACCGGGAATGGCCGGCCAGATTTCAACTTTTACTTCCGGGGCTGCAACTGCGGCAAGAAGATCAAAACAGGAACCTTTAAGACCGAACCGATACTTGATCACTCCGAGCAGGTGGTCGAAGTATCTGGCGACGAGACCGGCGGGTATCTAGTCCAGTGCGCCACCATGCTAGGGAGTGTCTTTGACCCGGGTAACGACCTCCGAATCTTCCGCAAGACCCTCCTCGAGAAGCTGCAGCCCTATTGGGACTTCACCGACCCCAGCGCTCGGCCACGCAACTGGATCGACCGGTGCGTGAGCGGGACCGAGTGGGAGGACCCATCGTACGAGTACCTACGCCACCACAACATGTCGATGCACTACCGCCTGCGCCACATCACGCGCTACCGCTCTCGCCTCGAGAACCCTTCCACGCGGAACATCTCCTGCCGCGTCGAGGTGAACTGCGGCTGCGTCATCCAGGCGCCCTTCTCCTTCGTCTTCGAGGGCCTCACCGCTGTGTACGGCAGCCCGCTGGGGACGATATCGGCTACGCAGGACGGCGCCAAGCGCATCATCATCCGCGACGGCCTCGGCCTGGTCAACCCCGGGGGGGTAGGGAAGAAGTGGCTCGAGAACTCGGACCGCAACAACGTCCTTCGTCTCGTGGCCTTTGGCGGCAACATTGACGCTCACAAGTGGCATGCCTCGCAGTGCCGCAGCCAGAAGGAAAGCAAGCCCCTGCCGAGACCCGAGAAGCTGTGGCCCACGGGCAGAGCGCTCGTCAGGGACGGGTTCAGCCATTCTGCCAGTGACGGTATGTTGAGAGATTACGGGTACGCCGAGACTGGGCCGGATGCGAGGCAGACGCAGCGCGGCGGCGGCGACGACAACAAGTACCAGGACGATCTGTCGGAGGAGGAGAAGATGGCGAGGAAGAGCTGCGGCAACCTGCTTATTTGTCGGAATAATCCAATGAGTCCATACAGGGTAATCGGAGTCTGCGTGGACGGCGAGATTGCGAGCAAGAAAGGGCAGGATGTTATTACGATTCGTTAATGGAGAAAAAAAAGGTTGATTAACTAGGGTACTAGAGTTTATCTTGCCAGTTGCTTAGCTAGAGCGGTGCTCTTATTAACCTTGTATTTGTGCTCTTATAATACTATATTATAAATAGGCTATAATATAATGTTATAGTTATAATAAGGTAGAGTGTATCATGGCCTTGCTAGAAAACAGACAGCAGGCAGAAAGTTACTGTTTAGGCCAGATTTTACACTGAAAATGTTACCTTACTGCCTGGCGCCCCTTAAGTTATTTCTGGCTTTTATTAAGCCTCTCCAGTTCGAGGTACATACCCTCGCACAGTAACAAGCCACAGTGCGCCACATGTGATCCGTGCGCAGAAACACTAATGTTAAACAACTGCGACATCTATATTGGCAATGACTGTAATGGCGAACAGAACAGTTCTTTGACATGATGGTCAAAAAGGATAAAAGAAAATAAGCATGTGAACCGAGGCATCGGAGAGACAAAAGACGAAACATACGTACTACTACTATTTGTTTTGGGGTGTTGGGGTGGGTGCAGACGAATGAGTGAGTGAGTGGGTGGGTTAGTCAAGTTGGGATAGACGGGATGAATGGACCGGGATCTTACTAGAGCTTTGAATTGGTGCTATCGAATGAACATGGGGAAGAAAATGGATACATAGCCTATCAAGTTGATGGATGTGAATAAGCGAGACGGCGGAAGGGTGGCTGTTGTCTAGAGATGTATGGAGACGATCAATTCTGGAGAGACATGTGAAAGAGACAGAGATGAGAAAGAGGTTGTTCAAAATTGGGTTAAGCATAAAATGAAACGATTGGTACGATAAGAGACGTGCCATTCATTGGCGTAACTTTAGTTATACTACTTGGGTACTATCATTACAGCAGAATGACATGTTACGCCGGTGACGCATGTCAAAATGATACCAGAGCGAGTATGGCACGACATCCAGGCACATGAATGTAGAGTGATGCTGCATACTAACACTAACCTGGAACGAATGTAGATACGTAAAGAAAAAAAACATGAAGCTGCCCATCTGAAAACTCCGGTTGAGCGCCGAGAAATGGCGTCACATGTACTGCATTCCATCCCTCCGGGTCGACTATCAAAACATCCCGAGCACCCCGACGATAAGAAAAAAAAGCTTATAGTCCGTAAAGCAATGCCGCAGGAAATTCGAGGTGGATCAGAGACAGTGCGGTTGCTCGATCGGGGCTGTAAAAGTACCTCATCCAAGAGAGGAGAGAACAAGAATATGCTAGAGTGGTAGCAGCTATAAAACAAAAGAACCTCCATAAAGTAACAAAGAAGAAAAGAATCAGTAAATGTTCAACGACATGAGCAGTATAACAGCTAATCAGCTGCTGGCGTCCGGAGAGCCGCTGTCGGCTGAGCTCTCAGCAACCAGAGCCGCTTCTTCTCCAGCCAAGTGCTCGGCTCGAATCTGCCGTTGCGAAACAGGCCGAATTGCCAATTCCGCAATCCCTAAATGGTGTATTGCGTCTGCATGAGACGCGATCAATCTGCCACTCAACGACTCTGTTTTGACCACAAGTTCGTCGCCATGAAGCTTGTTTGTGACATGTTCCCAAGACTGGATCAAAGTAACAAGCAGTTTAAACTTCCATGTCCCTCTCCAGGTCATCACGGTAGGTCGCGGTTTCCCCTCTCTGTTCGCCTTATACCGTGGCGTCTGATATCGAAATACGGCCGCCACTCCTTCCAATCCATTCCAAATCTCCATGAGCTCAAGCTTGGGCATCCTCAAGGCCGCGCGGGCTGCTTGAAAAAGCAGATGTTGGATCGTGGAGTGATCGCCGAGGGGCTGGAGCAGCCCCGAAGTGAGAACGAGCGTAGTCAAAGACAACCACTCCCAGTCCCTGCCACGGGCCTGGAAGAAATGTTTGGCGTCTATGATGAAGGACGCGGAGAGCTGCTCAAGCTCAAGGCATCTAGCGATAGCCCGGGCGACATAGTAGTTTAGGTTTCGGGAGTCACTGCAGCGCTCGAAGTAGATCGGATACCGCTGATTGAAGTTCTCGAAGACGGTGAGTTTCTTTAAGGGGGAAGAGGCGACGGAGTGAAAGAGTATTTGGTAGTCTATAGAGTGAGGATGTGACGGGTTAGTTTCCCTGGTAATTTCGTATAGAACCGTCAAAGACACGCAGTTACATGTTCACTTACCACCATCTGTCCTCTTTTGCATACCATCATCCCATTCTCTCCAAGGCTCGTAGTGGATTTCTCGCAGTCTGGGAAACCGGGACAACAGTTGCATCATCGTCTTTGGTGGCCATCGCCGTCGAGTCTGTTGGCGAAAAAGCACCGCCGTCACAGCCCGAGCCAGGGGCATGCCCTGCCACCATTCGTGCCCTTCCATTGTTGTTTCAACTGGTCCTTTTACCACGATTTGATTGAAAACTTTATTGATTTGGTAGCTAGTAAAGTAAATCGCGTCGTCGTCCGTCTCAAGGTCCGGGCTGTCGTCGCTGTCGTCGCTCTCTTCAATTTCGTCGCTGTCGTCGCTGCCGCAGTTGGTTATAGCCGGCACAGACAGCCCTGGAAGCTCACTGTACTCGCTCTCTCTCTGATTGAACGGACAATCAGGCTCAAAAGTCAGGTACTTGAACCAGTACGCCGAATCACTGGGCGAGTGGATGCTGATATCGAGCACCAAGTTGGGCCTGTCACACCACGAGCTCAGAGCATCCACGACCTCATACAACGCTTTCCCGATGGCGTGGCTGTCGGCGTCGCCCATCCCTTGCGGATAGTACTCCTCCAGCTCGTATTCTTCGAGCTCCAAGCAGAGCCAGATGTACTGCACGTATCTCTGGGTACGAAAAGTCATGGAGTCAAGCTGTTGAATGCGTGGTATCGTCAGTTTGAGACGGGAAAAGTTGTGCGGCTCGATGACGGCCTGCCATTCACGAGACACTGTGGCATAGGGGGCCAAGCTGCCGTCGGTCTGAAGTAATGCATTGAGGATCGTCTGCCGGATCTTGGCGGGTAAGTTGTGCCATGATGGTGATGTCCTATCAGCTCTATCCGATGCCATTTATACGAGCGATATGATATAAGTAGCAGCTTGGTGCTTGACAGCAGCAACAGCAGAGGTCAACATGATGACAGCTACAATTCCACTCCTTAGCAAGATGGAAATGGAAAGCGGGAAGGAGAAGCAAGAGCTGAGGCAGTCGGTCCTGCTGCTGCTCATCAGGTAGACGTACTGTTAAGTCTTGGGGATTGATTTTTCTCTTCAAGTACACTTTGGTATTACAGGTACTAGTAGTAAAAAGAACAACAACTACTACCAGACATATATCAACATTACTACTACTGAGAATAGGCTAATTCATCAAAATGTCATAATTCTATATTTCCTACCGCTTTGCGAAACGAAAACAGTTCTGCAGCTGCCTTTATTTGCCATCTTAGTCTTTGTTATTGCGACTACAACGTGGCTTAGTTGTTTATAGAATCTCTCACATGGGCTACAACTTTACTCCACGAGACACGGAGATAGCGTTTGTTGCTTCAGAGGTATCAAAGACATCTGCAGAGAGTAAATGCTTCAAACGCGCGAATCGTAGGGTCTCGTGCTGGGTATCTGGCGGATTTTACTGCCATTACTTACTTTCTGGAGCATAATGAAGCAGTTTATTTACCAGTCTCAAAACCATCTGATTTTCGTCCATCATGTCATCGCTCGGCATATTTTCGAGCTACAAACATGTACCACGTTGCGTATTCACCACCAGATATTACAGTATCAGGGTGTCGTATCTACACAGAAGAATACCATTCTGGATAGATGCGTTTCATACAATTCAAAGGTTAACTCTCAACCTGTCGTCAGCAAAAGCAGCACTCAGGTACAACGAATACCCGTTTAATTCTCCGTTCACATGAGAGCCGTCAAGCATGAAGCGTCCGAGGCACGTACTCCGTGCTCTGATAACAGTGATGAACGCCACGCGTAGCCCGTAACAAGTGCCCCCAGCAGTAATAGCCGCTGTCCCAGGGCAGCAAAAGAGAGTGAAGCTGTAGCATGTCGTTTCATTCCCCTGCCTCCCATTCGCCCATTTGGCATCCTTGCAGATAAAAAGATATGCCTTCAACACTAACCTGAATGAGAGCTTGTTTCGCTGCGGGGGCTGCCTCGGCTGCGGGGACTGCGAAAAAGAGCAAGAAAAAAAAAAGTTGTTGGGGATAGGACGGAGAAAAAAAAGGTTGAGCGCTTGTGCCGCTGGAGCGTGATTGGCTCAACGTGGTGGGAGCGATTGCGCTAAAGAAAGGGTACCGCGTTTAGCCACTTACGGCAGACCAGCTTCAAGGTACCGCTGCGCCGGGGGAGGGGTCTCTATAGAGTTTTGATGAAGAATGAGGAATGCGACTGAGAGATTGGGATGGGGGAGCTATCAGGCGATGGAAGCTGCATCTGCTGATTCTGACAGCTGGACGAGATGCGAGTTATCTCGACGTTGGGGAGCTGCAAAACAAGAAGATCACTATCGACGTCCATCAGCTGATTTCGCAGTCCCAACTGGCCTCGCCTCGAATCGTCGCTCACTTACACGCCCTCACGTCTCGCCGCCTGCCCCAGCGATCCAACAAAACCAGCTCCAAGTACAGCCTCAGGTACTCCCAGCGGCCCCGGTACCCCCATCCATGCGCCATGTGCCTCCCCCCATCGAGTACCACCCACCACTCGACTACCGCCCTGCGACATCCCTGAGCGGATCCACGGATGCGTTTTGCCAGCCCATTTCTCGCTTTTGCTGTTTTCAATCAACCAGCATCTCCACACCAAAGGCAAAAGTCGCAGTGGCAGTGACAACGGCCATGGCCGACGCCGCACGCTTGACGGGTGTATCTTTTCCTGTTGCAATTTTTTCACCTTCTTCGCCTTCGCTAGTACTGGACTTGGACATGCTAGATTCTTCTTCCTGATCCGCTGGCCCGCCCTATTCGGGAAACCCCAGGGCTCTGATCCCGAGCCTGGCCTGATTCTAAGCTTTGCACAGGCCCTGTTGATCAAACGCCCCTCAAGGGCATCTTGATAGTATAAAGAGACAAGAGAGTTTCCCATCTCACACACCCTCCACAACACAACACAACACAACATAAAAAGAGCTCCTCACTTCGCACCCCTCCCTCTCCATCTCATCCCCCTGGTTCCTCTCCCTCACCCCCCCGGACTTGGTTTCTTTTTATAACACCTTTTTTCGCTCTCATTCTTGACATTTTCTTCTTCTCTTTTCCTTCTGTGTCCAGCCTTGATAGACTTCTTTGTTCATATCAAAGCAGCAACCAACATGTCAGAATCTTCCGCCGCGGCCTCCAAGGCCCAGGCGTCGGCCTTCCCTGATGGCACCACCGACTACGTGCCTCTGCGCGCCGGCGGCAAATACGACCTCAAGAAGGTGCACATCTCAGAGACGCCCATTACCTGGGGCAACTGGTACAAGCACGTCAACTGGCTCAACACCACCTTCATCGTCTTCATCCCCCTGCTGGGCTTCGTCTCCGCCTACTGGGTGCCTCTCAAGCTGGCCACGGCCATCTTCTCCGTCATCTACTACTTCAACACTGGTCTAGGAATCACAGCTGGTAAGTCGACGCTCATTTTAACCGTCAAAGACTATCAAGGATTCATTTACTTACACATCTCAAGGATACCACCGTCTCTGGGCTCACTCCTCATACAAGGCCACTCTCCCCCTCAGAATCTACCTTGCCGCTGTCGGTGCTGGCGCCGTCGAAGGCTCCATCCGCTGGTGGTCAAGAGGCCACCGCTCTCACCACCGATACACCGACACCGAAAAGGACCCCTACTCCGTCCGCAAGGGTCTCCTGTACTCCCACATTGGCTGGATGGTCATGAAGCAGAACCCCAAGCGAATTGGCCGCACTGACATCACCGACCTCAACGAGGACAGCATCGTTGTCTGGCAGCACCGCAACTACCTCAAGTGCGTCATCTTCATGGGCCTCGTCTTCCCCACCCTCTTCTGCGGCCTCATGTTCAACGACTTCCTCGGCGGCTTCGTCTACGCCGGCATCCTCCGCATCTGCTTCGTTCAGCAGGCCACTTTCTGCGTCAACTCCCTCGCCCACTGGCTCGGTGACCAGCCCTTTGATGACCGCAACTCACCCCGTGATCACGTCATCACCGCTCTCGTCACCCTCGGTGAGGGCTACCACAACTTCCACCACGAGTTCCCCTCAGACTACCGAAACGCCATTGAGTGGTGGCAGTACGACCCCACCAAGTGGATGATTGCCTTCTGGAAGTTCACCGGCCTCGCCTACGACCTGAAGCAGTTCCGCTCCAACGAGATTGAAAAGGGCCGTGTCCAGCAGCTCCAGAAGAAGCTCGACCAGAAGCGTTCCACCCTCGACTGGGGCACTCCCCTTGAGCAGCTCCCCGTCATCGACTGGGACGACTTTGTCTCTCAGTCCAAGAACGGCAAGGCCCTCGTTGCCATTGCTGGTGTCATCCACGACGTTACCGACTTCATCAAGGACCACCCCGGTGGCAAGGCCCTCATCTCCTCCGCCATTGGCAAGGACGCCACGGCCATCTTCAACGGCGGTGTCTACCTCCACTCCAACGCCGCCCACAACCTGCTCTCCACCATGCGTATCGGCGTCCTCCGCGGCGGCTGCGAGGTCGAGATCTGGAAGCGCGCCCAGTTTGAGAACAAGGACGTTACCTATGTCAACGACTCTGCTGGCCAGCGCATCGTGCGTGCCGGTTCCCAGGTCACCAAGGTTATCCAGCCTGTGGCCAGCGCCGACGCTGCTTAAATCAGGGGAAAAGTGCAAACAGAGTTAATCAAGGCTTGAGTTGAAAAGTCCACCTGAAGTATATAGAGCGGTGAGGGGTAGAGAAAACTTTTACTACTAGTTTCCTCTTCTACCTGCATTACCCTGCATATACTACCGCTGGGATTCTTTTTCGATAAAAGTCACTACCAAACTCTGATGGAAAAAATTATCATGAATTGGCGTTTGAAAGGGAAATGAAATATTTTAAAGGGGATCCGGTAGACAATTAAATCGAGACCGGACAAATAAGGGCGTTTTTATTTAAACATACACACTGCAGAAGTGGAAAAGAGAAGACTCTCAAATCATAAATATATCTATATTCTGATACAAACATCTGATTCTCTTGGCTTGTGAAGACTTGTAAAACTTGTGTAAAGAAAAAAATGTAGTAGCTGTATCTTTATTGACGTGAATCTTATGATTGACATTGGCTTAGGTATACTCAGTCGCCACAACTCTGCTCCAAGATTATGGAAAATATCCAGACACAAAACACAGCTCTCAATTCATAAGCATACTATATAACCCGAGAAAACGACAAAACCACCTGAACCCATCCTATCTCATAAAAACTCGTTAATGGTATTAAACTAAATCTATTTCTAATTCGCCAAAACTCCCCTCAACAAAGCCCATCAATAACGAAAAACACACGCCCATTAGAAAGCACATTCCACATCATCCCGCCCCCTTTCAAGGCGTCGCCATCCTCGTCTTCATCATCACCAACTCACTGCTCTTCGCCCACAGCCCATCCGGCGTCTGCCGATAACACAGCAGCCGCCCATCGTCCCCCGTGCTCCCCAGAATCTGCCCGTCGTCGTCAAACCCCACGCGCCACACCGGCGTCCGGTGACTGTCCAGCCGCGAGACTTCCTGCGCCACGTGCGGGATCTGCCCCGGCTGGCCTGTCCACAGGCGCTCGCCGACGTTGCTCGACTTGGCGAGGCTGGCGCTGAGGGTCGATGACGGCTGGTGATGGTGGTGAGGCACGTTGTTGCCGCCGCCGTTGTGATTATTATTGTTGTTGCCGTTATTGTTGTTGTTGTTGTTGTAATGATTGGTGCTAGGGTTCGAGCTGGATCCCGGCGTATGGCTCTCCTTGTCCTCCTTCGCAGAAGTCGTCGTAGTAGGCGACGCCTCCCTATGCTGCTGCGCACGCCCATCCGGCTTCAGCAGATGCGACGCCGCCCACGACCGCCCATCATTATCCGAGTACGGCGTGTCGATGCGGAAGACCCTAGCATACCCGTCCTGACACGCCGTGGCAATCATGTCGTAGCCCCTGATGTTGCCCGGCGCCCACGCCACGTCCCGCACCAGCCCCCTATGGCCCATAATCTCGACGGCCAGGTAGAATTCCTTTTGCAGCGTGTTGGCGCCAAAGCTCGCCGACGCAATCTCCCTCGTGCGATACACTTTGACCGAGTTCATGCCCGCCACCACCAGCCCCAGCGCATCCGAGGGCACGCCCGCCCTCAGCGCCGTGTAGCAGGGCTCCGGGTTCGGGTCGAAGCGCACCTTGAAGGACACCTCTTCGCCGCGGCTCGGCTTGGGACATATCGCGAACTCGTCAATGGATGTGTACTCTGCTAGATTCTCGGGCTGGTCGTTCTCGTATACCGTCAGCCGTCCGTCGGTTGCTAGGAGAGCCAGATACGTCTGCCTCGTCTCCTCGTTGTGCTTCATCGAAAAGGACCGGTATGGTGATCGCGCGGATCGGGTGTCAAAGGCTGGCCGACCATTGACCGACCGCGCAGCGCAGAAGCGGCGGCCAGGCGCAGCAGAAGGGTTCTCCGCCCAGAGGCGGAACCAGCCCTCGATACCGAGGGAAGCTATGAGGTTGGGGTATATCGTAGACGGCAGCCATTGCAGCTACAGATACAGTTAGTTCTCCGATTTTGCCTTGATAGCCAGATAGAATGTCATGCAAACAAACCTCTATCACTTCTCCTCCATGCGCGCTCCACGTATCACACAGCCTCCACGTCGCATCCTTGTGCCGGTTGAAGACGCGGATCTTGCCATCCACCGACCCCGTCGCGCACCGGTCGCCGTACGCGTTGAACGCAATCGCCTGCACCAGATCCTTGTGGCCGTGCTGCAGGTTCAGGTCAAAGGACTTGTTGTCGTCGTCGGTGGGGGACTGTGGGATGGAGGTTGTCATGTTCTTTTTGGGGAGAAAGGCCCAGTCAACAGAAGCAAAGAGGTGTCAAGTCGTTGTAGCTGCTACTTTGAAAGACTGCAGTAAGATGGTTTGCCAATGGGTAGTGCTTTATTTCTCAGATGATAGAATTGGTGGTTATAATCTGCTGAGGCAATGGCCGGGTATAGCATGTGAATCTGGATGCAATTGGAAAGTTTATCTGAGCCAGAGCTGGTCCCAATTGAAGCTCGAGGTCACTTGGCGGGGCTAAAAGGTACGTACCCCCGAGCTCCACTACGAGTCAGTCTAGCCCGCTTTGGCCACAAGGAGTTCAAAACCTTCACTTCATGCCCCGGACACTCAACAATCAGATCTCACGATGAAAATTTTCTCAAAGCTCCGCAGAAGCCTTGATATACAAGTCTAGAACACAATCCACTAATCAATTGGTTGCGTGGTCTAATGGTTATGACTGCGGATTCTGATTCCGCCAGCGAGGGTTCGATTCCCTCCGTGACCTTAAGTGTTGTTTTTTAGTTTCGACCTTTTTCTTCCCTTTTCTTTTTGAACAAGTTATCCAGCACCCCAATCCTGTTGTCTAGCACTCTATCTATAGCATGAGCTACTACTGCTACAGCTGCTACTAACTGCTACAGCTGCTACTAACTGCTACAGCTGCTACTACTGCCACTGTTGCTATTGTTGCTACTATTGAGAGTAGTTGAAATTTGGATTTTATATATAGACCGACTCTTGCTTGATATAGTGAGTGCTGTGATACAACTGGGCTGCTGGATAACAGCTAAATTGCTGGATAACTTTTCTCTGTTCTTTTTTCAAGTTGCTGCCCAGCAGAGGCAGGTAGAGTGTATGTGCTAGGTGAATATTTCTTAAAAAGTATATGATATATATAGAGCTTGCATAGCAGAGCGATTGACCCTGCTGCTGGTTACATCATGTCTCAAATATGTAGAAATATGAAGAGTAAAAGTGGCTGCACAAAGTTGTTTGCCCAACCAGGACATTGTTATCACCCATTGTGATAAATATATATCAACTAGTATCAGCTTCTCCCACGTTTTATGGATATACATGCAAAATATCGCCTCCCTTCTTCAGCATCCACAATGGCCAAATTCGAACAAAATGTTATCCTAGTCACTAGAAGAAGAAGCGAGAGGCGTGATAAGAAAATATGAAAATAGAGAGGAAACCGCTGCTCATGTCTAAGAAAACCATAGCACCAAACTCGTTTGCAGCGATAAGAGTTTTTGCTTTCAAGCCGTTTGCCAATTGCGCCGTAATGCCAATTCTCGATTTCAAGATGTCCGTTTCTGTTGTAGCCAAATTGTATGAAGGGGAGAAAAAAAAAAAGAAATCGAGAATGCCGAGAATGCCGAGGTCAGGGGAGAGAGGGAAGAAGTAAAGGGCGTGGGAGTGTGAGAAAGAAGGAAGGGTATATATGAGGTGCATCAATTAATCCTCGTCAGATGATGGCGTTGTCACTGCTACTCGGGATGGTGGCCGATGCGCTAATTTTATGAGATGAGGTGTCGTCGGAACTGGTGTTTCTGAGTCGGGCGTCGTTGCCGTTGGGACTTCGACAATCGGCTTCCTGAGGTCATATAGCTGTCGTCTCAATTCCGTACCGTCCCACAAGTCCTCTCGCCAGGGCCAGTTTATCATCATTTCAAACAGCTTTTCACTCATGGAGACGGTGTAGCAATTTGATGCCGCAATATAGAGCGTGGTAACGACCCCAAAGTCCACGTTGAACCAGGGCGAGGATCCAGGTGCTCCAGACGCCAGTGATGCTCGCAACGCCTGATTGATCGTCTCCGCGATGCTGGCAACTTCCAAAAACTTGTCCTCTTCTTCGTCGGGAGGCGTATACGCCATGCCCTGAGGCAATGGGGTAGAATCAAGGGCAATCGACGCGCCGCGGTGGCGAAGCAAACATCCCATAAACTTCAAAAAGTCGCGCGGATTCGCAGCATCCTCCATGTCCCCGTAAAGTTTGTTTGCCTTTTTAAGGAGCTCTCGGATGTGATAGCACCTCTGGTGTAGGATATCGAATTGAAACCGGGCTGCCGCATGATCCCATGAACTGTCGTCCCCGCGGTACTGTCTGCACATCCAGCCGAAAGCATTGACATCCTGGAATAAATCGTCAACATGCTCTTGTAGTTTCTCCAGCGATGTAAACTCTCTGACACCCCCTACGCTGTTTTTCCTGGTCTCGTATGCTTGGAGGGATAGTGATGGTGGTGAATTGATCCTCATAAAGGCCGCGGATCCTTCCCACCGGCGAAGTAACTTGGTCATATAGGTTGCCCTGGCGTGAGAATTATCACGATCATGGCTGAATATCTCTGGATGTCGAAAGACGTCCTGAACTGCATCAGGTAGATTTGACATCAAGCGAATGCCGTTCGCGAGATGCATCATGGCAGTTGGCCAGTTCCTTCGCAAAATCTCAATATAGAAGAATGAAACGCAGCATATCATGATGATTCCATAACGTTTCCTCATCGGTAGTCCATTCAACTCTTCGGCCATTCGGTTTAATGAGAGGTTATACTGTCTGATAATGTAGCGCTCGGTGTTGGATGGTGGGCCAAAAATGGTAATGTTGGACCCGGCAAGCCTAAAATCGTGATATGCGGAAGAGAGAGCGACGATGGCATGCCTTACTGCTTTGGATGTGAAGCAGTATTCGGGTACGACATGGCCCCAGAAGAAGGTATTGTGAATATGTGTGATTCCCACCAGATCCTCCGCTAGAGGCAAAAACTGCTGGATGTACTGGCTCTCCACCAAGTCGCCGCTGAAATTGGTCACTAGAGGCCGTAAGAGTGTTAACGATGATGACGATGAGTTGGCAGATGAGGATGCTGAAAGCTGTTGAGAAAATCCCGGTTTCCTGGTCGCTTTTGGCTTGGTGAGGGCCTTGTAGCCGTCGCAGGTTCGACCTGTTGATATGCATCGCTGGCACGCTGGTTTCTGTTCGTCGCATTTGATTCTTCTGATTCTGTGGCAGCAGTCTCGAGTCAGTAATTGCAAGGGCAAAGTAAACTCTTAGTTGATATAGTTGATAGAGGAAATGGTCTTTTTATTTCTCCTTTGGTGCTTGGTGAAAGGCGGATCGCTAGCTTACTTGCTGTTTACCTGTTGTTAGTCTAGAAAGCTCTAAGTCATCATGAAGAAAACACTCAAGGCACATGGGACGGTACATCTGAGTGAGATTAAGCGAGCCAAGGTAAGGCAACGTACCAAGTCACACAGCCCGTCCGAACCTTGGGCTTTCCGGCCCGCCTTCGTTTTTCCTTGGCAGGAGGCCCTTCGGACTCGTACGGCGGCGTTATAGGAGGGACAACGCCAGAAGGAATGGGAGAGGATTTTGGGGGCGCCATGATCGATACATTGGCTGGGAATACGCGATATGGTGCAGCTCAGATTGGAAGGTTACGTAACGGTGAAATTGAAGAAGAGTGAAAGAAAATGAAAGAAGGAGACGCCGGCATCAGCGCGAACGCTGACGCAGGGTAAAGGGGATGCGCCGGAATAAATTATCGAAAATGAGGAAGAAAAGTAGCAGTTTCCGGCGTTGCGACAGCAAGATTGACTGTGCCCTTTTTCCAAGCGGGTAAACCCTCGAGATCGAAATCCAGAGCCGTACCGTGTCTACAATTTCCCCTTTCGCATGAGCCGCCCTGCGCAGACAGCGGATATTGGTCGTCAGATCAGATTGGCGGGGGATTGCAAGAAAACTGTCCAGGACAAGCAAATATTAAATGCTGACAGCAGGTATAATTGAGGTGGGCTGTCGACGGCTTCCAAGGCTTCCTAGCCCACTCCTGCCGCCCGCTCGCCGAGTCGCTTTCGTCTCGCGTTAAAGTCCCAAGCCCAAGTTACCAAGGGAGAGAGGATGGCCCCCGGACCGGAATGCGGAGCCGCCTGGCCACACTAAAGAGCAAAAAGAAGCTGGGTGAGATGGGCCAAGAGATGAAGAGCGAGAGTCCAAGATGCTAGGTTTTCACGATTAGAAAACTTGATTCTTCCTGTCTCCAGCTGCCCAACTCCGGTTCGTTACGGAGGCAGGTTGCCACTCTAGCAGGCCCGGAACGAATAAGAGGCTTTGTGTCGTGCGATCTCTTGAGGCTTTGGCCATTCTGGATAATACGCAGTAGCGTTGCTGGGACCCGTGCTAGCAAGAACTAGGTTATCGAGCCCATGGAGAGGAGGGTGCTTGGCTTCTTGGGTTGCTAAGCCTGGGCATTAGCCTAGGCACTTGAGTTGGCTGGGTGGTGGCCCATCCCATTGGCTGTCGCTGGGCTGAGCTTTGGGTCTACTGCCTAGACATTTAGCTTGAACCCGGAGCAGCACATGGCATTGTGTACGCGTTACAGACTCTTTGGTGCAATGGGCCAGCAGATCAGCCCCCGAAGCTGTGGCACGATGCCGGCAGCTTGTCCTGCCGTGATTCCCCTGCAGCCGGTCTGATCTGACACCGTCTCGCTCTAGCACCAAGCCTTTGGCACTACTGGCGTTGGATCCATGTGATTAGCCAGCGTGATTACTACTCTGCCATTACTGCGCTATGTCTATCGGTGTTCTCGCTATTACAGCAATGCCGTTCAGGGGTCTGTAGCCAGGGATGGCTGTGCTGTGACAGTTGGATGCGATTGATGGCGTTTTGGGCGATGCAGAAGCCGGAGTGTGGGGAATGATGAAGAAACCGGCACAAGAAGCGGAAAAAGCAATTGATCGGAAAAGAAGATGGGCAGCAGCCCGAGCAGGGACTGACCTGGCACTTGTCGTAATCTCTCCGAGTGCTGATAGTTCCTGCTTTGCTGCTACAGCGCCTTGCCTCCAGCGGCTTGCAGCGGTACGGAGCATTCATTACTGGATCAGTACTCCAACTTGCCTCTACTCCCCAGCGGAGGTACTTACAAATTGCCGCGCGGTACCCTGGCACCAGGTATTGCCTGCTTACCAGCAGTACGCACGGTACCGACTAAAAAGCCGATGGATGTATCTGAGCCACAACTAGACGTATTTCTCCAAACCGAGTTCCCGGGACGCCTCAACAATCAGAAAGTGGGTTGGTTCGTGTGGCATTGGCGCGAAGATGCAAGAGGAAAAACCACGCTGATCAGCCCTGGCCTGGGATTTAAGAAGCATTATCCGGACTTTCCGCACAGGGATGATAAAGCCGAGATAAGGCAAATGAAAGAAGAAGACATCTCAACAAGAGGGACAATCTTGAAAGCCAAAGCACAAGAAGCAAGATGGTACGGGACGTATACGTGAAATCAGCTGTGTCCTCCGTACTGCGTACATGTACCCACAGGTTGGACGGATCCGTGTATCCGGATTCCCGCTGATGCGAGCCCCAGATCTGGCCCCCCAGAAGTAGCGCAGTCATGACTCGAGTCGTCCTCCTATAGAATAGTCCAATGGCAATACTATTGCTTTCACGGTGTTGCTTTGCACCATTAGTATTTCCATAGCTCCTCTGGGTGAGGATCTTCAACAAAGGGCCTTGCATCCGGCCCGAAGGATAAATATCTCGCTCTGAAGCAGCATGTCAAACCAGTGTCTAAATCCATATCAAAGGAGCTTTTCTCCTTCGTTTACCCATTGGAGTCGAATAGGCGAATACGCCTGTAGTGGGATTGCTAGTGACGCATTGGGCATTGAGTCAGCAGATATACCGTATAGAGCAGTCATCTATTCGAGGAACTATCTTTCAGTCATGGAGCATGTCGCCCCTAGTGCTACCGAATAAAGACGTACCCGGAGTAGGCAGTAGGTACGCTTCAGTAGGGATTATAGTAGCATCGGGTGGAATCCTACGCCAATAGTATGCACTTCCTTGCACATCTACACCTCGAGTCAGAAGTCTCCGCAGCTCACGACTTGGCTGAGGTATAGTAGTGATAGTAGGTCCTATTGTGCAGTGGCGGCAATGAATCATCCAGGACTCCCCTCCCACCACATCACGCATCACGATACAACGTGCAGTAAACGTACTGCTGCCACCACCACCCAGCAACTCAGCCACGCCGTCACCGCATGTTTTCTGGCCTTATAAGGCTGAAGCCGCGCCCTCCTCCCTGAAGTAAGCAGCAAGTAAAAGGCTCAGAGCAGCCACACGCCTCTAGGACGAACGTTGTCAAGCTTCGGACTAACAGCCTAGTGCTTAGGCGCCGCCAATTGTTCGGTTCTTTTGCTTTGGAGGCCAACATCCAATGAGAAATGTCTCGTGGCAGTGTGGCATTCAGCCCTCGCAGGAAACTCGGGGCTTTCTTTCATCGCATCCGGATTTTACCAAGGTCAAAGTGAAGTCGACCTGTGGCTGACTTTCGGATGGTGCAGAGCCGACGGCTGGGCCAGAGATAGTAAGAAGAGAGATAGGCGAGATGTCGCTTCTTCTCTAAGCCATCATTCAATAACACTTACCATATGGACATCCATTGCATCGCCACTGGGTAAAGGTAATATTTTGGGAATGCGATCGGTAAGACTGCTGGTGCCCGTCAGAAACCTTGCCTAGCTCAGATTACTCAACAGTTGCCGCAAGCCAGGTAGGCAAGCTGTCGTGAAATGATGAAGAGCAGCGTCTGTAGTGAATATACTCTGTACAGAATTAAAGATTATTAAACATCTTCTCCATTACAGTCTCTATTCGAGAGACCCTAGGCCTATCTCCTACCTCCAATTGGTAGAATAATTTGTGCTGGTGATGGAATTGGAACATGCTTAGGTAGACCTTGGGACCTTTGCAAGCGCAAATAAGCTCATTTACAAATTCTATGACAGCGCGGTTTATTCTTTCTAAAATCATATGACAAAGCTACAGCCTAGACGTCCTCATAATAGCACCAATGCCGACTCGTATCTCTTTCAAGTTGTCAAAGGTGAATACTGGAGACCGCAGATTTACGCGTTGCGTACCCATGTAGACGCCGGTATGATGGCACTAAATCCGGAGCAGCTCTGGTGGGTCGCCGGACTTCATCTCAAAAGTTTCGTGCCTCACCGAGCTCAATCATCTAATCTTTTCCACAGCTCGCGTCTCGTCGCGTCAGACGGTCATCCCGCCTCGGACGTACAACGGAATTAACGGCCAGAAGATCGCCACAACCTTGGCAGCAATGAGCCATTTCGCCAATCCGCTGGCGACGCCCTCACAGCTCTACCAGCGCGCATCTGCCTCATCGCTGCCGCTGGATCTCCACGAGGCCGTCTTCGTTGCGACGCAATGCCTGACCCAGGCGGCCGGCAGACTCTTGCAGCTGCCTCAGTCGGTGACGGCGCAAGCCAATGTGCTTTTGGCGCGGTACTGGGTGGTAGACTCGCCCATGGCCCATGAATTCAGCGTAGGTGACAGCTCTGATGGATGGGCGGAGGCTGAAGCCATTCTTGCTAATCGTGGTCTGCAATAGGACGTATCAGCTGCTTCGATATACCTCGTCGCAAAGCTGGGGCCAATTCCTCGTTCCCCGCGGGATGTCTCCAACGTCTACGCGTATCTGGCATCTGCCAATTCGCAACTTTTCCCTACAGACGAGCCACCAAAGAACGATCCGCGGACATACTACCAATCGGAGGCGGACTATTACGCTTTCCAGCAGCGCATGTTGAGCTTGGAAGCTCGTATACTTCGGTCACTGTCGTTTGATACTCACGTCGCTCTTCCACACCCGCTAGCCATCACCTACCTCCAGACACTGGATTTCCTATCGCAGCCACGATCCACAGTCTCTCTGCGAGTACTTCAATACCTCAACACATCTCTACTATCGCCACAGATGCTCTACGTCACCCACCAGCCGCACGCTTTGGCCACGGCGGCGATATATAATGCAGCGCGCGACGTGGGCGCCAAGATGCCGGAGCACGAGTGGTGGGAGGTATTCGACGTTGACCGCGAAGAGCTGGGATTTCTGGTGGTTGCCATGCGTAGCGTGGAGGGGTGGATGCAGAAGCTCAAGGAAGAAATCCCGAGCTTTGGAAGCAAGATGTTAAAGAGAAGCATGATTGAAGACGAATTAAAGAAGAGAGGGCTACGTGTCGACGGCGGAAATACGGCAGCCGTGGATGAGGAAGACGAAGTTATGCGAATGATGGACAGTCGCTGAAGCAGCAAGCGACCCCATCACAGAGTTTCGGGCCAATACTCACGCGAGTAAGTAAAATGGATGCTTCCGTTTACTTGGAGGTGCCACCTGACTCTCCTGATTCATCTATTCTCGACGAACCTCTGGCGAATCTAGACCAGCCAGGCTAAAGGCGAATAAGACGCAGGATGGAAGGATTCTTCAGCTGAAGAGCCTCTGGATCTCACGATTTGCTATGTTTTCGTCCGGTTATGCGAACTATTACCGCGCAGGATTCTTTTTCTGGCCCCCACGAGGCATCTGGTCATTGACTACAGGGCGGGCTTAAGTGATATCCCGAGGGGACCAGACTGGGTCTCGACCTCGAATACTTATGCTGTGCGCTGCTGGGAGAGCTGCAATCTCACTAATTGCTTGCTTACGCAAAACGGCACTGACAAGCAAACTATCGCACGAAGACTGCGCTTTCGGAGACGGCTAGTTTCTAGCTGACACAATCAGAGCGTGGCTAGATACCACTTCCTCTTGGGGCAAATAGCAGTATGCCTCGCGGATGAACCCCCATATTGCCTCAGGATTGGATAGTACTTACAGCGGTGAAGGATAAATGCATGCCAATAAAGGTTCCAGGCAAACGGCAATTTTAGGCAACACAATTGAGCACAGTTTTTCCCTCTCTGGTCAAATCCTCCTCGTCATCGCGGGGCTTCAAGTGTGGGGGCAGGAGTAAAGATGAGATGGCGGGAGTCTGATTCGGATGCTTGGTCTGCCGGCATTTTGGGGGCCAGTTGGAAAAGCAGAAAGGAAGAGGAGCGAGATTTCAATGGAACGAAATGGGCAAGCCTAGCTAATGCAGAGTATCGATGGAAGGATTTTTTTTCCATCGCAAAATGTAACCGCCAAGGCCAGCGGATTTGTGATTGCGGCGAAGGAGGCTTGGCGGCTTCTAGAAGACTTCGCTGCCGAGATGCCAAGAAAAGCGTACGTAGATGCTACTCGTTGAGAGTTACGGCCTCTTTCTTTCTTCTTATACGTAGCTTTCTACCTAACAACAAGCAGATTGAATCTCCTGAATTCATACCGGCATTAGGTAGGCCATTAACATTGCATCGATATGCTGTCTCCCACCACTTTAGATATCGATCAGTGATGATCGTCATCTGCCAATTCTCCGGTAGTAAAGGATTCCCGGGCCAACTCCACTGCCCGCTTTTGCCGACCGAAAAGTTGACCCTGCCTTTTCTAGAACTCGGTCAAGCTCTGCATACGCTCTATCATGCCTCATGCAGCGCTAGCAGATGGATGCTGTGAAACGATGATATGCATGGTCAATACAGGAAGCTCTTGATTGTTCTGATATAGTAGTCTGTGTCTATGATGCCGTGGGGGCTGCTGCTCTGCAACAAACGCAATGCCCGGAGTAGCGATACCACATGCCTTGGCTTTCATATGAATAATAATGGGATTTGTCTTTTCAGATTCTCTGCTTTGGCTTTCTTCTTCTTTTTTTGTAAAAAATTAAGAATAAGAACAAAAAGATGGAGCATGAGATAATGTGTAATTCCTATTACGGAGCCGCCCCCATTATCAGCTCGGCTCACACAGACACTTACCTGGCTCCATACACAAGCTCCAGCCATTCCCCAGTGAGGGAATCGTGAAATTAAATAGCTCAATTAGCATATGCAGAGCCCTGGGGAAGCCCCAAAATTCCTGAATCTTAGATTGCGGGCCGTCGTCTTTATTCGGAAACCAGTCTTATATGGATAATCCGTATAGTCTCCTATTCTTCCCTCTGGCTATTGTTTACTCTTTTCAATTCTTCTCTATTCAAGACAGCTTTATATTGATTGCCGTAGAAGGGTCAATTATAATTGCCGACAAATAAGCATGAACAGTTTACCCACAGTGAATTAAAATTGATAAGAATACTGCCCACTTGCTTGCTTGTGACTAGCTGAAGGATTCTGCGGTGGCGCCGTTGCAGCGGTTGATGCCTCTCGCCGGGCCGAGCTGATGATCGCTGGATCTTGGTTCCCGCATTTTCTTTTATATAAACTGGGCATCTATAAAGCTTCCCCTGTCTGCCCACGCGTGGTCTTTTGCTCTCCTTCTTTTTCCTCATCTCTTCAATATCTCGTTCGCACTGTCGCAATTTATTCCACTTCTTCCACATCAGAACAAACTAAAAACTCCTCATCACAACCATCAATTCTCACTCCTAAAATGCCTTCTGCTTCCTCTGCACCTCCTGCTGCCGCCGCAGCCTCCTCTGCAGCCCCCTCCAGCCTGGGCAACAACAAAGGCATCAAGTTCCAGATCAAGACGGGTGGTGCTCGTTGGGAATGCACTCTTCAGGATCGCTCCCAGTAGTATGTATAATTGAACTCAATGCTACTGTTTCTGGATGTGGATTGCTAACATAAGACACAGCGAGCGCATGAAGGTTCTACGCAGCGATTCTGCCGATTCAGTCGATTCTAGCAACTCTTCTACGACCGAGTCAAAGTAAGGCGACACCAAATAGAATATGCATATGCGGCGAAAATAGAAGAATTTCCCTCTTCTTTTTTTTTTTTTTTGCACCGGAGCCGCTTTTCCTTGCGTTGGAGTATGAGGCGAGAGCATCATGGCGCTTAGAAAAGACTTCTGTGCCCCTGAGTCGATCAACTGGCTCCATCTTGATATACTGAAAGGCGTCGATAACACCGTGGAGCTTTTGATTTGGTTTTGACCACCCAATTTAGGGTGGTGGGAGTTATATGAGCGTGGATGCTTTAGCGATTGGAAATAGTTTGCCTTGATACAAATTCATTCATATTAGCCCACTTGTCTTACACTATTACTTGAACTGCAAAATCGGAGACTCGTGTGACGGATTGTGAAGGTGTGCCGCATCGTCGTGAGTTGAGATCCAGTGGGTGTTACTGCCAGCTTCTTCTCGGCGTCATAGGCACTTGAGCTCTGTGCGCCATATTCTTCATCTCTTGATGTTTGGTACACTCCTCACGCTTCAATTGTTCGGTGTCCGGTTTGAGTTACTGGTCTGCCAACGTACCTAGAATAGGTACGGTACTCCAATACGTGCAGCATATACCTAGGTATGCAGCAAAATGTTGGTGCTGGCCACCCCTGCCATGGCTCATTGATCTCAAGCTATTGATGATTCTTCGTGTCGTGTGCCCTACAATGGTAGCGCTAGACACACTATAGCTAGAATCTATATTCCAGTGTCTTTCGATAATTTTCGTTATTGACTGAGCCAAGCGTAGCCAATAATAGCCCTTCGCCCTTGTCAGCTTGCCGAATATAGGGACGTTGATGAAGGGAAAAGTTATCCGGTATAACAGAACTGGGATGCTGGATTGCTGTTCCCTTAATGTCCGAACGAACATGAAAACATGAATGCTAATAGTACATTGCACTGATTGGAGAGCCCTATCGTCATATCATGAAGGAACCGATGATTTTTAGCTGCCGCCGTCTCGATTTGTAGCAGTACCTTGAAGGAAACCCATGATATGGGCTTGGTATAGCTTCGATAAATGTAGGCAATATCCAACCATGTGTCTGTACGTAGTACTTGCATAAAGAGGCTCATGGAATGAACTCTTTCACCTTTTTCTATGCAAAGTTTGTTATAGTATACTGTGACGCTTAGCCTTGACAATAAATTGATTCTTTCTCTTTCGTGTATCAACTATCACGGCGAGATGGCATCTCCTCTTTCAGACAACCCCATCGTCGTACATGACGCCTACGGCTGTTAGTGCGGCCCTGCTGGCACTAGCTGAGTCGGCCTTGCATATTGCTGCCAGATGGCATCTCTTTGCGCTTGACACATCACGGATGACATCTGGCGCTCAACACGTCGCGTCGCTACCTACAATTTGCGCATTGTTGGGCTTGGGGTGGAATCAGGCAAAGTTACTTGCAATGAGCAATAAACCGATGCGTTGTCATGACAGGTCAGAGGTCATGTGACGCCGCCGAGGTATCAAGTACATGCAGTAAGGCGCCGACCGGGCCGCGCATGGCGTTACGAATACGCCTCACCAAGATCGAGGAATGGTGGCAAAGCTTCCCCAGGACTACGCAATCGCCGTGTGGCGTCGCCAACTTTTAACCTGAGGCTGGCCTTTTGAAGGCCTCCCTGTGGCTTTGCCAACTTTTCGTCACTTTCACTTTTCTTCTCTCTCCCCTCTTCCTCAACCTCAGTTTTCTCTTTGCGAGAGAATTCAGAGGGACCGAAGAGAAGAAACGAACCTGACGCTCATTTGCCTCCCTTGCGACCACCTGCAGCATCTATAGAGTTGCAGCGGCTGGCTGGTTGACCGGCATTTCAGTCCCAAGTCAGCAGCTCCCTTCAGGCTCTGTTTCTGTTGCCTGAGCCTTAGCCGCCCGTTTGCTGAGCCGCCCGTTTGCTGAGCTGCCCCTCCCGCCTCACCTCACTGGCATTCCATACCTGCCTCCTGCACACATAAAAACCCGCCCTGCAACCGCCATCATGCCCGTGGCGCACCATATGGTCCTTGCCTCAGGCGCTGTCGTCGCAGTGTCTATGGCTGTGGCTACTTTCATCGCTATTTACGAGTCGCCCGAGCTGCGCCAGTACGCAGACGACGTCCGACGCCGCATCGCCATGGCCTTCTACTCAGTGGGCGATGGCATCACACCGCCGGCCAGGCAGCCCCGCTTCAACAGGCCCGAGGACGCCGAGGGATTCTTCGAGTCTCGGCGCGGCCAAGGAGCTGAGCCCGGCGTCGACGCCGACGACGAAACCCGCCGCAGGCAGAGAGAGGAGCTCCTCTACTGGAACTCGATGCGGTTACAGCAGCAGGAAAATGAAAAAGACAATAAGCAACAAAACTCGTCTGACCCGCCGCCTCGGCCCGGTAAAATTCACCGTGGATCTACTTTTGACGATTTCCTCAAGCCTGACGCAACTGCTGAGAATGGTGCATATGTATTCAATTCCGGTGCTGATCTTAGAGACTTTGGCGGTCTTCGTCGTCGTGGAGAGGGCGCTCGGGGCTTCATGTCGCCCGCCTACTCCAATCCCTTCGCCGATGAGCACCACATTGACTCCGATGAGATTCAGGAGGCCCAATTAGCCCGCCAGCTTGCTCCGGAGCAAAGCGAGATCATGTCAGACATTTACAGCGCAACTACTCGTGATGGCCATGAAGAGTCTCGTTCCGTCACCTTGGAAGCCCTCTCACCCCGGCCGTTGATTGATATTGCTCAGCTGTCTGCCCCATCACAGTCACCACTGCCGTCCACCCTTGAGCGAGAGCTGTCAGAAGACGAGTTCATGTCCGCCGGCCAGGAAGACCGTCACGATGTCCATGCCAATATTCAGGCTTGGGCTCAGGAATCGAGCCGTGACTTTTACTCTCCCCTCCCCGTGACCCCTGTAGCACCAATGTCCGAGCCGGATATCATCTCCGAGGGCGAGCTTACTCCTACCGACTCTGTCTCCCTTGCTGGATCTGGTGAGGATATTGCCAATGATGCTCACTTTTCTGACCATGATGGAAGCTCGCGGTACATGGACGTGATGAGTGAGAGCGAGGGCATGGCGACCCCAGCCAGCTGGTCCGAGGTGGGTAGCGTCATCAGCGAGAACGATGGCCCAATGCACGCATAAGCGTAAAGTATAGCCTGGCCAATGCATTGTTGGGATCTGCCTACATATAGAAGAGCCCGACCTTGGAGCTTTTATTGTTACTTTATCTTGATGTTTGTTATGTTGTTTTCGGGGTATACATGGGACGGCGTTCGGGTCTTTTGGCGCCCAGGCACACTGATTAACAAGACGTGACGCTACTGCAGGTAGCCCCTCTATCGTTTTACGGGATGCGTGCTCCATACATTCATCCCTTTGCTGTTTTGTATTTTGAGGAATATTTACCTGCTGTGGCACCTAATGGCCAATATATATATGCCGGGATTTTGGTGCCCTATTGCGCTCTTTCTAAAATAAATACCATTTCGTTGTGCGACAGTTCAAAATGAAAACAAAACCTGCTAGTTCTTCTCTTCAACTCGTCTTTATATGCTCCTCGTAATTTTTTAGCATCTATCTGCATGATGCTCTTGTCTTTCTCTAGATAGCCATCCATCATATGACTGTAGTCGCTATTGCAGTGATTGTGTGTACTCTGTAAACAATTCTTCAACCTCTTGACCAAAAAGCTCTATCCAGAAATCCCGCTCGTGATACTTGCTTCCCCTCAATTTCTCATTAATCCGGCGAACAGTCCCGCGACCAAAGCGCTGTTCCAGAAATTCCAAGAAATACGCCGTGTGCTGATATCCGGCGTCCCAGTTCTCTGTAACCTCTTGCTTCCAATGCGGAGGAGACAAATTGCAGTGGAGGCGCACCCAGTCTGCGATGCCCTCGATGAGGCCGCCTGGCGCAGCGCCGTGGCCGTTGTACTGGAAGCAGTGGACAAGCTCGTGGGTGATTACGCCGTTTATCTCCTCGGCTATGCGAGAAGGGTTGATTTGGGCAATGTACGGCAGCGAGAAGTGAATCTCCTTTACGTTGTTGTCTGCACCGGAGCCCACGGTGTAGGCCACGCCGGGGAAGTTTTCGAGGAAGAGCGTCACGGAGCTGGTCGGCGGGACTGTTGTCTCTGGGTCGGAGGGCTTGTGGTAGAGGAGCTTGAGGAGATTCACGGTGCCGGTGGTTAAGCTGTCGGTTGCGTTGACAGCGTTGAGGAAACGTGTTGCCCCGGGATGCTTGAGATCCTGGATTTGAAGCTGGAGAGCAGGTACCGAGAATTTCTCTTCCCTGGCATTCTGGTCTTCCTCTGGATGGTTGTTTGTGCCGTTTATATGGACGTTGGCAGGAACGGGCGTGGGCTCCGGCAGTCGAACCATGGTGTCAATGTTCAATATTTGTCCAATTCTGGACTGAGATGATTCCTAGTAGGTAAGAGGATAATGTATCGAAGGAAATGGATCAATATCAAGAAACGGTGTCAAGATAGCTGGCTAAATGCGGAGAAAGTGACAAATGTCGGCGGAATGAGGAGCAGTCCAGGCCTTCCATCAAGCAGCAATATCATGTGCCAGCTCAGCTTATCCTCATGGCTCTTGATCACGGCCAAGTCCACCTGGGAGCTGAGCTCGTGGGGCAGGCAGCACTCAGAGGCCTCGACGATGGCGGGGTAGGGGACCCTAGTCCTAGGGGTCTGATGGTGCTAAGCCACGATGCAGTAGCCTTCTCCGGGCTGTTCTCAGGGGCATAGCGCTACTGCATCCACTGTAACTTCCTAGCAAGTCCACTAAAAATCCCATGTTGCAATAGCCAATTCTGCCGCACAGACCACCCAAGAATCCAAGCTCCCAGCAATTCCAAGCCACATGTGGCGCACCGGCGACCGGGGCAACAGGCATTGGTCACGTCACGCCGCAATCAACCATCCACTCCTGATTATTTTCCTTTCTTTTGTTTTGGGCTGGAAATGAAAACACAACACAAAACTCCACACACACTCACGCTATCTTTCCACCCCCTCGCACCGACGACAACATCAACACACGCGCCGCGCCCGCAAAATAAGAGGACGATAAGAGCAGAAGCTGATAGAAGAAAGAATAAAAGAGGAAGGGGACGAAGAAAAGGGGAGGAAAGGAAAAGAAAGGCGAATTATTAATTCATTTTTGCTGCCCCTCCAAATGCGATATTGATTCTGAACAAGCCGGCGCATGCACTGTCTGAGACCTCGATATTTACGAAACGACAGAAAAACTAGAGCGCAAAGAGTATAAGAAGCGCAGCGACAAAAAGAAGGAAAAAAGAAGAGAGAGGAGATAAATTCGGACGGAAGCTTAAGAATTAACCACTGTTGCTGTGAGTAATAGAGATTCACTATTCCATATTGACGCATGCCCGATGCGCTGCGTTGCGTCGAGGCTATTTCGCTGTATCGCACGACGCTGAGCTGCCGTGAGCACTTCTCTTGCGCACAAGGCTCACGGCATACCTCCACACTTTGCGCTGCAGAAAGTTCCTAACAAAAGTGCGCCTCGTATAGCAGGAGACTCGCTCTCCCATCGAGCATCATGGCCGAAAAGCTTACCGACGACCAGGTTGACAACCTGACGACCGTCTTGCGAAGCGACAACATCCACCTCGACGCCAAAGTTCAGTACGTCAACACCATCAAGTCCGGCATCAAACAGCACAACGTCCCCGAGACCTGTATTCCCCAGCTGTTCGAAGGCCTCCGGAGCGCCTCCGCGTCGCAGCATGTCGCGCTGGCTACCGCTGGCTTCACAGCGCTCAATCACCTCTTTACGCGCATGTCGCGCCAGGAGCCCAAATACCTGGTTAAGGAGGCGGCACGAACGCTCCCTCTTGTTGTGGAGAAGCTGGGAGATTCAAAGGACAAGCCTCGCGCGCTCGCGATGCTGAGTCTCAACACGCTGTACAGCGTTGCCCCCGCCGACGTCGAGCGCTCGATTCGAAACACTGCCATGGTGGGCAAAAATCCGAGAACCAAGGAGGCGTCTATGCAGTGGCTTTTGGAGGTAGGCTCGGGTGCCGGGAACTTGTTTTGTGAGGGAAATGGTGGACTAACTGCGCTCCAGACTCACCAGCAACACGGATTGCCGTTTCGAGGATATGTCCCCGTACTGATGGATCTTCTGGAAGATGCGGACGGAATGGTCCGAGATACTGCTAAAAGCACCGTTATCGAACTCTTCAAGTAGGTTCTGGGCTTCTCTTCCATCTCCTTATCCCTCGCGTACATGAGCTGGGCTAATCCAAGTGTCTTAGGAATGCTCCTGGAGCTGCGAAATCCGATTTGAAAAAACAACTGAAGAACTTCAAGGTTCGACCTGCCATCGAGCAGGCCATCGTGAAAGCTCTTGCGCCCACTGGTGCCCGCTCAGATACCGCGCCAGAAGTTTCGGCTCGACCTGCACTATCAGCTCCTTCGTCCTTTGCCGCGAGTGAGCGGCCCACTACGCCCATGGTCGATTTGGCCGAATCCGTTGAACCGCAATACGTTAACACCCATCGCGAATTGGACGACCTCTTTAGGGATATGGCTCCTTACTTTGAAGGAAAGGAATCTGAACAAAATTGGATGAAGAGAGAGCAGAGCATGGTGACATTGCGGAGGCTGGTGGCTGGCAATGCTCCGGCTGACTTTTTGGACACGTTTGCTGCTGGATTAAAGGTACTGCTGGACGGCATCATCAAGGCGGCCAGCTCACTGCGTACAAGCTTATCGAAAGAAGGCTGCAGTTTAGTCCAAGAAATTGCCAACACGATCGGGCCCGCTATGGACCCTCTGGTCGAGCTTCTTATGCAAACATTTATGAAACTGTCTGCCAATACCAAGAAGATTACCTCCCAAATGGCCAATGCTGTTATAGACGCCATCTTAAGCAAGGTCACATATACTCCTCGTCTCATGCAGCATATTTGGGGGGCGGTTCAAGACAAGAATGTGCAGCCTCGAACATACGCCGCCGGATGGTTAACAACAATAATAAGGAAGGAAGCTCATCACAAGAACCACATCGAGCATACTGGCGGTGTCGACTTGATAGAAAAGTGTATCAAGAAGTCTCTTGGTGATGCTAACCCTAGCGTTAGAGAAAAGATGAGAGCGACCTATTGGACATACTGGGGCGTATGGCCAGGGAGAGCAGATGCGTACGTATTTCTTCGTCTTCTTGTTCCGGATTCAACAAGTTCATTCTAACGCGCAACAGATTCATGGCAGACTTGGAACCGACTGCCCAAAAGCTGCTCCTTAGGGATCCAAATAATCCGAACGCTGGAAAGAAAGTAGAGGCCCCGGCTCCTGTATCCAGGTTGGGGTCAGGATTCTCGAGGAGCGCCAATGCGGCCAGCAGCAAGCCAAGTCTACGGGAAACTATGATGGCTCAGAAGAAGGCCGCGTTGAGCGCAAGGAGCATACCAAGCCGACCGGGCTCTGCCATGTCCACATTCTCTGCCGCCTCTTCTAACAACTCGAGCGGCCAACTTGCCACGACGACTGCATCGAAACGACACCGAGCCGAGCCCGGTACAGTTTCAGTCAACGCAGGCGGCATGTCCGTGGCCCCTATGCGGCCAGCCAAGAGGCGGCCAGATGTGGCTCGCCCTGCAACGGCTGGCCCTTACTCTGTTCGAGACCAGCCGTCGCCCGTGGAGGCCCATAGCCCAGAGATGCCCAAGTCCAAATTCGCGTCCTCATCGTCAGCATCGTCGAGGCCCGAGAGGCCCGAGAGGCCCGAGAGGCTCAGAGAGGCTACGCCTCAGAGGCCATCATCACGGACCCATCATGCATCTCATGCAAGCGAATCAAGTATAACATCCCCAATCATGAGACCAACTGGGATACCGTCGCCACGCGCCAGCCCAGCCAGACTCAGGCATTCTCAAACCATACTGCATACATTGAGCCCGACCAGAGCAACTGACGATATTACCTTGGTAGTGCCTACACTTTTTAGCATGCAGTCGGCTTTGCCTAGATTAGAGTCTCCGCCACAGCCATTCTTCGCCCGCGCCTCCCCAGACCCCGTCCTCCCCGCCGAAATCCCACTATCTCCTCGTACCGAGTTGCCTTCTCGAACATTGAGGGTATACGAAGATCCTTTTACCGACGACGAGCCAACTTCAAGACAGTCTCTTCCTTCTGCTCCAGTATTGGAGGAGAAGCAAATCAACGAGGATGCTGCTAACATTCAGAGGTTGTCACTGGCACCTTTGTCGGACGAGGTGGAGTTTCAAGAGAAGAACGGACAGAACGCCCGTCTCTTGGATAGCGGCATAAACAAGATTAGAGCCAAGACTCTGGAGGTCCACGGGTTCCGAAAACTTCAGTCTCTGATTCGAGATAGTAAGACTGTCTTCACTGACCAGAGATTTGAAGCCCTTCTTGTTGGCTTGTTCCAATACTTGGAAGACCCTCTGGCAGATCTCCCGGCGGGCAAATCTCAGGATGTTAAAGCTCAGATCCTCACAACAATCAAGCTGCTGTTAAAAAAGGAGCGAAGGAACTTCCAGCCCCATGTCTCGCGGGGCCTCGAATCTCTCCTCCAGACTCGCGGCTGCTACGATACCAGAGCTCATGTGGTTAGCGGCCTTGAGCTTTTGGCGGATGAGCTTGTCACCCTCAGCGACGGCTCCGAGACTGTCGTTGTGCTGACAAAGCGCCTGCAGTCCTGCAGCGACGCCACGACGGAAGGTTGCCGCACTCTTAGCATGGGCCTTCACGTCCTCAAGGAGATGCTGGCCAAGCGACCCGAGTACATTCCCACTCACAAAGAGCTCCTGCAGCTCACCAACCTGGCAGGCCGATGCCTTGAGTCTGCCGATTCGGGCGTTCGGATGGACGCTGTCAAGTTCTGTGTTGCTCTGCATACGCGCGTTGGAGAGGCTGCTTTCTGGGAGGCCATGGCTGGAATTAAGGACGATCCTAAGAGCCTGATTACGTATTACATTGTCAAGAAGCAGCGCGAAGATGGGATGCATTCATGAACGATGTCCTGATGTTTGCCTTTTTTTTTCCAGACCCCGTTCTTCTTTGCATTGTTCTGTTTCGAAGTCGTTTTACTTTTGGAGACTTGAAAGCGGAATACAAGGCGAAATTTTATTTATTTCCTGATGAAATCGTTGGTTTTAGAAAGACAGCGACGTCTATGATACATTGATTGACTGAGCTTGTCTTTTGGCGTGGTTGAAAGAAGATTCGACGGGGTGTTTTCGAGCGCTGTAGGCAAGAGACGAAAAAAAAAGGGAGAGGAGGTGGATGGAGTAGTAAGGGGGTGGATGGGTCTTTTTCTTCTTCTCATTTCGTCTTATTCTATTTTATTGAAAACGGAAAATTATGCTTCTCTTCTCTTCCTTTCTTATCTTCTTTTTTCGATAAAATCATGTACTCTTTTTCTGCTAATTCTGTTTTTCTGTTCTCTTCATCTTTTTCATGTTCTTTCCTTGTGAAAAAAGGCCCTGTTTTGGACGGCCCTGGCGGTTTCGTATACATGTAGTTAGGCGATATTGTTACACATCTAGTAGGCAGGCACTTTTTTTGAGTTATTAATTTAGAATTATCTTTGTAATGGAAGTATATATATATATATCACATACCTAGGTATCTATCGCAGTACTAGTACTCATGTTGCCCACCTAAGGGGTGCAAAGAAAAATAGGGACCGCAAAATGTATATATACACAGAAATGTAAAGCAGAAGCACTATTTATTAAGTGTAAAGGAAAAGTCGTTTAGCATTCTTGTTTCTATTATTTAAAACTTAATCCTAGATATAGCTTAATAGGAGTAGTAATAATAGCAGCAGTAGCAGCAGTAGCAAGTTTTAGATAGGTATGTAACTTGAGTGCTATGGTGGTGCGTAAAGTTAAGAAATGTGTGCTGATTGTTTAAGAATTCACTCTTTGTCTTCGCACCCCTTGCCACTTTGGACGAACAAATTTATCTACTTTCAATTATAAATAACATGTCAATAAAACAGACAAGATTCCAAATCGCACAAAAATCATCATAACTTTCATATTTTTACTTCTTCTAATTGTTCTTCATCATGCTAATCAACTCAAATCAAGCATCGCCCTCAACCATATCAACTATATCATGCCCGCCTGCCTGCTGCTCAGTTCCAAATATATATAAAAAAAAAAGACGTAGCTATATAATACGAGTAGTAAAGAAGAATGAAAAGATGGATAAGAAGTAAAGCTAACAAGATACAGTAGCAGTCTTAGTTCATCTTCAAACATCCAACTCCTCTCGATGGTGTTGAAAACACAGCCCATACAAGGCAAGTGATTCGAAAAAGCGTGAGCTCAAGCAGAAAAACCAAAGACCAGCCTGTGTAATCAAGCCTTACCAAGCCAGCTCAAACAAACAGTGAGATACATCGACTTCATGCCGCCCAAAAGAAAGAGGGGGAAGTAAATGTGGCACAAAGGCCCCTACGAGCAGCGTGAAAAGAAGCATCGGGGTCTAAAAAGAGAAAAGAGACTGCTCAAACCCTGTCGTCCAGCCTCGCCTCCAAGAGAAGAAAAAAGTAGATGGCCTCCGCCTTTGATCAAGCCAGTAGAAAAGGAATGGACATTACTTTTTGGCCAAGCACAAAACGCCGTGGATTTTGTCTCGCTAAGACCGACAAAATTGAAAGCAAGGGGGATCAAAATCAGCGTAAAACCGCCAGAGTAACCGTGAGCGCATAATAACGTAAACATCTAGCCAATGAGGGCTTTAATTTGCCTAGACCGTAGCCAAATAAATGCAAAGGTTGTTTATTCCTCTTGGAAGATCTGGTTCGTGTTCTCAATGATAAATTGCACCGCAAGGTTCTTTGCGTGCATATCAGTCATTTCGCGCTCAATGCTCAGATCCCGCATGATGGTTGGCGCAAACACGACGGCCAGATTTTTAGGCGACATCTGACACGATTATTAGCATTAGCAGTTACTAAGAGGAGACGAGAGGCGGATAAACTGACCAAGTTTTCAGGCTCTCTAATTGCCACGCGGTGAAGATGGAACATGAGGAACTCCAGACAGTCTCGGTGGGCTGGAGGCATCGACGTAAAGACTTTGTGAAGGTGGGAGCAGCGTTCAGCTTCGTCAGTAATAGCTATATACAATGTTAGAAAACATCTCAAGAACCTACTATCACAAGAAGAAAGAACAACTTACCATTAGATTCCAACACTCGCTCATAGACATCAAAAGTGAGTAGTGGATTCGGCAGCTTTCGGAAATACTGCTTCAAGACACTTGTGACAGCGGTAATATCCAAGTCAGGGTCGGAAATGTCATAGTTTTCGCTCTTGTCAAAGCCATCCTTGATCATATTGATTTGTGAATTTCCACCAGTCTTTCGGTAAATACCTTCCTGGTCCATGCCTCTCAGCTCAACCTCTTCGATGCATCGAGTTACCACACTAGGAATTTGACGATGCTCAAAGTCGCATCGGTCTGTAAGCTCAGATCCGAATAGAATTGAGGCTGGCTCTGGCGCTGCTTGTGCAACCACGATGTTGGACGGGGCTGCCAGTCCAGTCTTTGGATTTGCATTCTTCTTGCCGAAAAAGCCAAACTGTTGTTGGTGTTGCTTTCCGGCCTGAGCGTTGGGAGTTGGCGTGTTGGAAGTGTCTCCTGGGGCGGCGGTCATGTTGTACGGAAGTCCAATACCATCAGCTGCCAGGCCTTGCTGCTGCATTCTCTCGCGATCGTTCTGGAAAGCAACGACAGCACGTCCCACGCCCTTGGTGATGTTTTGTGCCATGGTCTTGGATCCCTTCTTCCAGTTGAATTTCTTGACTTGGCCCTTTCTGACTTGGACCACGGTAGGTCCGTGCTCAACAATGAGAGCCGGGTCCTCATCGCCAATAAGAGTCGTACCGGTTGCGACGCTAGCTGAGTCGAGATTGATGGATGACGTGCCCTTGTGTTGGCTGTAGATGCCCAAGCCGTTGGATTTGCCATCCGAACTAATCTGAGACTTGAAGCGCTCTTGAATCTGGTGAGTGAGATCATTGTTCATGTCCGCAAGTTGAGCATTCTTCGAGGACAATTGCTCAAATTCCATGAGAGCACGGTCTCTGTCGGCCACGGCTGTGGTCTTCTCTTCAACAAGCTGGTCGCGTTCTTCAACCAGGCGTTCGATCTCTTCGGTAAACGTTTTCTTGACCTGCTCGAGTTTTTGGACGAATTCCTTGATGGCAGATTCCTCAAGCTCCCGAGGATCAATGGGGGTCTGTGTGTCTTTTGCGCGCTCCACATAGCCGGCCAACACCTCAAGCTGTCGAATCATAATCTCAGTTTGAGTATCCAGTACGGAAACAGTCTTTCTTTTCTCAATGAGTTTCTGATTGAGATTGAGAAGATCCTTTTCGACACCGACGTGCTTCTCCAACTCAGCAACTCGCTGTTCAGAGGACCGAAGTTGTTGCTTGAGGACCAGGGCAGCGGTATCGGCGGCCGAAACCGAAATTGAAATCGGGCTTCCAGATTCTTGTGCCTGGCCGTTCAAGTCGTCTTGGGTCTTGGGCCAACGAGGCGAAATAGCACCACGAGCTGTCTCGCTGATGCTTCTCGTGTGAGTGCCTCGGGTTGGTGGATTTTGAGTAGATTCAGCGCTACTCGTGCGTCCGTGTCGAACGGCGTTGGAGACACGCCTAAGGATAGAAGACGCTGCCTCGTCGGCACCAAGTATCCTGGCCATATCCTCATCCATGGTGAAATCTGCGCCGCTGCTCCACCTGGGAAGTTTCGGTGAAACGGGCTCGCCTTGAGCGTTCTTGGATGCTGCTTCCCTGGGCGGAGTTGGAGCCACGGTGGTTGGGGGAAGAGGGGCTGCTCGGGGTTGCATGTAAGTATCAGTCAAAGCTCTCTCGGTTGCACCAGGTCTGGAGGGTGGGCTCTGGTGGGGAGTTGCCGTCGCAGAAGCAGGATCTTCAGAGGCGAAAGATTTGCCTTGGGTGGTAATTGGACTTCCATTGACTAAAGATGGCTTTGTTAGTAACAAGGGACGTGAATTCATCGCATTGGGGGCACAGAAGGAGGGGAATACCAGGGCGGGTAGATGCCGCTGCGACCTCTTTTCGCGGGATGCTCTTGACACTGTCAGAGCGGGGTCCAACTTTGACACTTGAATCGCCATCGTCTTGGGCCTTGGAATCGTATGAGGACCGTGATCCAGGAGTGCTATCCAGTGCTTTGCGTGGTTCAACTTGCGATGTGCTGTCTTTCCGTGGGGTGCTAGTACCCGTCCGACTAGGAGTACCTTCCTGCAGCTGGGGGACGGATTGCGAACTGTCAGTCCGAGACTCAGTAGGCCGTCTTTTCTTTGTGGTTTCGTCAGATGCTTTAGTCTGGCCCTGTTCTGATTTCGGAGAAGAGCGAGTAGACTTTGCCTGTGAGGTTTCGTGGTCCGACTGCTGGCGAGATGAGGCGGCAGAAGAAGCGGCGGCGGCGGCGGCGGCGGCGGCGGCACCCATGAAGGCGATGTGTGTAGCAGAAGAATGTGAATCGACCCGCTTGTCAGACATGGTCGGCCGACGATCCTTCTTCATGACCTCGCCAGTACTCTCAGATTGCTTCTGTGATCCATTTGGCGATGAACCCGTATCGAGAGCCACAGATATCATGAAGCCGTCACCGCCATCGCCGTTGTTGGACGTAATAGTCGAATTACGATTTCGTCGGTATGTGGTTGGGTTAAGTCCATCTTTGGCGGCATCAGCCTCGCGGTCTGCTTTGCCTCGAGCCGACGACTCATTGTGCCTATGGCCTGTACGCGGCCGTGGTGATAGCTCCGTTGGCCCATCGGGGTCGACGCGGTCGTTTGAAAAGGCATTGTTGGGAATTACGCCGGGAGGAAGGGCTGGGAGAGACTTTTCTGGCACGTTGGGCGCCTGTTCTTTCTCCTTGGCTTTGGCTGCCGCCGCGGCTTTGGATTTCTTTCTTCTCCTGGCCATTAAGGTCTCATAACAGTCCATGCAGAAAATGCCCTGCGACGTTCTGGCATAGCGCAGGTTTTCGATCTTGCGCTTGCAGTTTCGACAGCGAAAGCATGTTGAACAGAATGCCTGATCCCCCGTTAGGATAGCCAGGTCCTCGATTTTGTTGCCACAGGCGGTACAGCTGTATGTGCAGTTGTTGCAGATGAGAGAGCCGTCACCGAGCAAGAGAAGATTGGCGTCGGAGTCGAGGAGGGAACCGCAAGAGGTGCATCGAAAGCAGTCGAGATGCCACCGATTACCAGCTGGCAAGACAAGAAGTTAGCACGCATGCATGTTAAGCGCAAGGTCAACAGTTTAGAGTTGTGTGCTGAGGTGTGCGTGGCGGTCAGGAGAACCAATCGAGGCCCACCGGGAATCAACACAGCGGTATAGTCTGAATAATGCCTTTCGCGCTCAAGCAAAAAACTTACCCAGTTCGAAAGCTTTTCCTTCTTCAAGGATCTAAAGGGCGGACACAGTTAGTCGAAGTCACAGGGCAGGAGCTTGTTCCGCAGCGCGGGTGGTATTACAAACCTCACCACAGCCCTTACAGGGGAAGGCATCGTCGGCCTCCATAGGGGTCTCCAGATACTCATCCACTATTGTTGAAGACATGGTGGGCTAGAGATGAAGACAGAAATCCGAAAGGATGAGGGCGAAGAGGTGTTGAGATGCGGAGATGTCGAGAGCTATACGTCTGTAAACATATATGCGTATGCGTATGCGTATGTATATAGCTATGCGGTCGGTGCGGTGTCCGATATCTCGTCAGCAGGCCGTGGGGAGCCGGTTTGTTGGATGAGGCGGGCAGGGTTGAGCTGTGGCCTGAGCAGGGCGGTCATGGACGGCGATGCAGAGCAAGCAAGCCGTTGCAGTCGTTGATCTCGTTCTCGCAATTCGCAGAGCAGCCAGAGTCTGGCAGAGTCTGGCAGCAGGTGCTCGCGCAGCAAAGGAGGCTTCTGGCGAGGCCGGGCCAAGATGCGGACGGCTGGGTCCGGTGCTACACAGCAATGCAGCGGTCGTTGCTCCAAGACAAGGGGGCCACGAGTCGAGTCGGGTCGATTCGAGTGCGAGGCACCACGGCGGGAGCAGCGAAGCGTCTGAGGGCGAGGCGACGGCGCAAGCAGAGGGTCGATCGAGAGGAGAAACTGGCGGAGGAGAAACTGGCAACGAGCTGGAGATGGGGAGTGGGAGAGAAGGCGGCCAAAATGCCTGTAGAAGCAGGTACCAGGGACTGGCCACGCCAAAGGAGCCCCCCCATGGTCCCCTAAAACAGGTACGGCGAGTACGCTGACAGGGAGCTGGCGGTACAAGTTTGCGCCGCGGCGTGTTAAGCTGCGAGGTACCCCGAATTAGCTGGTGCAGATTCAAGACCAAAGGACTCTTTAGCACGTCGTTAGCGGCAGGCCGGGTCATGCATATCGCTTATGGTGGCTTGAAGAATTGAGACTGGAGAGTTGCGGTGATGCTGCGAGGCCAAAAAAAAAGAGCAAGCAGTATTACGCGAGAAGGTTGTTTTTCGATATGTGCTTTATTTTGAGAATTGCTTATTCAAGGTGGCAGTGAACGTGATCATGTTGTTCCCCTGTTTTATACCATTTTCTCTGTTTACCATATACAAAGATAAGAATAGATGGACTGCTTGGAATGAAACATTCCCAAGTAAAGCCTGGTGTCTGATATTGGAAAGCATCTCAAGTTGTGGTTATTTCTGCAAGCCACCCCCTCAAGTACCGACTTGAGCTGAGATCGCAAAAGGTACAAGGCTTGGTATCCAGATTCTACAACGCCCAGTACCCCTCTGAACCCGACCGCTCATTCCACGAACCTCCAACAACCGCCAAAGCTGCCTATCACGACGCAGGTAGCAGTGCTCCATACTTGGCATCAGCTAGACGGCAATCCTGGACGCAGTCGTAGGGAGCTGGTCGCACTACGGGGAGCTTGGTGCACGTTAGTTAGGTGCCTTATATGTGCTGGCGCCTGCACACGAACCACTGTGGGACTCCTTCGTCCAGGGGACGTGGCGCAGTTGTCCAACTACAGAAGCCAAAAAAGGTCAGGGGCTGCTCTCCAGAACCACTGCGAAAAATGTCCGCAAGGGGAGACGCGGGCTGCTCCCTTTTTTTCCCTTTTTCCTTCGTTCCCAAGGCACGCAGAATAAGCCGGGATCCGGCTGAAACATGAAACTTGTGATGTACTGGTACATGGACTGCTACTAGTAGTAGTGTTTGTGGCACGTTTTTCCGGGAGGTGACGTTGCCATCCAGCCCGAGATCTCTCGACCATTGTTCGGTATATCAACAACTGAAATGTAATAGCTCAAGCACCACAAAACACAATTTACTGTCTTGTTTGTTCATGAATGAACTTGAAATCTGCTTCTCATTTGAGTAATCGTATACGAATTTGAAATGAAGGGGAGCCACTGGTCCCTCTTCTGGGCTCTCTCGTCTTTGGCTTGGAGAGCCGCTTAGCCGCCTCTAAACATTCTACTGGCGGCGCCAAGAAGGCCAACGTTGGCTTCGTTTTCTAAGCTTCAGATACGTCCAAGGCATCGGCCGCGTGTCGGATGTTGCCCTCACATGATTATCAGACCTCAGCCAGACGTGAGGTGCTTCCGTGGGCTCCGTAACAGACCAATCTGTAGATGCTGAAACCAAGTTGATGCATTTGGCTGCACAGTATCTGCACAGTATGCGTGCCACGCCGCAGAAATCTAGAATTCAGGATTCAGCACTCTGCCATGTGTTACAGCATCAATGGCTTGTTTACTTTATTCAGCTGACTACGAACCTCGCAGATTACACAGAGAATCAAGTAGCAATTACATTGGTAAGCTGGAGGCTAACAAGTGCGCAGCGAGTACTCGCTACGGAGCACAAATTCCCACAATCTGCAGCGGAGCAAGCCATCAATAGACGGTCTGCAAGTCGTATGCAGCAACGTAGGACGAAGACTTTTACAGTGAAATCGCCACCGACGGAGCACAAGGTGTGATGAGGTTCTGCATAGGCTACCAAGGACCGCAAATAACGCCCGTAGTCTTTTATAAATTGCCCTGGAGCCGTGAGTTGGCTTCTATTAGCACTCAGCTAGCACACATCCCGTAATAATACTCCTATGAATGTTGCCAGTAACAAAGCAACAGGAAGAGCGCAGGTATATGTGGACAGTGCGTGCTATCGGCCAATACTATGGGCAGCGGCAAACAGGGGTTATTTCCACCGCCAAAACAACTCGTGGGGATATTTGATGGATTCGAATGATTCCACACCCGCCTTGACTCGGGTGCCGCCTTCCACGTAACGTCGAGTGCACATCATCGGCTTCCCGTTTCATCTATTGTGTCTTAATTTCCCATTTCCATAATTATTTGCATTCAAAGTTTTCTCGGGATCAAATTAAACATCGCGCCGCCCGCCACACGCTATAATTCCCATCAAGTTGCGTTGAGATGACATTCCAGAATGAACTTCCCCAAAACTCACAGGCGTTAGTCAGCCTCTGTTTCACAGCATGACTTTGACCCCCTCTCCACTTAAGCCACTGTTTCACCTTGATTGAGCACTTTGCAGCTCCTAGTACGAAACAGGATGTGACAACTTGTGAGTTTCGGGACGGGATTGGCTCTTTTGACTTTAATGAGGGCGAGTTGGTTGGTTCCTTTTTTCGATTGTAAAGTACGCCGAAATGAACGCCCTGATCCTCCGCATTGTCCATCAGCAAATAACATTTATTGATCCTTGATGCACTAACATCTGCTCATTACCTCCCGTGGAGATGTTTGTTTTCCTTCATCTTGCTTCAAGGTTTGTATAACAGAGCTTGGATGAGCAAAAATTAATTTTCTGTAACGAACCTCCCCCTCTCTCCTGAATATCGCCTCGTTCATCTTTCGATGCCGCAGTATGCCTCACGTTCACCAAATTTGGCAGTCTTCTCCGTTGGATGAACTGAGTTGCACATCGCCCAAGACGCATTTGATGCATCATGTAAATGGCTGAACCCCGTCAGCTTCCCGATTCGTACCTCGTCGCAGCCGATGTTTATCATAACCTTGTTCAGTCTATACATGTAACCAACACTTTACTAAACACTATTGCGAGCTCACCACTGCTTTCAACCCACATGTTTCCATGATACGTGCTACGTGATACGTGATACTCGTGCATACAACGATTTTCAAGTTTTTTTCTACTTCGTCTTCTTTCTCATTTCAGCAAACATCACATACAACTACCTACCGAAATCTCAACCCGCTCAATCGCTGCAAACAGCGACTTACCCTTGGCATCTGATCACTCAACCCTGGTCCAGCCGTCGATCTGCCGCAAAAGCCCTGTTGCTAGCCGAGCTGCTGTTGGGAAGCACTACCTCCAATAGGCAGCTGGCGCCTTCACTGCTCTGCTTCAATGTTTCAATTATGCGGATGAAAATTGGTCTTCTTTATGCGGTGCTCGTAGTACAAGACTCGTTGTTTCTTCCCATGGGCCTTTCTTGAAATTGACTTCAGCTGAGAATTCCACGTGCTGCTGATTTCGCTCCTTGTGAATTAGCCCTGGGCCCTTGCATCTCACGTTTATCTGCCATGCGTACCATGATCTGGCTGAACTTACACTCTCCATAAAGTTAGGTTCAACCCAAACACCATGTTCTGAAGCTTGTCTGGCCATCGCATCCCAACGAGTTTGTTCCAACTCAACCTAAATTTGTGGAAATAATGCGCGATCGAGTTTCTAGATATAGTTGATATTTTTTAATCATAAAAGTATCAGGTTTTCCAACGCAACATGCTCCATTAGTAGGCACTGTACCATGAGGTCGGTCCAGGTACAAAGTAGAAACGCCTCGAAACCGCAGAGCCCAGTATGCCAAGGTATCGTAACAAATAATAAACATGCAAAAACAACCAAGACTTTGCGGCTTATTTCTCACCAACAAGCCTTTTCACCTTTTCCAACAACAATGAGCTCTCCCTTCCCAGCTTCTTCTTGCCATCCTTATCCCTGGTCTTCGCCATGGCCTTCTTAAACTTCTCTCGCTCCGCCCGCTTCTGCGCGCGCTCCTCCATTCGCCGCTCAAACTCTGCCCTCTTCGCCTCAACCTCCTCACGGCGCTCTGCGGCCTTCTTCAGCTGCTTGTCGTAGTATCCAGGGCGCCTTGTTCTCCGCCGCTGGCCGTCACTGAAGCCAGTGTTCTTCTCGGCTCCAGTCTGTGCCATTTCTTCATCTTTCAGCATGAGCTGTCTGGTGGGATGAATCTGTTTTTCCTCTTCTTCTCCTTCCCCTTCCTTGGCACCTCCTTGAGACGATTTCACCTCATCCTCACCGTCATCGCCGTCATTGTCGCCATGGCTCGGATGGGCCTTGGCTTCGGCAGCCTTCTGGTCAGCGGCCTTGATCTTTGCGTATTCCTTTTTGACTTTGGCTCTGTGAATTAAATCACGCTTTACTCTATCGACTGTATGAAAGATATTGTAAGTTTCGTTGCTCAAGTTTCAACTCGGGCACATGATTCGTGTGAAGTGCAGGGAAATTTTTCTGACAAGGGAAGAGAAAAAATTGTTACCTTTACGACGCCATGGCCCATCCGGTAAATTCTCAGGCCCGACTCTGAATCCGTGCTTCTTCTTTGGGGCTTCAGATGAGGCATCTGCGCCTTCCGGCGTCTTTTTGGAGCCCATTTAGTCAGGCCAAGGTGAATCGAGGGTATATCTTGATACTTTTTTGAGACCCTCAAAGAGTAAAAGTGAGATGGCCGGTGAGGCGCGAGGTGAGAGAAAGCGCCTAGCCTCTTTGGAGTTGGCCAGTGGGGCAAGCGCAAGGTCAGCGGTTCAGGTCCCTCACAGGTGAGCACTGAAAGACACGCCAGCACAGCCCTTGCCAGCGATTTTCAGCGGCATTGCCGGGTGAGTGGGGGGTTCTAAAGCCCACTGGTCGGGTGCATAATTCGGGCTACTGCTGGCCGATATTAATGGATTATTATGTGGCGGGCGCCAGCTGAAGGCGAGCTGTTAAGGCGAGAGATGATAGATGATAAGTGAATGAGTATACTACTATTACTAGTATAGTAGTGCTAGTTCATATCAGCATGCCTATCTAATACGCGGCAAAGGTTGCAATATGAGCCTTTTTTTTCATAGAGTAAGGTAGAGGTGCTCTCAATACTACTTCGTTTCGAAAGCACGAGGTGCGCATCATAAGGTGCACATCATTCGATGATACCTGACAATCTACCATGGCTTTATCAGGACCCTTTGGGTGCTAATGCGGCACACCTACAGCGCTCACATGCGTCTTGACCCGCCTATGGCGCTGGCGCAAACTCCACTGCGCGCGCTATCCGACTCCCCGTGAATAGCGTGATGTGCGCTATCGGCATGGCGCGGGTGGTTATCGCAATCATTTGGGCACCGACGTAATGTTTGCGTGATTCACCGCCCAGCGCCGCCCCGGCAGTAAGAGCCCGTACGCCTGTGCGTTCAGCTGGGCTTGCTTCTGCGCCATCCTTGTACTTGTATTGTTTTTGCCGTTCCTACGCCCTTGCTGTAAAGCAACATTTCATGCTGTTTCTCCCATTGTCTTGTGCTCTTCTCCTTGTACAGCCGCCCTTGCAACCGACGTGCAAAAGCTTTACAGGCCCAGGACAGCGTCCCGCTTGGATGAACCGCCAGGCCCATTTATCTGCAAACAGATCGGCTCCGATGGTGACGGATTCGGCGGCGGCTGTTCATCACCTTGGGGGCTGAATATCATTTCGAACCTTGATTCCCATGATCCGATCACTTTGCGCTGCAGAATATATCGCCGTATAATCGTTATCAAATGCCCATCTTCCAGGACGATATCGAACATGTACCGCCAGCATCCAGCCCATCCGGGTCCCTAAGTATCGAGCCAGCAGGGTCGAGGAGTCGTCGCTTTTCCGAAGAGAGCCTGCGACTCGAGCTATGTGAAGGGCCAATTCCCGATAGCCCTGAGACTCGTCCGGCGATTCCAAAGAGCGATGAAGAGACCAGGATATCGGATAGAGCCGAACTGATAGAGAGGCTGAAACGGGGAGAAAGCCCAACTTGGGTTCCTAACAGACATGTAGGCTCGAGCTGCTTCCTCTCTGGATATTTCTTCCCTTTGTTTTTGTCTTCTTTACTGACCAGGGCACCTAGCTCGAGACAATTCTCCAACACGGAAAATCAAACAGTCAAGAAGACCAGACGCAGGCGTCTCCCGAATCCCCGAGTCTCCTACCACCAGCACCAATTACACCAGAGAAGAATAAGTCGCCAGAGTCAGTCGACGAGAGATTGCGAGACGGACTTGGTATTGAACGGCCGAGATCAGCCTTACACAGCGGCGATTTCACGAGTGACGGCTCAGCATCCGAGAGTGGACAGCTCAGTGACTCGGGAAGAAACAACGGCCAGGAACGAGTGCCGCCTCAGCATACCTGGCTTTCAACAACGCCGCCGAGAGGCTTTACACCATTTTCATATGGCGCCAGAGCCCAGCTGATAGAAAGCAATACCATTGATGGCTTCAAATCTGATTCATCTTTACTATCGACGTCGCTATCTAGCTTCGTATACCAGCCACCGACCAGTCCGCTTGCACAGTCTGAGACGAATGAAGACATTGACTTGACCGTGCCGTCTGAATTTCCATCTACCACATGTAACCCTACAAGGCGACATACTCTCACCTCTAGCCATGCAACGCCATTTTTCTCGCCTTCACCATCAAGGTCCCGGCTGCAATCTCGCATTTCATCACGGCAGGGTGCCTTGCCATATCAAGCTCACCAGCCTCGCCGCTCATTAACATCTGCTCCCACTTTCCTCCAAGGCCACCATCATCATCATCATTTCCTCACTCCTCAGACGCCAGCATTTCTGCGCTCGCGACGACAATCCTTTGGCTCGGATGCCACTTCGCCAATCCAACATGCTTCCATGGTCGGATCCTACGAAGAAAGCATTCTGCGCGGCCGCATGTCGACAACACCATCGCAACCATTCGAATTCTTGGCCCAGATTGGCGTTTTGGGGAAAGGTAATTGCAAACCGAGTCTTCGATGCCCGCGGCATGTAACGCTCCCTTTCCCGGCCGTGTACTATAGATACAGTAGCACTCCGCAGGGAGGGTCGCCTCTTGAAGACGGCCCCAGCCCGTATGTCGGCCTGGTTGACTTGGAGAACGGCCTTTCTAATCCAGAGGAGGAGTCTAGGTCACGGAAGAAGGCCCAAAGTCGGTATAGTGACCGAAAGCAACAGGCCAGCAACGAACCCGCCAGGTTGGATGGAGAAGGCGCTGAAGTAGATCGGGAACGATCCAAGGCTACCGGGCTCAGGCGCCCGTCGGGGTCTGCGAGAGCACCTCCGGGAGGAAGCTATAGAATCCCTGAAACTGGCCAAATCCAGATCATTATCAAGAATCAAAACAAAACAGCTGTCAAACTCTTTCTCGTGCCTTATGACTTGACTGGCATGACGCCAGGGACGAAAACCTTTATCCGCCAGCGCAGTTACTCTGCTGGCCCTATAATCGATAATGTTCCCAACATGCCCAAAGCGGACATGGACCGCCCCATACTCAGATATCTCATTCATTTGCACATCTGCTCTCCTAGCAAGGGGCGCTTCTACTTGTACAAAAGCATTCGCATCGTTTTTGCAAACCGAGTGCCCGATGGGAAAGAAAAGCTACGCAACGAAACCACGCTGCCTGAACCGCGGTTCTCTCCGTACAAGGCTATCAGGGCAATGACCCATGCGTTTCCGAGCCACGGCAGCAGTGCGGGAGCCAGACTAGCCAACGAGAAGGCTCTGCGACGACGCAGTATGGGCGTATTTGTGGGTAGCAAGACGCCGACGTTTGACAGCATGGATGGCATTGCGTCGTCGCCTGACCAGATGACGATGGTCGCTCCGTCGCACAGCTTTGGTCCCGGCAGTGTCACTCCCGTTGATTCGGTATCACCACTCCATCTACAGTCAGACGCCACAGATGGCGGCGACAATAAAGATGACTCTTTTGGTACCGCTACGGGACTCGGCCTACCAGGCGCTTTGTCTTCACAGGCTAACAGTGGCCTGTCCTCCCGAGGCCCAGATGATGCTGGCATTTGGGGCCCAGCGCAGTACGAGAAGCTCGACAAAGACGATGCTCGTTATGGTGGAAATTCCTTTTATCGCACAGCAGCTAGTGATTCCTCTGCGAACGCTCCTGAAAGTCTGCTCTCGCAGCGCTTGCGTAGCTTGGGCGTCAAGCCTCAGCAGAAGACTGAGCCAGCTGAGTGATATAACTACATGTATAATTATGTTACAGATATATTTATGAGCGCCATTTTACATACCGTTCTTCACATCCGTCTTTTTTATTCTTTTTCGTCTTTGACTCGTTGTCCTTACATACCCACCTCTCGTTCTAGCGCATGAATTTTGGAAACATAGAACACGGGGTCTAATTTCTAGTCACTTTTTTATGCAGCCATTTTTTTTCCTGCCTCTCTTCTGCAAAGATGAGAAGATTTTTAGCACTCTCATTCGTCTCTTCGATTTACTTCTTTGATTGACTATATTACAGCTACCTAGGTAAACACAAAGGTTTGCGCACACCTGCAACGCTGTGCATCTAACCTATAAGACAAAATGCTGTGCTGGCCATTTGATGCGCAAGATTCCAAGTTTATCAAGATCATAGCTGGAAAAACAGACAGGAAAAGAAAAAAAATGAACAAGAAAAGGAAAAAAATATATGCCATGTATTTAGCATAGTCAAGGGTAGTTAAGTATAGATGGATTGTACTAAATATCCGTCTGTATATACTGTTTCACTCTCATCCTCATCTCTCAGCACGAATTCGACTTCAAGTAAGCCATCAGCTCTCTTTGTTCAACTGCACGATGCAGTAGAATTGAAAAGATATAATGAATAACAAACCTCATGTCCCAATGCAAAGACCTCTCAATCGTCCCACACAGCCATCTTCGCCTTCTCCGTCTCCGCCCTCCTCCTCTCCTCCTCCGCCTTGGCCTCCTCCCTCTTCTTCTTCTCCTGCTCCCTCACAGAGCGCTGATACGCCCTCTGCTCGTCCGTCTGCCGCGGCGCCTTGATGCCCAGCCCCGCCGCAATCAGCCGCCTGGCCACCGCGTCCGTCTTCTCGGGCCTCCGTGCCGGGGTGCCGCTCCCGCTGCCTGTGGCGGATGCCGATGCCGTGGTCGCCATTGGGCTCTGGCTTTGACTGGCTAAGGATGCCCATTCGTGGGGGGATTCGTAGCCCAATGGTGAGGCGGGTGTTGGTGGAGGAACGGCGGGAGTGGCAAGCGATGATGGCGTTGAGATTCCTGCGTCCACGTCTTTGTCTTGGTCTTCATCTTCGTCTTCTGCCTCTGCTGTTGCCTCTGCTTCGTCGTCAGATACATCTTCATCTTCCCAAGAGTCTGCGACGGGCTCTTTGGACTTTTTGGATGGTGTTGCTTGTTTTGCGGAGCCTATGCTGAGTTTTGAAATGGTGGAGGCGATGTCGTCTTTTCCTTTTTGTGGTAGTGATGCCATGGTGAGTGAAATGGGCTGAGCTGAGCTGAACTGAGCAGTGTGTAGCGTTTCGAGTCAAGGTGATAGTTGCGTTGTTTGTATATTGTATTGGACACAGAAACTGAAATGATTATCCCCGTCAGGTAGGATCCCAAACGGTGTCTTTTTAGATCTTTTCGGAAGCTGATTGAGAGGTTTGTTTTGTTTGATTTACCACAGTATGAGTGGTTGTTTTACAAAAGGAATCTTTAAATGACAAGGTTCGAAGCTAGGTATGAAGCTTGCACCCAAGCTTCGCTTTAGCTGGAGATGGGTGGATGTCCATAGCTACTGATGTCACGTGCCCCACTTCGTTCTGCCAACCTCATTGCTGCGAGGGGAGCTTGTACTGCTCGAAGTTGATACATTGCATGCATTTGAACTCAGCTGAATTTGATCTGTTTAGCTATAAGTAGTAGTTATTCAGAGGAATCAAGTGTGTTTTATTAATGCTCATTGACGTAATGTTCGCAACTTCCCGGCATCATATAGACCAACTGATGAACCTTGTGTATGTCCAATCGAGCATTCATGTGCCATGAATGCACTCTTATTAAGTCCCATAGAGTACCGCTCTTATGACAGCAGCATATAGCTACTCGGCTCAGCTAATGCTGGCAAAGGGATACCCCCATCTAATGAGTCCCTGTCTTTCAAATAGAGCATAATGTCATCTGGTGTTGTGGGCGTCCATCCAGCCATCAGATATCCGATATCCGATATCAGCATAGAATACCTAGTATAGTCCAACTCATCTTGCTGAGTTCCTTACATCATTTCCGGCGAGATCATAGCATGATGACTCACAAAAGACTTCATCATCTCACAACTATCCCCCCTTACTCAACAATCGGTAACGGCAATCCATCCTTCATAAGAACAATCTCATCCTCCTCCTCCTCACCAGCCCTCCTCAACGCAACATCAATCCCCTCCAGCCCTTCCTCATCCGCCCGCTGATTCCACTGCATCTGCTTCACAACCCCCTCCTCCCCCGTACAGCAAACATACGCCATCGCAGAGCGACTCCTCGTAAGGGCATTCCTCACGCCCTTGGTCGTCTGCTTCTCCGTCACCAACAACCCCAGCACGCGCGATCCTCGCCACCCCGGCGGCGCGCCCACAAACGAGCCCTCCAGCTCTCTGATGAATTGCGGCCCTACCCTAGATCCGGCCTTGCATTGCACCAGAACCCGGAGCGTCCTCGATGTGGACGGGATGGTCCAGTCGCCGACGAGGTCGATGCCAAAGTCGGATGCGCCCCCGACTCGCGTTAGGGAGAAGCCGTAGCGGGCGAGGCGCTCGGCCACGAGATACTCGTAACGGGTTCCGGTGAAGGTGGGAGAAGTCTCGTCGAGGCCGGTGCGTTTTGCGTGGGCGAGGAATGAGGCGAGGTCGGAGTGCTGGGATGTCTCGAGGGACTTTGATTTGGATGTTGGTGTAGGTGACTTGCGGCTTGCACTTGCAAAGGCGCGGGTGAATGTATTGATGATACAATGGTTATGATTGTTGTTTATAGTGCCGAGTTTGACGTTCCAATGCCGCATTGTCCAGATGAAAGGTATAATTGCTTATCAATTATACATTAATTAGTTTGTATTGTCAACTTTATCCTATTTCAACTACGGGTGTTCATGGTATATGATCAAATGTGGAAGATGAAATTCTATTCACTAAGCGGGGCACATCCCACTAATACCGCTTACTGAAATACAGTTGGAATACCTCAACCATCACTTCAGATGAAGATGAAGATGAAAAAAAGTGTAACTGCTGGCAATCGAGACGATATAGTTGCTTTCATTAAAATTCACTTCTCCTAAGCATTATAACGATCAAGGGTGTTTTATAAGATATGTACAGTGGCCATCATCCCGTACTCCAATTAACACAGCCAAGTATCACCATGCGAAAATTGCAGTATCCTCCAGCATTCTAAATTCGACACAAAAAAAGATTTAGTATATTATCAACATCCATAATTACATACACATTCGGCATCACACATCTCCAAGTCTCCTTTACTCATATCCTCTTCCTCTTTTTTCATTACACCCACATCCCCTCTCCTACGCACGCATGCATCAAACCGCCATTTTCTTCCCCTTTCCCCTCCCCTCCAACAACTGCCAAAAAAGGGTATTATTTGCTTGTCAGTGACTCATACAGTTTCATGTCCCATCTATTCCCATTTTCAGTGAAAAAAAAAAAAAAGAAAGAAAGAAACACCTCGTCTTCTAAAAAAAAATCCCAGCACGCCTCATAAATATCATAAAGTTGAATGAAAACGAAAGAACAAGAAGATAAAACATCTCTATATAGCTTTTTTTGCACTTTGTCCAATGGATTATATGAAAGAGAAAAGAGAAACAAAGGAGACTAAGTTTCTTCAAATAGGATCTCCTTCTCCAGGCATGTTTGTCGAATACAACTTGCTCGTAATCTTGGGAGTTGGCTGAGGCGGCGCCTTGTCTCGTTGCTGGCGCTCCCGAGATCGGCTCGTCAGACGAAGATAGCTTGGCTGCGGAACGTCTTGCCTTTGATCTCGCAAGGTGCTGCCCAGCGAAAACGACGACGACGCGTCATCCATGCTTCCCAGGTCTATCCTATCGTCGTCTGCGTCTGAGAAGCCGCTCACCACCAGTTCGTCATCTGAGGCAAAGTCTTGCGGATAATGTGAAACAGGCGCGGAAGGCGAAGTGATTGATCGAGCGTGAAGACCAGCGCGAGGGGCCAAGCTGCTGCCCATCGTAAACGCTCCTGGGTTCATAGTGTTGGAAGCATGCTCCCTGGAAAAGACTATAGGTCGTTCAACGAATCCGTTTTGAAATGATGTGTTGTTGGATGCTTCGTGCAGGATTGGTAGGATCTGTTCGTCGTATAGCTCTGTCCCCGTTTCGTACGACTCGGGCGAAAATTCAGTGATTGTAAGAGATGATCGTCCGTCATCATCCGTATGAGGACTCGGTGGTTCGTCAAAGAAGTCATCGAGACTATCCAGTTTCGTAACAAGATCGCCCGGGTGAACCTCGACACGAGCCTCATCCGACAGCATGGTCTCCGACCGCTCCAGAGAGTCGAAATATCCATATCCATACGGGAAATCTTCCGAGTGGAATTCGACATCTGCGGTAGGTGTAGCCTCTGTCGAAGAACCTTCGGTGCTTTGGCACATGTAAAAGGCGGCATGTATATTGGCCCTCGTGGCCTCTGTCTTCCGAGCGGGGATAGGGATAGCCCAACCAGACAGCTCTGGAATACCAAAGAGGCTTTGAGCACGCTCATACTCTTTCCGCACGGCTTTGGATGTCAAGCGAGCCATGCTCATCCTCAGATGCTGCTTGTCCATGTGGCTTCCCGACATGGTCATAATGTTGTCAAGCACCTCAAGCGCTCCCATGCAAAACTCAGACTGCAAAAGGCGCAGTAGGGGAGATATGAGGTCAGAGCCATGAATTGCGATTTCAGGATTGCGCATATCAATGTCCGGAATAACAACGCAGAGAATCCGCATTGTCTGAACCTTGACCCAGGAGAGAGAATTGGTCAGTAAGCCCATCAAAAACGTCATCATCCTGAACTCCATGTGCGGCAGGTAAAATTCGCGAAGTGCCACGAAAAGCTGGTTCATGAAATCGTCCGAGCTTTGGAAATGGTCGGATATCAAATCATCTAGTACAAGGCCGATTCCCTCGAGGCCTTGCCGATCAGACTCGGAGAGAAGGATCTTGGCTGTATTTATTGCCTCTGGAGAGAGACCACCTCGTTCCAATTCATCCAGGAAACGTGGGAAATTCGCCAGCAGGGCAAAGAAGAGCCGGTTATCGTCTCCAATGAGGCCGTCCCCAGGAAGTTTGACTAGCTCATCCATGATATCAAGCGTTGGCTGCCAACACAGAGATGACCTCAGGCCTTTATGAAGCAAAGGTTGAAGCCCCTCGAATTGGCCTTCCCATTTACTCGGCTGCCCATCCGCAATCAGCCTTCTCACATTTGCGGCTCTAAAATCGACCTTGCCGATTAATTCCTTTAGCATTTCCAATGCCTCAAGGAATTCGCGCTCATTGATTGATTCCAAGCAGGCACAAGTTGTCCAGAACAACTGTGGAAAGGTAATGAGCTTTTCGGAATCTAGCTTGACAATAAGCGTCTTAAGAGTTGTCAAGATCTCCATGGAAAATGTTTGGATTTCAGCGTCTTCATCAGCAATTGTATTCGAAAGACGAGCAAGCATATCGCCAAGCATATACTGGTCTAACGATGTGAGAACGCATCGGAATATCTGAAATGAGCGGCATGCCAAGTGCCTAACTGGGCACGAGGTAGCCCATGTCAAGGATAATCTACCCCATTGTTCTTTGATCCCCGGGAAAGCGACCTCAAAAGTCTTCACAACCTCGTTAGTAAGATATTCCATGCTTTGGGGAACTTTGTTCTCGTGATCGTAGACTTTTCCACTGCTATCTTCGTAGCTCCACACGACAGAACGATCATGCTGACGAACTAAATCTATCAGTTCCTCAATAGATTCCTTCCGGTCCAGATCCGTTTGATCATCAAGGCGTGACATCACCAGTTCATGAATAAGATGCACCAACATCTCACGAGCTTGTTCTTGAACCAACGGGGTGTAATGATCCCACAGCGCGGTGACGGTATGCAGCAACAGGGGAACGCACTCTGGGCTCAGCTGCACTGGAGACACCATGAGATCCACAAGCAAGATCAGCGACAGTTGTCCGAGAGAGAATCCAGCTTGCTTGGTGCCCACAGGCAAGGCTTCTGCCAGGTCGGCGCAGTATGGTAGACTACTAGTATCCGGCGGTGGCTGAGGCAGCTCTCTCTTCTCGATGGGAACCATGGCTTTGGGGTTGATCTGCGTAAGCAGGAACTCAACAACTCTATTACCAGGCGCACTACCCGATGTGGAGAGGAAGACGACGATTTGCTTTGCGTACTCGACAAAGTTCTGTTCGCGTCGCTCAAGGCAGAGCTGCATGATAAAATCGAGCACCATACTTACGTTTCCAAGATGCGGTCCGGTGGCAAGGGCTTGCCAAAGGGCCTGAACCTCGTTATGCAGCGCCCCGCCAGATTTGATTGTGATTTCCAGCAAATTCGCCAGGAGAACGTAGGACTGCGCCGTGGGACCTCCGTTGGGATCCAGCGTCAGTTCAATGGCCTGTATCCAGGGCAAGACAATCGCAACAACATTTCGTTGTGCTGCCGGTTGAAAGTCCTTGAAATAAAGAGCAAACTCGGAAATGACGTGGAAGGCAAGCTCAGTATACTGGTTAGCAAGCCTCTTGGAGATTTCAAATTGAGCCAGCTTGTACACAGCTTGAGTTTTGTCCGAAACACTAATGTCAAAATCTTGAATCTTGGAGTTTCTTTGCTGACGGGTCTCCAACACTCGCAATACAGTTGAAGATTTGGACCTGACTTCACTCTGATCATCTCCAAGCATAAAGAGACACAGGGCGAGGAGTTTCCAAAAGGGGCAAGGGTAGTCAGGGTGCTCTTGTAACACGTCAACAGTGACCAAGAAATAACTTTCGAGGACTTTGGAAATATCAGCCAGATAACAGCGCGCGATGCAGTGCTCCAGCAGATACGGGTACTCTTTGTTGTGGACCACCAGATTTTTCAGGGCCCTTCTGCCAATGACGTTCATCTTGTCGCTGCCCGAGTTGAAAATGGCCTCGATCCACGAAAGCATTCGGCGTATGTCAAACTGCAGCGTGACACCACTCTCTGTTGTGATATTGATTGGCCCGCCACACAACGACGCCATGGCGCTCAAGGCGGCGGTTCTCAGATTACGTTTCTCAATTTCCATTGCCGCGGTGGCAGTACCTCGTTCACCCAAAGATTGCTGATTCATCAAGTTCTGCCGCATATTGTCTTCCCTAGCCCGAATCTCATTCTGATTTGGCGAAAATCCGCACCAATCTTCCATCAGAGAAAAGGCTGACTTTCGAGATTCAAATGTCATCCATCGAGAGGGATCATTTGTCCGATTGATTCCTTCAAACAGCGATTCCATGAGCCCACAGTAATACCTTCGTAGCTTTTGGAACTCCCAGTCCATCTGCACCTCGCCATCCATTAGAAACAGTTTCAAGTCTTTAGCGTACGCCGTCAAGGTACTGAGGAAATATTCGGACTGGTAAACGGTCGGATCTTTGAGGAAATGCGACGTCAGTTTGAAGACATGAGTGATTTCTGTTCTGAGCAGATCCATCTTGCGATTTCTGCGCGGACTGCTGTTTGCTCGCTGATGGATCCTCGCACGAGCTTCATCATTGCAGCGGGATACTTGGCCCTGGAGTTCTTCTAGCAGAGTTTGGTATATATGAATGTTGATCGATCCCATAGCAACGACTACAGCATCTCGGACAGATGCCGATGTGGCAGATAAGAGCGGGATCAAGTATTTAAACAGAGTCCTTGCCGTGACAGCTTTCTCTGCAGATGCAGGCTTGGAGGACTTGCGAGTGTGCTGAATAGAATCCAAAGGAACGCTCTGTGGTGCGCTACCTGGGTCTGCCAGGGTGGTGCATGCGAAAATCAGATACAGCTTCCACTGCTCTACTATCGATTCTGGCTGAGCAGTAGGAGATCGAGGAATGGGGCGGTTGTTGTGGATTCCTTCTCCCGTGTGGAAAGGGCCTCGTGTAGGTTCGGACAAGAACACAATAGGCTTGTACATCTGTAGGACGCGATTGCAGATCAGATCTCGGCATATGGTGACTGCAAATGGGCACTTCTCAAAGCCTATCCGCATCAGGTTGGGAAATATCTTGAACCAAAGCGTCGTATCATACGTGACTTCGCTAGTGCATAGCTCAATGAGGGCGCCTTTGCCGTTGCCATTTTGCAAGCCTCGCTGCAGTCTACTGCGCTCGGCGACGGACAAGTGTTCATCGTCAAAATTCATCACTTGAGATGAGTCGTTTTCAAGAATATTGATCAGTCTCAAATCTTCGGAAGCATCTTTTCCCAATGCCTTGTCAAATTCCGTAATGAGTCGGAGGACCGTAATAGCAAAGTATCGAACGCGTCTTGACTGTGAGCATAGAAAGAACAGCCCATGTGCCTCAGCCTGATCAACTTCGGCCCAGACGCTAGATAAATCCAGCTTCAGAGCTCGGTTATCAGAACTATTCCCTTCAGATTCGCCCGCTGCAGCATCTCGCGACTTTTGCCTGATCTCTTCAATCCATATTTTCAGCAACTCGACATAGAGTCGCAACGTGTTTTCGATATGGTTGGCCCCAAGCATTCCGCCGTCAGACATGGTCGAATATCTATCATCAAAATTAAAGATGAAACGTGCAAATCCCATGGTGACCTGTTGCGCATGAGACTGGCGAGCAATAGCTTTGAGTGAGTTGGCAGAAGATTCTGCAATATTATACTGCACATGCGCAGTGCCTGTACATAAAAGATTAATTAGAGAATTAAATGGTATATCCACGGAGAGGCAGCGGGGAAGTGCTTGGACAGCAACATGTAGCAGTTCGTAGAATGCTTGCTTCTGGTCCGCCGCAGTTTGATGTTCATCACGTCGAGAAAAGGTAAAAGATTCGGAGATTGGAGTCTTGGGTCCTGGGCTGCCAAATTTTTCGTCCAGAGCAGCCTGGCCACCAAATGTATTGTCGCAAACAATTGTTATCTTGCCCAAGATTTCACAGAATTTGAGATAATATTCTCGTACACCATCCGTCAGTACGTGAGTCAGAACAGGCCGTGAGACATGGCTTTCCCTCATTGACGAAGTGCTTGATCCAGACGTAGGACTACTTCGAGGAGGTGCTAGCATTGGCGATGTAGGAAATCGCTCTGCACTTGTTGGGCTCGAGTCGTAAATCTGAGGAAATGGTGGTCGGCCTTGCTCTCCTTTTTCTAAATCTGACATGATACTCAAGAAAGCCCTAATGCCGACTACAATCCTGTCAGGATCCAGCTGCTCAACTCTGAGATCTTTATTGGCAATGAAGAGCTCAGCATTAATGAGAGGGAAGATGACGGTGCGGAAGCAAAACTCGGGGTATTTGAAACCAATGATGCGGATTATCTGAATCAGAGGTTCTGTGATGGTGGCATCAGATGCAACAATGCTCCGTCTCGATGGCGGAAGGACCAATTTCATAACGTCGTCTAGCTTCCGCGCCACGCTTTGGAAGGTGTCATTGGTACGATACAGGTATGTCCAGACCAGGCGGGATATGACTTGTAGGCATAAAGGCTTGGTCAGTCGATCTTTTACCTTTGTCTGCAGAGGCAGAACCAGCTGCAGCCACTGCGCTCCAAAGTTGTCCGGCGAAGAGACGCAAAGCATTGTGGCCGTGAGTGGGAATGCGACGGTCCAGTGTCGTGGCTTTGTAAACATCTGAGCCAGCCGGGGCCCAATGGCTGCCACAACTTCCATCCACTTGGGATGCATCAGGTGGCTATTGCTCGCTTTGGATGCGATTCCGAGCAGAAGCAGGTCGATGATTTGGCAAAAAGCGGTCTTAACCCTTGGTCCATGAGATCTGTTGAAAAGACGACCCAACGACACTAGAAAGTCGCATGACTGTTCCCATGCATCTTCGGGCGAAATTTTGATGCGAAGATGCTTCATGCCTCCTATAACAAGATCCATCTTTCCATCATTGGTATCGCGGCTTGTCAAAGAGGTAGGACTTTTGGTCACACGCTCAGTTAGAGCGCTATCAAGATCTTCGATGAATCGCTTCGTGACTCCGGCGAAATTGATGTCGCTCATGTGGCCAAGGAGGAGGGTAAAAAGGTTCCAATTTGCCATCTTCAAGGGTGAGGCGAGTAGCTGCTCGCTGTCGGCAATCTTGAGCTGCCCAAAAATTATGCTCTCTAATTTGTCCTCGACTTCCGGGGTGATGGATGCTAAGCTGCTCTGGCATATGACTTCGAGCAGAACACGACAGAGAATGTAGATGGAGACAGTGGAGCGGCGCTCTTGCTGGGCTACATACTCTTGCTTCGAAGCTAGCATTCCGCCGCCGGAGAGACCGCTATCAGAGCCATTGGATACAATCGGGCCAATTGGCACAGGCTCAGTATTTCTGCGCAACAGCGGTGGGATCGGGTGAGCCACTCGTAACTGTTGCAGCTGCGCCCTCGCTTCGTTTGCAGCATCGCTTTTGCTCTTCCTCCAAAGCATCATTGAGTCTATCAGATTCTTCGGCTTGGGACTTGCGATATGGCCAAGGGCAACGATGAGCTGGTCGAAAGCCGGGTCCACGCCAGGGCCGCATATCTTGTCAATCTGGGGCTCTGGATCGAAGGGAGTGGTTATACATTCGTTCAGCTTTTCTTCAGCTTGTGCAATGAACTAAATCACACGAGTTAGCAAAACAGAATAAAAATACAATTAGCTTTAAGGAAGAAGGAGTTCAGCTCACAGAAGTAAAGAGCACGTGTAAGGCATATTCGCCTACGGTTTTCTGCTCGTCTCGATGCTGGCGGGATGATCGCGAAGGGTGATCACGCCTTGACTTGCTGTGCATCCGCTCAGCTCTGCGCGACGGAGCCGAGCCTGGAGGAGTTACGCCGTTGCTAGAGGGCGATCGTTTCATTGTATAGGTTCCATCGCCGGGGCTTGTCGCTTGTCCAGCCAGCATAGCAGCAGTGGTGGCCCGAGGTGGCCCAGCATCTCCCTCTAAGCGTGCTATAGCTGCTTGTATGTCCATCCGTTCAAGCCCCAGGCCAGCTGCTGCAATCATCTGAGGACTGAGCGGGTTGGATGAAGAGCTCGCGCCGCTGCCATTTCTCGAGTGTTGGATCCCGTGGACGATGGATGTCTGGCGGTGGTGTCCATAGGTGGACTTTGCAGAGTTGAGAGGCGGTTCGACTACCCCGCCGGTGTTGGATCGCGATAGAGGCCCAAGGGTTCGTGGCGATGCCAGAGGTAGCGGCAGCGGAGTCGTCTTTTCAGAGGAAGGCTCTGCAAGATTTTGCGAAGGATGGCGCAACGAAGCTGAGTCGAAGGCGGGAGAGCGAACTGGTTGATCCCACTCGGGCTCTTCATCGAGCCTCGCCGAAGATCTCGAGGGGAACTTTGCGGATTCCTGGGGATTGTCCGGCGCCGATTGCGATGGCACTGCGCGCGTTCACATTGTCAGCAGCTATCCGTTGGAAACGAGGCTTTTGGTGCGCCCGCATGCCATGTAACCTCATGTATACATGCGAGCTCGACAGGGCAACAGATTGATTGCATGAGAGGGCCCGGCAATGCAAAGACACAGCTACTCGTACTCACCCATCTCGAAGCGGACCACAGCCCAATCCCATCATATGCCTATGGAGCATGCGCTGCCGAGCAAGCGTCTCCGGCTCCAAAGCCCACGGCGACCTGAAATCCTGGAGCTTCTCGATTTGGCGGGCAGCTATCAGCCAGTTACGATGACACGGCTGCAGCCGGGAAGCACAAAGCTGGGAAACACAGCAGGATGCTATGCTAGTCGTCAATTTAGGTAGCTTGGCTCCCCGTTACGCTGCGCGAGCGAGACTAATTCCTTATAGGGTCCAGCTTGGGCGCTTTCTGCTCTTCTTTTCCCCAGCCGCCTGGGCTTAGAAACTGTCTTGCGAGCGCTGCAAGGGCCGTTGGCTGGTCCTATCAGATGTGACGGCGTGACGAAGGGAGGGGCAGATGGAGGCTGGGGATTGGTTGCGGATTAAGGGTCCTCCGGGATGCGGAGCTAGGTCGGATTCTGGATAGCATCATCTTGTCTTGGCCACTTGGTGTTGGCTATCGCTGCTGTCTCTGAGCCCTTGAATCTGTTTTGTGGGGAGGGACGCTTTGACCGTTGCTTGTCTTGCTTGGTTGCTTGGCTAGTTGGACGGCGTGTAAGGGAGAAACACAAGAGACTCGCAGTGGAGGTTGCTTCAATGTTTCCAGGGTAGCTGTGGCCAGTTGTCGAGCAGCATCTAGAGACCTGTTGTCACCAGGATTAACTCACACATCTCAGCTCAATGTGGTTAATAAAAAGAGCATGATGTGGTAGGTATCAATTGAATTCCAGTTTTTCTCTATCTAGATTGTAGCAAGCTTAGGCGTCTCAGCCAGGAGACTTTGCGCAACGTCAAGCCCGTTTAGATGATGTTGGTGTGCGACATGCCATCCCACATACAGGTAGTGTTGGACGTTGCGTCCTCGAGCAAGGAGTAGGTGTGGCAGAGGCAGCGACAATACTATCTATCTCTGGTAGGAGCCGGAATCGGCTATTGTTGGTATATTTCGGAAGAAGGCGGATAGATCTCCATTCATATGTACGAGCCTCTCTCCATCTGGTCGTTGAATCAAAGGTATCTCTTTTGCTCGGTGGCTTGCGGTTGACTCGCCTATAGCCTTTCCCCGCGGACTTCCCGAATCCGGACCCAGCACCCCACGACAGACGTGCCGGGAAGAGATCGCGGCAATCTACGGAGCACCTCTACTATCCATGAGGAAATCTTCGCTTGTAGCCAGTCTATTACACCCAAGATGCATGAAGCATTTAGCGGCCGACGGCAGTGGCGGCATGCGTTACAGAGAGAGCGAGTCCCGACAGCATCATTTTCCGAGCCTATCAATCGTGAAAGACGACCAATAAGCCACATGTCTGCACGAAAGCTTACTGACAGTACGAGTAATACACTAGGTGAGTTAATAAGATAGACAGACGGGCAAGCAGCAGAATTGGCAGTAAGCTCAGGATCTTACGTCCGAGGTCTTATTAACTGGCGCAACCCACCTTGACATGCATTCATAACTTGGCGATTGATTCCGCCTATTTCCAACTACAGAATCTACGCAGTAGGGCAGGTGCGTTGCTTCTGAGGCACTTCCCCCCTTTCCTCTTATGCCGCGGCATAGGTATTACTTCATATGTCTCGCACACTTAACTGCGAGCTCACTCAACGATACCTAGAAAGTACAGCCGATTCCATAGGCGGAATGCTGGCTCAATCCCGTACCCCGACAGTCTCTCCAAGTGCCGTTCGTTGACCCGACGGCGCCGACACCGCGGCCACGGCCCCCTCCATACCCCATTCCCGTCCTCCGTGCCGGGGATTTCCACACCAAGTAGCCACTAACGATGCTTCATCTACATCTTTGCTTTGGCAGCCTCTCGTTGCTCGCCCCGCAAAGAGTGCACCGGGTGTGAATTACAAAGATACAAGGCCATCAATGCGCTCAAGTGCCGGTAACGGGAGCGGTAGAACGTCTCATGGGCAGCTGGCAGGTACATGTATCTAGATCTCTTCTCTGGCTCTGTATGGCCAACAACACGGGCTCTTGATGCTGCCAAGTGCCTAGACGGAAAGGGGGTTCTTCAATACTATCGGCGTAGATAGATACGACGTGGCTTCAACCATGTACTATTCACCTCTATTGTTCTGCGCTAGCATCTCGATGATGGCGTCAGCGAGCACATGCGCAGACGGGGTATCGTTGCCACACGCGTACATGCGGTACACACTGGCCAACGTTTGACCTGAACGACGAGCGCCAAAATGCTCACCATGTCCCGGAATTGCTGCAGCCGGATTCAAGCCCGTCCGGGGCTTAAGCCGCGCCGCCAAAGGCTGTTTGGCACCTTGTAGTAAGCTGGGGCTGGAATGATGTTGGAAGTAGACCAGGCTAGAGGATCAGATGAAAAGGCACCGCCCTCCCTCTCGGACTGGCAATGGTTATTCACAACTATTTTTTCTCCTTCTTTTTCTCCTTCTTCTTCATCTTCCGCCAGTTTTCTATTTCTTCTCCGTCTCTCCCACATCCCTCGTCTCTCTCGCCTAAACCCCCACGACAGGTTTCCGGAGAGTGCGGCCGCATTTTCAACCGCGCGTATCAATGCGCCATAAGCCCGTGGCTTCTGGACCTGACTGCGTATTCGGACTAGGCACCTTAATCGTACATTAGCGGCCAGCAACCTCGAGTTCGCGCTCTTATCGATCAGTCGATTCTTTTTTTTTCTATTCCACGCCACGACCCACCGTCAAATCTCGCTGGCCTCAAGCCCCTCCCCCGTGGTGCTGTTCCGTCCTGGACTAGACCGCAACTCGCCGACAGGCAACTCGCCGACGCTGCCCGCAAAAACCGCTGCGCTGATCTCAGCCTTAAACCGATCACGGCCAGGCGAGGACACGCTTTTTTTCTGCTTGATCTCTCAGCTGCAAGGGGAATTTGTAGCGAGACACTCCTTCGAGCATCTTGCTTCTCTACTTTGGTTTCTGCTGAATACCGCCTGAGGTTTGAGGTTTAACGAGAACCGAGTCGTCGTCTGTTGCTGGTGCAACCCCGCTGCCGCCATGGCGGAACTGGACACGTTGGACATTGTCGTCCTCGGAGTCATCCTCTTGGGAAGCATCGCCTACTTCACAAAGGGCTCGCTCTGGGGCAAGCAGAAGGACCCCTATGCCGCCGCAAACAACGCCAATGGCATGGCCGCCAGGCCTGCCCGGACCCGAAACTTCGTCGAGAAGATGGATGAGTCTGGCAAGAACTGCATCATCTTCTTTGGCTCGCAGACCGGTACCGCTGAGGACTATGCCTCTCGTCTCGCAAAGGAGGGCAAGAGCCGCTTCGGTCTTGAGACCATGATCGCCGACCTGGAAGAATACGATTTCGACGCTATGGATACACTGCCCTCCGACAAAGTTGCCATCTTCGTTCTGGCCACCTATGGCGAGGGCGAGCCGACTGACAATGCGGTTGAATTCTTCGAGTACATCAAGGAAGACGGCGTCAGCTTTTCGCAGGGCAACGAAGACGCCCCGCTGGACAACCTCAACTACGTCGCTTTCGGTCTCGGCAACAACACCTACGAACACTACAACACCATGGTCAGAGAGGTCGACAGGCTCTTGACCAAGCTGGGCGCCCATCGTATTGGCGCCGCTGGCGAAGGTGACGACGGCGCTGGTACAATGGAAGAAGACTTTCTGGCTTGGAAGGATCCCATGTGGACTGCTCTGGCTGCGCACATGGGCCTGGAAGAGCGCGAGGCCGTCTACGAACCAATATTTGCCATTTCCGACCGTGAAGGCCTGACTGCCGAGTCTCCTGAGGTGTACGTCGGCGAGCCTAACAAGATGCACCTTCAGAACACCGCCAAGGGTCCCTTCAACGCCCACAACCCGTATATTGCCCCCATTGCCGAATCCTACGAGCTGTTCAAGGTCAAGGACAGGAACTGCATCCACTTGGAATTCGATATCAGCGGCTCGACTCTTTCGTACACTACCGGCGACCACATTGCCATCTGGCCTACCAATGCTGGCGAGGAGGTCGATCGATTCCTGCGCGTTACTGGTCTCGCCGACAAGCGTGGTCAAGTCATCTCTGTCAAGGCTCTCGAGCCCACTGCCAAGGTCCCCTTCCCTACTCCGACCACTTTCGACGCCATCGTCCGCTATCACCTGGAAATCTGTGCTCCCGTCTCTCGTCAATTTGTCTCCACTCTTGCTGCTTTCGCCCCCAACGAGGCCATCCAGGCCGAGATGAACAGACTGGGTAATGACAAAGACTACTTCCACGAAAAGACCGGCTCTCAGCTCTTCAACATCGCTCGCCTCTTGGAACATGTCGGCAACGGAGAGACCTGGAATAAGATTCCCTTTTCTGCTTTCATCGAAGGCCTGAACAAGCTGCAGCCCCGTTACTACTCCATCTCGTCTTCCTCCCACGTTCAGCCCAAGAAGATTTCCGTTACTGCTGTTGTAGAGTCCTCCGTAGTAATGGGACGAAAGGATCCTTTCCGTGGAGTCGCTACCAACTACCTGCTGGCCTTGAAGCAAAAACAAAACGGAGACGCTAACCCATCACCTTTTGGTATGACCTACGAGCTCCATGGCCCCCGCAACCGGTACGATGGCATTCACGTCCCTGTTCATGTCCGTCACTCCAACTTCAAGCTGCCCTCCGACCCTGCCAAGCCCATCATCATGATTGGTCCCGGTACTGGTGTTGCTCCCTTCAGAGGCTTTGTCCAAGAGAGAGCTCAGCAGGCCCGCGAAGGCGCAAATGTTGGACGCACGCTGCTGTTTTTCGGCTGCCGTAAGAGCACAGAGGATTTCATGTACGAGGACGAGTTCGCGGTATGTATTTCGAATTTTCCCTTAAGTTTTGTCTGATTCGTGTTGACTAATCTATGTCTCTTTTACTACCTGCAGGAATACAAGAAAGCCCTTGGCGACAAATTTGAATTGGTTACTGCCTTCTCTCGAGAGACTTCCAAAAAGGTTTACGTCCAGCACCGTCTCAAGGAGCGAGCTGCCGAAGTCAACGAGCTCCTCTCCCAAAAGGCTTTCTTCTACGTCTGCGGTGATGCCGCCAACATGGCTCGCGAGGTCAACACTGTCCTTGCGCAAATCATTGCCGAGGGCCGTGGTGTGTCCGAGGCCAAGGCAGAGGAGATTGTCAAGAACATGAGAGCAGCAAACCAGTACCAGGTATGTCTCATCCCCTATTTCCCCCTCTTCTGAACCCCCCTCCCACCCTACCGTGAAACAAACGGCAGGCTAATTCGCTATTCTTTAATAGGAGGATGTCTGGTCATAAAGAAATAAGTGCATTTAGCACGAGTTGATCAACGCAAGCTTAACCCCCCCTTCAAAAAGAGGCAAATTACATAAAATTTCATGCCAAGAAGGGAGAGGGTGTGGCATTTTCGATTGCGATCACATTGGCGGGCGTTTGTTTATGAAAGCCATGCACAAACATCTGGAAATTGTCCTTTTTGTTTTTTTAATCATTATCGTTATTAGAACAGACCCGTGTTATCTGGGCTTCGGATCTAGAGGTTACATAGCAGGAATTGCCTGAATAGCGCACTTGCATGGGGATTTTTGTTTTCGATGTCATTATTCATACTGCGTGGGATGGTAGGATGAATAGATACGGAGTAGTATTATAAGGATATGAGATGGGCTTGGATATGAACGGGTGGGGGAAAAAAGAAACAAAAACAGCGAATGTGCAGGTTAGGATGGTTATGAAAATACTGTATCTACAGATTTAATCTATATATTATGCTCAATCTATGATGGACGGCACCATCCATCGCCACATTCGCCGTTGCTAGGAGTCTATCTGCTAGAATCTAGAACCCTGCCGATCGGTTAAGTTAGATACACCGAGACGGGAGATATAAGACAAAGGCATAGTGCAAGGTTTCATATCCACAACCACTGAAATCTACCTATATACGAGCTGTTATCAAAACTAGGCAGTAGTATGTTTGTGGCGCTTTTGACCCCTGAAAGCCAATTTGCCTTTTTCTCTTTCCTTTTTTCTATAAAACAGCCAAGTATGTAGGTGGCAAAGTTGAACGGCCGCTGTAGTTGGCGCTTTGCCTAGGGTAGTGACTTTGGATTGGCCATTTGTTGGCCAGGGAGATAAGCGGGATTGCGCTGCTCTCCTTGCTTAGATTTCCCTTGCCACGTCCCAAGGAGAATCGGCATTTGATGCGAGAGTTCAATGTTAGGATTAAATGAATAGGCGACGTGAAAATGGGAGCACTATTGGGTATTGCAGAAAGGAATCTCCTATCGTGAGGAGATGGACCGCTAGTCTTGATGGCCTCTGTGATGCTGTACTTGGAGCAACACATATACCGGCTTCTGATTTTCGTGGTGGGCTGACTATAGATAAAAACAAACTAAAGCCTAGATTATGTTATGGTGACTGCGAGAAACAATAGCCCGAAAAGTCTTGCCCAAGTACTATACCATAAAAAGTAACACTTCCCCCAAAGCACTGGATCGACCGTTGGACAAAGCAACAATATGTCTTAGTAAAATGGGCCTATAAAACCGAGCGTACCAATGGCTTGCAGGTTGACTCATTTGAACGGCTTGCCGTCTACCCCGTGCATTTATGCCGGGGCTGTCAAGTGGATAAAAGACCCTTTAACCAGCATTCGTATGCAGTATGGGGAAGTCTTCCGGTCAAGATGGATTTTGTCTCAGCAAAGTCCAGCAATCCGGTTGGCCAATATACCTTGCCTCCAATGGTGAACCACGGCTATGAATGTCTGATAAAGAGGAAAAAGCAAAATTCTGGCCGGTAGCATCAATGCATGCACTTACCTTGCTAGATATTTTGACAAAGCCCGTGATTATTCAAGGCCAGATCTACCTATATTCCACCCTCATGTGGTCCTTATAAGACAGGATCCCTGCGCAAGATGCCAAAGTGAAAGGCTTTTCAAAGAATATGTCTATTATCCCTCGTTGTTTTTTCCTTTCTAATACGAAGTGCCCTCTTTTGACTCGACTGCATCTTTATCTGAATTAGTCTGCCTGGCCTATATCGCTCTTTTATACTTTTGAACCTCCATGGCCACTGTGTTGCATATTGTGAATATTCGTCTGAAGTAGCAGCACTGCATTCTCGTTTTGCATATAACGACATAAAGGATTCCCGTTTGTCAATATTGCTTTTCAGGGATATTGTATTGGTCCCAAGGCGAAGGAACGATTGCGAGGAAGACTCGGCAATCGCTGAAACGAGGAAATCGTGTGTTGGAATCGACTTCGGAGCAGTATCGGTAGTCGTTGTTCGAAAATTGCGTGACAGCTATCCAGAGATATCAGTGCTAGGGTCACAGAAGGCAAACGCTAATCCATCCGCATGGTACTTACTCTTTGAAGCAGCAAGCTTCCACGACGTCCAAGTATCGTCCTTCATCCTTGCAGACCCGGCGAAAAGGAGAGACCTTGCTGTCAGTACTCTTCTGGGCCAAAGCCAAAGTGACAGAGTTTCAACTTTCGCCTCGAGGTACCCAGAAACTTCCCATAGTGTCAATATTCCCGAGTCGAGGCGTCTGTTGCCCCTAGAAACAACACATCGTCGGCAGGCACCTGGCATCAACAAACTGGCAAAAGGCCCGGACCGACAAGCAGCTGGCAGTTGTTAAGCACCAGCCTGCCAACACAGCTCTACTTCAGCCTGAGTATTTCGTCATCTCTCGCTTGTTTTCGCTCTCGCCATTTCTTCCTCCCTCACCCTCGTTCTTTTTTTGCTTGGTGGTAATTCCGGCCTCGAAACTCGCAGCCATCACGCCTGCACCAACATCGGCTCCTATTCTTTGGCATAGCTTATCGTGACGACTCCTTCCTTTTTCTTGGACTTAATATTTTGCGGCTTCCGTTTCTGCGAGGCCACCGCATTGCTACATCCAGCTTAGGTAGGTCGATTCTGCCGTTCTCGGCTACGCTTCTTCTGCCTCTACGTCTTCTCTTCTGCCTCTCTCTCTTCTCTTCTTCCTTTTTCTTCTCCTCACAGCATCACATCACCACATTCCTCGTCACTCACTTTCAGCTTTCTGCTGCGGCCGGATCTCTTCATCTCCTTCATCTTGCTTGATAGCTTGTTCTATCTTAATTACTCTCGCTTCATCTCAATTGTCTTGGTAGCACCATTTGCCTTCGTTGGCTCTCGAGCTTCATTGTCTGCAACACCACGTAAACCCAAAGTCTGGGTAGGGTGAGCACATCTTCGAATGACTCGTCCCTGCTCCCAGTCTTCTGCTTCCCTCAGTCTCTCTCTTCCTTGGCCCTGACATAGCATCCTTTGCCATCAATTCCCGGCATCTGCCAACTGGCAGATGGACCATCCACACTGCCCTGCTTTTTGTTACTCCTCCTCGCACCATCTTTGATCCTTCTTTCATCCTCTCTCCTTGCTCCCTAACACATCCTCAGCTCTCGCTTGTAATCCTCTGGCCTATTCGACACATGGTAGCCCTTTTGCATTGCCGTGCTCTACCCTGGCCACGTTCATCTTCGATGCTAACTCTTTGATTGGTTCAAGATTTTCGTCGTACAGTCGAATCATTTCTCCATTTTCTTTCGACCACTACTGTGGCAGATCTGTTGTTCTTTGGGTAAGGCATCTCCGATTGCAATTGTTTGTTCCATACAATCCCCTGGCCAGAACACCAGTGTGTCTCTTGCTTTTCTCTGGCCCAGACAGCTCGCATCATTTAGCCCTTTGACAATTGAGCGATCCATGCTGCGGATGTCTACAACCATCTCATGGTTTTGTCCATCTCTACTCAACGGAAAGCATCAATCTTTGGCATTATACACATTATACGTTGCAACACATCACTAACCTCGTCTTCAACAGGCAATCACATGTCTTACCATCTCCACACTGTTGCCGAATCCAAAATGGAAGCCAACAGCGGCGTTGCTAATCCTTACTACACCGGCCGAGCCGCTCACGGAGCTGCGGATCCTGGCACAATTCTTAATCACTTCAATGGAATGACGCTCGGCGGCATGGGTATGCCCAGCAATGGGGCTCCCATCCCCATGGGACCAGGCCATGCATTCATGGTCAACTCGGATAGCCAATTTGTCCTCACTCCCGTTCCGGCTGCTCAGCCAATGGGCCTTGGCCATTCCAACGAGAATCCATATCTGAATTTCTCAGTTGCTCCAGGCGGCTATGGTACTTCCTATGTCGGCCTTTCTGCGCCTTTGCTGCCCTTTACCCCTGGCCGCCCTGGTACTGCTCAGCCTCGTGTGGATCGTGGCCACTCTGATGTTCCAGGCCTTGAGAATCGTCGTGGTTCATACTCTACTACAGAGTCTGCCCCTGCCACCCCGTACTACGGCGGTGCCTTTTCCATTGTTCGCGACTACCCTCCTCGTGTGGCTAGTCTCGATCGGTCTTCCTATACGACTCCGTCTCCCAATGCTACCAGCCTTGCTCCCATTGAGACTGGCAAACCCGTGCCTATTGTCATCTCGGACCGCACCATTGATGACCTTCTCAAGAAGGAGCCGGCTATTCCCAAAGCTGTTCCAGCTGTCTTCACTCCCCCCGGCCAGATGAAGACTCTTGAGCAGAGTCTGGAGAATCGCATACCAGGCAATCGCAATGTGTACATTCGTGGTCTTCATCCCACCACCGACGATGAGCTTCTGTATCACTTTACTACTCGCTTTGGCGCTGTTGAGACGTCCAAAGCCATCATCGACACTAACACTGGAGCTTGTAAGGGGTAGGTTTTACTCACTACAGCGATCTCTCTCCTCCGTTCCTCTGATACTGACATGATGTAGGTTTGGGTTTGCCAAATTCTATGACGTTCGCGACTCTGAACTGTGCATTCGAGCTTTCCACCGCCTTGGTTACGAGATTGGCTTTGCCCGGGTAAGATTCAATCATGCACTTTCTCGTTCTGCGACTGCTCTCTGTGGGGCCTTTAGCTAATTCTCTGTAGGAATCTTTCAACTCTCGACTCAAGGCGGAGGGAGATGATGGCTCTACTAATCTCTACATCTCCAATCTGCCCAAGAGCTTGAATGAAATGGTGAGCCAGTAACTGGGCGCAATCATTTTGCATAGCTGCTGCTGATACTTGTGTAGGAACTTGCAACTATCTTCCTTGGATACCACATCCAATCCAGCAAGATCCTTCGTGATAGCATGGGAAACAGTCGTGGCGTTGGTTTTGCTCGGTAAGATTCCTAGACTTCACCTTTTTAAATTCTCTCACTCTGACGCCGCCTAGCTTTGATTCTCGAGACATTTGCGACGAGATCGTTCGAAAGTTCAACGGCATTGGCATCGGCGAGGAAGGTCTTCCAATGAACATTCGTTATGCCGATACTCCAGCTCAGAAAGAGCTCAAGAGAGTCACCGCCGAGCGTCGCCAGTTCCGCACCAATGAGTACAATATTGGCGCCTACGGTACTCCTCTTGTTGGCTTGAACCCTGCCTTGTACAACCAGCAGTCTCAATGGCGACGCAATCTGCCCCAGTCTCGAAGGTTTGCTTCTATCGCCTAGTTCCATGTGCGTCTGCTAACCCTCGCAGCGGCCTATCGTCCTCGTCGCTCGAAGACAGTGTGACGCGAAGCTCAGTGATCCCTCGTGGACAATCTGGGTACGCCTATGAACGAAGCTCTTTTGCTAAATTCTGACTCTTTCGCTAGGGCGACTACGAGCGCGGACGCTACGGTTTCGACTCCCACCACGTCTGAGTGCGATGAGAGTGTTACGATTCGAGCGGAACCAGCTACTGTCGTCGCCACCGGCAAAGAGAACATCCAGCCGTCTCCATCTGCCAAGAAGGAGGCCCCGAAGAAGGAGGCCCAGTAGATATGCCATTTCACCTTCATTCGTTTCCTTTTTTGTCCTTTTGTCAGCACTTTTGTGCCATAATATGATGCCGGCTGCTTTAACATCTCTACTACTACTTGTTTTGGACTTTTTTGGGACCACTTACCCCAACAGTCAAAGCAGTTTTATGCCATGGCGGAAAACATTGTTCTAGGACCGGAGGATAGCTGATACGTGGGAACAAATTGTGTGGAGGGATCATTTTATGTGCCTTGTGTACTTTAACGTCTAGGTAATGGCAGCTGTGGTAAAAGTTTGGCGGCGTTAGTATCGTTTTTGACGCACACAATGATGAGACTGTATTATACCATCACTCTATTGCTTGCATCTTCTATTTCACTGTGCCTAAGACATTATGTTTTCCATTGTTCGCTTGCCAGTTTCATTCATTTAGTAGACTTTGAATAAGACGAAGATTATACTGCCAACTCCGCCATCTCCTTGTTGACTTTGCTTATAGATGGCTCCTCTTGCAACAGTCCCTTGGACAGACCATCGCTTAGCAAGCCCTGCTGTCCACTGCCACTCCCCTCTCCTTCATCTTCATCTACTTCCGAGTCCTCTTCCTCCTCTTCACTGTCTTCATCGTCGTCCTCGTCCTCTTCGTCTTCTGCTCCCTCTTCCCTTTCTTGGTCTGCCTCTTTCTTTTTCATGGCAGCCTCGAGATCCTTTAGCATCTTCTTGGTGAACCCCGATGCCTCTACTGTGGCGTCTAGCCGCGTGAGTCCATTCTTACCGACAGTCTTCTTTGCGTCTTTGAAGAAAGGCCCGGGCTGCGTAGGAGTGAAGTGGAATCGACGTAAAAAGAAGCGCTTGATACAGTTGACATCTCGGTCAAAGTACATTTCAGCATTCACATGCTCCATAGACACCATCTGTGGAAAGTCGATGATGACTGGTTCCAGCTTGATAGATTCTGTGCCATCCTCAGCTGCCGATTTGATCTCCTTGATCAAGATGTTGAATTCGTTGTAATCGCCGTGGATTAGGCCGTGGCTCGCCAGACGGAGGATGAGTGAGATGAGTTCTGCGTAGAGAGAGGCTGGGTCGGGCACTTCGCTTATTTGTCGGAGAGGGAATGCGTCTATCAGGGACATGACTATGGTATGTCTGGATTGTGCGATGGGTAACGGCACCGGGAAGCCTTCCTCGTGAAGTGCGTTCATAAAGGCATACTCTTTCATGGCGGCGAGCCTTGAGAGATACATCCATGATTGGGCGTTCTTGTTTTTCAGGTAGTCTCGGTTGGATTTGACCGTTCGGAAAGAAATTCGTCCCAGGCGATGGATCTTCAACACGCACTGCTTGCCGGAGTGATCTGCGACAACCATGATGTCGCTTTCCTTTCCGACACCGATTCGGTTACCGACGCTGTAGACGTCTTTGCGGCTGGCATGGGTGTGTAGTGCTAGGTAGTCGAGGCCTCCGTATGTTAGGCGGTAGCCGTCGTATTTGGCCTCTTTGACGCGAGCGATGAGGCCGACTTTGGCGAGGGTAGAGATGCTCCTGTGGACGCCGCTTGCGCCGCCTCGGAGGCGGGATAGTTTTTCTATTAGGGGGGTGGGCACGATTTCGTGGTTTCTGCTGCCTGCTTCGACCTATCATGGGGACAGAGGGTATCAATTAAAAGTGTTCCAATTATACATGCATACATATACATATATATATATATGTGTGTGTGTATTGATATTTTGCATGTGGAGGATGTTGAACGTACACCTGTGAGAACTTTCCAGTCCTCGGACGCCAGATGGCGCATTGCTCTGGTGTCCAACTTCATGGCCGGCTATATGGATTGAAGATAGTGAAGTACTCTGGATTTGATTTTCAAATTGACAGTCTTTGGACTTTGAAACTCTTCGTATGCGGGTATCTTTGGTCTATTTCATCACAGTAGAGGGGTCCTTTGAAAAAGTTGGTGGGGTCTTCCCAAGCAAAGAATTTGGCCAAGATCTTATCGATAACGATTGAACCAGGGTAGTGTCGCTAGCCCTAGTTTATACTAGCGGGCTTTGCTCTTGCGGCCACGGCACGTGATCATAAGGCTGGGGTTCAGATACGTAGCTCGTCCTGTAGGCGGCAGCGCCTCGCGTAATAGCCCATGGCAGCTGTGAGTAGAGTAGCGCCTCAGCCCAGCCAGAGCTTTACCAAGCAGCCTCCTTCACAGCTTCCACCCGATTCCGCTCACAACAAAGACCGCCAGCCTCCCCGGAGCTCCGATACTGCACAATTACAGATAACCAGCTTCATTCTGCAGTTTTATTACCATAAACTCGACTTCGCCCCCGATATTCTGCTTGGGGGGGTTCATTCACCAACGACGCCTAATCCTCTCTCTACGTCACCATGGCCCAGGACAGCGATTTGCCAAAGCCGGCGGCGGCCGCGGACAAGGGCAAGGGCAAGGCCGTAGATGATCCCAAGGCCGAGAAGACTGCTGCCGACGGCAAGAAGGAAGATGATAAGAAAGATGGTAATTCTTTGGATCCAAGCGCTCCCCCGCTCTTCGGAATCGCAAGTGTTTCGATGGCTGACTTGAGGGGTTCTAGCGACCGAAGAGGAGCTCAGTGAAGAGGACCAGCAGCTCAAGAGCGAGCTGGACATGATGGTAGAGCGTTTAACAGTGAGTAATTCAGATACCCAAACAGAAGAGAGGAGGGAGATGAGGAAAGGACCAAAGAGGGGCGACTGTTGTGCTGTTGGACGAGGAGTAGTTGCTGACGATTTTTCTCATTGCTTGACTTAGGAATCCGACAGCAACCTTTACAAATCCGCCCTTGAGATGATGAAGAGCGCCATCAAGACTTCCACATCGTCAATGACAGCAGTACCGAAGCCGCTGAAGTTTCTACGACCGCACTACGAGACCCTAACCAAGCTCTACGAGGAGTGGCCCAACGACGAGAACAAGGTCTCACTGGCGGACGTCCTGTCCGTTATTGGCATGACCTTCTCCGATGAGGATAGACAAGACACACTCAAGTACCGACTTTTGGCTCCCACAACTGACATTGGTTCATGGGGTCACGAATATGTCCGGCACTTGGCCCTCGAAATCGGAGAGGTGTACAGCAAACGCATCACGGCTGACGAGCCCACAGCGGATCTTATCGACCTGGCGTTGGTCTTGGTACCTCTCTTCATCAAGAGCAACCAGGAAGCTGACGCAGTGGACCTGATGAGCGAGCTGGAAATCATCGAGAAGATGAACGAGTTCGTTGATGAGAACACCTACCCCAGAGTGTGCTTGTACATGGTCACCATGGTGAACCTGTTGACTTATCCCGACAACGAGACTTTCCTCCGTGTCGCCCACGATATCTACATCAACCATAAGCAATTCGCTCAGGCAGTTATTCTTGCCATTCGATTACATGATATCGACTTGGTGCAGGAAGATTTCGACAAGGCAGAGGATCCCGTATTGAAGAAACAGCTGGCGTTTCTGATTTCACGCCAGAGGATCATCTTGCCAATGATTAACGAAGGCGAGGGCGACGACCCGGAGCTGTTTGAATGTCTTCATAACATTAAGTTGTCTGATCACTTCAAAGCTCTGGGTAAGGAGCTGAACATCCTCGACCCCAAGACTACCGAAGATATCTACAAGAGCCACTTGGAGAGCAGCCGCGTAGCCGGTATGACCAACCTGGACTCTGCTAGACACAATCTTGCTGCTGCCTTTGTCAACGCTTTTGTCAACGCTGGATTCGGAAACGACAAGATGATGCTTGTCGAGAGCCAGAAGGAGGCTTGGGTGTGGAAGACCAAGGGAGAGGGTATGATGTCAACTGTTGCCTCTCTTGGCACTTTGTTGATGTGGGATATTGAGAATGGTCTGGACAGCATTGATCGGTACACATACGCTTCGGAGCCAGAGATTACCGCTGGAGCCATGCTTGCCATTGGTATCATGAACTCTGGTGTTCGGATAGAATCCGAGCCTACTATCGCGCTCCTGGGCGATGCCGACAAGCTCCACAACGATAATCCTCTGATTCGAACTGCCTGTTTGATGGGTCTTGGATTGGCTTATGCCGGCTCTAGTAAGGACGAGGTTATTGAGCTGCTCATGCCCATGATTGCAGATTCTACCCAGGATATGCAAATCTCTGCCATGGCTGCATTGGCATGTGGTCTTATTGCCATTGGCACATCTCACCCCGAAGTCAGCGAAGCTATTATAACGACTTTGATGGATGACGAGCGAAAGAGCCAGTTGACTGACAAATGGACAAGATTCTTGGGTCTGGGCCTGGGCCTGCTTTTCTTTGGCCGACAAGAAGAGGTGGATGTTATCCTGGAGACACTCAAAGCCGTGGACCACCCCATGGCCAAGCCGACCGCGGTCTTGGCTGAGATTTGTGCTTGGGCTGGTACTGGTGCCGTTCTGAAGATCCAGGAGCTGCTGCACATCTGCAATGAGCACCAGGAAGAATCGGAAGATAAGAAGGGCGATGAACTGTTGCAAGCATATGCTGTTTTGGGTATTGCGCTTGTGGCTATGGGCGAGGAAGTTGGACAGGAGATGGTTCTCAGACAATTCGGCCACCTTATGCACTATGGTGAACCCAACATTCGGAAGGCTGTTCCCCTGGCAATGGGCCTGATCAGCCCAAGCAACCCACAGATGAAGGTTTACGATACGCTTTCAAGGTATAGTCACGATAACGATCCTGAAGTCGCCATCAACGCCATCTTCGCCATGGGTCTGCTGGGCGCTGGCACTAACAACGCTCGATTGGCCCAGCTGCTTCGACAGCTCGCAAGCTACTACCACAGAGATCAGGATGCGCTATTCATGGTGCGCATCGCACAGGGTCTCCTGCACCTGGGCAAGGGAACACTCTCCCTGAACCCCTTCCACTCTGACAGACAGGTGCTCTCCCCTGTCTCGACGGCTGGTCTCCTGGCTACAATGGTGGCTATGCTTGACCCCAAAGACTTCATCACCTCAAACTCGCACTATCTTCTCTACTTCCTTGTGCCTGCCATGCATCCTAGATTCCTTGTCACTGTCGATGAGAAATTGAACCCCCTGAAGGTCAATGTCCGGGTTGGTCAGGCAGTAGATGTTGTTGGCCAGGCTGGTCGACCGAAGACGATTACGGGATGGCAGACACAGAGCACACCCGTGCTGCTGAGTTATGGTGACCGAGCAGAGTTGGAAGACGAGGAGTACATTAGCCTTACCAATACTTTGGAGGGCCTGGTGATTCTGCGAAAGGTTAGTGTTTCATCCCCTTTCTTTATTCGACATGTTAGTGCAGCATATTGACTAATGCATTTTTACAGAATCCCGAATGGCAGGCAGAGCAGTAAACAAAATAAAGAGCATCAAATGAGGCTGGAGAGGTAACATAGTATAGAAGGTTCTCTGGATTGGACGAGGATTGAAATGAATCGAAGGGAGGGCTGCATAGTAATTTCCTTGTAGGCCGAGAGAAATAATATAAATCACAAAAACAGATGACTATACACTGGTAGAAGTTCTCGTGACACACTTTTGCTTTCCACTTTGCTCCTTTCTTCTGGACTTCTGTGGTCTTGATTGAAGGTACTGTTGCTAGGAGATGAAGTTTTACGAATGAATGTTTTGTGAGTTTATTTGTTATTTCGTAAACATCGTAATATATTTGTTGTAATGGTAGCTTGTAATACATAATATATCCAAAACTCCTCGACATAAAATCTATAATCCTGAAAAATGGCCATATTTATACAAGTCATTAATTATGTACCACTCCTTTTCATCCCCTCTCTTTTCTTTTCACCACGTTTCAGGCCCAAAACGCTCGCCCTCCTTGACCGTTCTATACGAGCAAGCCTGCCAGTCGCACCCTTGCTTGTAAATTTCAGTGCCCCACCAGCTAAAGTCCTTCATCCACCCGGGGTATATAAAGACAAAGAAGACAATGACGATGCCAAAGGCCAGGCCCGAGTCGAGCGCGGCGCTGAGGGTCATGGTGTACTTGCCCCACCAGGCGTTTGCGCGACGCTTGATGAGGTAGTTGAAGAGGAAGCAGACGAGGGCCCAGACGGAGAAGTTGAGCCCCGTGGCGGGGGGGATCCAGCCCATGGCGCCGAAGATGACGGGCAGGTTGACCTTGCGGAGGAGGCTGTGCTTCTTGTGGCGGCTGTAGAGCCACAGCGGGATGGGCAAGAAGGCGCCGAGGGGGAAGCACCAGACGAGATAGCGGTAGATGGCGGAGGAGCCGAAGAACTCGCCGGGGCCGACGACGCCCCAGAGGATGGAGCCGTTGAAGTGCACGCGGGCAATGGGGCAGGTGAAGCCGTTGACGGCCTCGGGGGTGCAGATGCCGTGGACGTTTGCAAACATCCAGTTGAGGACGCCGATCTGGGTGACGGAGGAGACGAGGGTGGCGACGATCTGGACAAGGAACATGATGCGCGGCGGGATCTTCATGTAGTGGCCGAGCTTGAGGTCGGAGGCGAATTTGATGCCCTGGGCGGAGGAGATGTAGCCGTAGGTTACGAAGACCATGTTGGCGATGGGGCGGCCGGGGAAGGCAACGCCGCAGATGAGCTGGCAGATGAGGTAGATGCTGCTGTGCTGGTTGGTGATGGCCATGATGATGCCGTTGGGGATGAAGAAGATGGCGCCGATGGCGAGGGCGAGGAGGAGGCCGTACCAGGGGAGGTGGACGGGATAGCTGAGAGGGTGGGTTAGTTGAGTGATTTGAGGGGGGATGGAAAAAAAGGAGGTTGGTGGGCTTACTATTCGACGACAAAGATGCCAATGGCGGCCATGGAGATAAAAGTGAGGAAGTACCAGCTGATGGGAGCGTCTTTATACCGCTTCATAAGACGGCTGTGGATGTCTTCGTGGCTCATGAGGCCTTCTATGTGGGATGAGCCTGGGAAGGACCCTGATGAGGATACTCGAGGAGTGCCCTGAGGCTGCGTGACGCCTGCTGGAAGGTGGTCGGCAGAGTTTGATACATGCCGATACCCTTCTTTTCCTTGCTCCCGCGCCTCGACTAGGGATTTTTTCCATGTGCGCCAGATGTCTTGGCCATGCCAGCAGAGGGTGTGTGTTAGGAGGGCAGCGAGGCCGGCGAATTGCACGCCGTAACTGAGCATATAAGTGACGGGAAGGAAAACCCGGCTGTAGTTGGAGTAGGCCTCTCTGTCAAAGAGGAAGCTAGACGTCAGAATCTTGCTGACATCGTAGACTTTGCCCGTGTTGTCGAAAACCGCGGCTGAAAGGATGGGCATGTAAGAGGCGTAGAGGACGTTGCTGTAGTAGAATAGAGGAGCTATGATCCACATGACGATGGCGAGACCGCCGATTACGTTCATGGCAGCCCAAAAGGGCACCAGGAGAGGCGAGCCGACGTAGGTGATTTGAGCCCAGTCAAAGGTCATTGGGAAGAGACCAAGACCAGAGGAGACTCCAAACAGGTTTGCGAGGACGACGCTCTTTGGCGCAAACCATGTAATGACGTTGAAGTAGCTGAGAGCCGGCATCAGGAGGCCCGGCAGGAAGTAAAAGAGCGAGGCGCAGGTCCAGACGATGTAGAAGAACTTCCAGCGGCTTATGGTCCAGCCGTTGGCGGGCTTGTTCTCCTGCTTGTGGAGAGTGGAAAACATTGCGGCGGACATGAGGGTTCCAGGCCATATCATGCCGCTGGGACGGACCAGGAATCGACGGGCCATGCCTGCGAAGCCGTAGCCGAGAATCTGCGTGGATATGGTCAGGAGCAGTTGGTAGACGATGGGCGCCTCTTGGTTGTAAAATTGCGTCTGCTCGACAATGACATCTGTGGCAAAGGCGAATCCAAAAGCCACATTGCTGCTCACGTAGACGCAGGTATGTTCCTTTTCGTTCCATCTCCCCTGGGCGAGCCATAAGCGCAACGACGTGAGAAACTTCTTTTGGCGGTGGCCATCGTGGCTATGGGACGATACGGCCGTTCGCACGCCGTCGGTGAATTCCTCCTCGGGGTCGTACGACCGCTTTAACAAGTAATCCCACAAGTGGCCCAGAGGGTGGACGAGTAACAAGGCAATAACTGGAGTGATGGCAACGCTGGGGTATCTCAAAGAAAAGAACAGATTGGTGGAGGAGCCGAGGATGGAGAAGAGGATGGACAGGCACCACATGCGCGGGGTGTTTATTGAAAGCGTGGTATCGTCAATTGGCGACACGGAAGCTCGAACGACCTCGTTGGGAGAGTTTTCGTCGGCCTCTCGGTCCGGTATCTCGGTCGAGGACGAAGCTGAAGAGGCATCGCCCAGCAATGGCCCGTCCTCCTCGGTCAAGTCTCCGTCGTCGAGCACAACGCTCGACAGAAGAGCCTCGGGCATGCCAAAGCGGCCCTCGAGGCCCGAGACGAGCGCCGCGCCATCAAAGTCCTCTGACCTGCGCGACGACCGCCGTGAAGCCAAGGATCGCTTGGAAAGGCCGCTCCGGCTGGTCGAGCGGGTTTGACGGAGCCGGCGCTGGCGGTCACTGGCGGAATCGGATCCGGAGGGCGACTGGCTGCGGTTCGGCGTCAAGTCGACGGAGCCGTAGGGAGAGGACTCGGACCGGCGGCCATCGTGCGGCAGCAGCGGCGGCGTGGCGGTTGCGCTCTTTGCCTTGCTGAGGGCCTTGTTGGAGGCTTTGCTGGAGGAAGCCATGGCAGCAGAAGCAGCAGCGGGCTCGGCTACAGCCTCGTCAAGCCCAAGATTGAAGGGCCAGCTATCATTCTGGATAATGGAGGAGGAGGAAGAGGAAGCGGAAGAGACTGAGGAATAAGAAGCAGTTCTGGCACGAGGAGGAGATCGGGAATGGGGGCGGGATCGGACGGGGATCCCTGGAACCGCGCCTGAGTCTGAGTCTGGGACTGAGACAGAGGCAGAGACGGCGTCTGATGGTGGTGCCGAGGCTGAAGCCGAAGCTGGTGCTGCTATTGCTGCTGGAGCCAGGGTCTGCAGCGCAACTCCATGTTGGTGTGTAAAAGAGTCGCTCGCATTCGATGTCGTCAAGTCGCTGGATTCGCTGGCTCGGCGGCCCATGGCGGGGCGATGGCGAGGAAGCGAAAGCTGTGATAGCGCATGTGGGTACAGAGTAGAGAGGATCTAGTAGTGAAACTGGCGATTGTGGGATGGAGATTTTTTTTTTGCGCCGGGAGAGGGGGCCGAAAAATTATGACCTCAGTGGGGTGATGGTGCGCTAGAGCCCGCTGTAGCTGCAGGTGAGTGCTGTAGCTGGAGAGTATAGCGCGCTGCGAGATCTGGTCGGGTGACGATGCTGAGACATTGATGGATTGATCCTGCGAGGCGCTGGTGTTGTTGCCTGGTGCCTCTCCCGTCCCTGTTTCTTCGTTTTGTCCTTTCATTCGACGCCAATTCAGTGCTACGTCGCAGTGCTAATAAGTTGCAGTTGGTAACCGCCAATAGCATATGCAGTGTCACCCGGAAATCTGGCCAGCGGACGCGGCTAAGCGAAAGATCAAAAGTCCCATCGTGTTAGTCATACCGTGTGCCCGGCAATATATATCAAATTGGCATCCCTTGACAGCGGCCTCCAATGGGCGGCTGGAGATTTCCAACCCTTATGCGCCCGCTGATAACGTTGGCTTTTTAATTCGCAATGGTGATCGAGCCGATAAAGCATAGTATTCATTCAAATCTGCATGCACTTGGCCCATGGGAGCGCCCGACTTGCGTGATTCGATATTTGAGCGAATGGTTCCAAAGAGTCGGTGATACTTGCGAGACATGCAGCTGCCTAGTCTCTTCGCTTTGACTCAGAAGTAGGATCTAACCTGGTATACTTGGGATAGATTGGGCTTGGCAGAAGGAAAATGATTTTATTATCTGGGTGTGGATGTTTGCACAGAATTGAGGAGATTTTACAAAGGATCCATACAGGCATGTTGGTTTCAACATCTTCAACTACACAAAAAGCATCAACAACAAGCAAAAAAGCTCTTCTTCATCTCAGATACCACCACGCATACCCCATCGTCACCATGCATATTACGTGTATTACGCGCATACACCTACAGCTAAAGCCACAGCTACAGCATTCCTGCGTCTGCCATGGCCCGAGCCGGGTCTTCTTAGTGCCGTCGCACTGACGCTTTTCTGTCCGGGTCAAATCCCGGCCGGTTCACGGACCCTCCGATCCGAATCTCCCCGCCAAATCAAATCTCACGGCGCAATGTCAATCTTGCTCAATTTGCTCCGTAGTCTTACTATAGTCATTTTATTTTTTTTAAACAATTATTTGATACAGCTATCAGAACAGCTATCGCAGCCATGGCCTCTCCAGTGGCGGCCGCCAAACAGCAGCTAAGACGCCTGATCAAGCAGCGACTCTCCAAAGTCTCTCAGGAATCCGTCCTCGCCCAAAGTATGATTCTTCTCACCTTACGAACAAGTTATATAACCTGCATAAAATTAATATTTTCTTTTCTATTTCTTCTCTTTTTCAACCAGGCCGCACAATATTTGAAACGCTTAAAAACTTCAAGCCCTACCAAGATGCCAACCGCATCAGCGTCTACCTCTCCATGCCCGTTGGAGAGATCCAGACCGACGCCATCGTTCGCCATGCCCTGAACTCGGGAAAGCAAGTCTTTGTGCCATATCTACACAAATCACCTCTCGACGAGCCCGGAACTCCAGCTCGCGTAATGGACATGGTGCAGCTGCAAGACGTCCAAGATTATGACGGCCTCCAGAGGGATTCTTGGGGCATTCCCAGCATAGATCCTGCGACGGTGCATCAGCGGCAGCGCATCCTGGGCGGGTCAGACGTGCTCAAGCCAGATCAATCTACCTTGGATCTCATTCTCATGCCGGGTGTTGCGTTTGACACCGACGACAAGGGCTGTGTGCGGAGATTGGGCCACGGCAAGGGCTTCTACGATTTCTTCCTGAACAGGTATTTGGCTGCGAAGCCTCATGATGAAGGTGAAGCGAGCAGCGGCCCCAAGTTGAGATTCTACGGCTTGGCGCTCACCGAACAGCTTCTCGATCCTATGAAGGATGAGCCAGTGCCCATGGGCCAGTTTGACCGGAAATTGCACGGCTTGGTTCTGGGCGATGGCCAGGTCAAGCTTTCACCAGATATCCAGTCAGTAAGCGCTTCATAATACAGCCTAATGTTCTCAAAGACCAGCATCTCCAGTATTTTATTGTCTTGACTATCGCTACCTAGGTACTGTCACAATACATGTGTTAGTAGTGTAGCAAAACTAGAACTAGATTGCTTGGAGCCATCGATACCAGTTCGCTCAGAGCACGTCATGGTGTATATTACTGCCTCATGGAGTATACACCTTCTTCCACTCTGAACATACATAGGCGACCCTTTCCTCGAGATTCTGCATCGACCGTGGAATCATCTGATATTGTATCCCCGCACCGGCCAGCATACGGCAGAATTCGTCATCGTATTCGCTCCAATCCTGAAGGTCTCTCGGCATAAGCCTTACTCCATCACTTACAAGCCAAGCCTCCACCGTTTCGCATACAAATACGAGGGATTGGGACATTCGATCTATCAGCTCTTTCCAGTAATTGGATGAAGCCATGAGTTCCACGGCTTCGCTTCCAATATGACGCGACGCATATATGATGGGATCCAGTCCGGAACGATCCGATATGATCCAGTCATGCTTGGTTAGAGCCTCTCGCTCGGTATTGAACTGGGCTTCCAATATGAGCGTCTGTAGCTGCAGGCATCTGCCAGGATCCGATGTGATGTCCTGGGCTGTGAATCCATGAATTTTTAGCACTGAGCGCGCGACCTCTTTCACAATAGCAGGAGGTGTGGTGCTGGGTGACTCTCGAAAGGCATTTTCTAAGGCGTTGACGAGTGAAGTTTTGCCGGTGCATTGAGCGCCGATGATGTAGATGTTCTTTGGGGTCAAGCTTTGCAGCGTGCTGGAGCCTCCCATGGTGGCGAAATCAGATGCGCTGCCACTGAGAGCGTGTGTTTGTTTGCATGGTAAGGGGAAAGTGGTAGTAGCAATCACATCCGGATCTGTGAGCATATTACCAACAGCTTCATGCGGGAGGCCTTCAAGAATGTACAGGTACGTATCAGTCACGCATCAGGAAGTGCGGAGAAAATGCTGCCCGTGTAACCACACTTTTCACTCAGCGTTAACAAATAAACGAGTTTTATCTCTGCCGGCATTTGAAGGACGAGATGGCTGTTTGTCAAATGCGTATTTGATTGTTCTTTAGAAATTTATCAGAAACATCCTCATCGCGAACATCCTAAGTGACTTACAATACTTGAAGCACTGAGACGACAGAACGGGCAGCCATATGCGCACTTTTCAAGATGCCTTCAGCTTCGGCCAGTCCCAAGTCTTTCGAGCATGTTCTTCTCGACAGCATTTCCCTTGATGACGAAAAATGGGAATTCCAGATACCGCGACTGCCAACTGCCGAGTCGGCAAACAAGCTGAATCTCATCAAAATGGTCAGCCTCTCGACAAAAGATTCGCGCCATCGCCTCGAACTCCGGTACGGACCAGTAGACATGAACCGCGCTATTCAAGATGCTTTCCTGGACAAATATCTCGTAGTCTCGCTTGCAGAGTTTCGCTCAATCAAGAACCCGAGTTCTTCATCCACGGTCGAAGGAGACACCAGCAAGGTGGTACAGCCAACAACATACAGAGAATGTTCAGAATATGCTGTCAAGCTTCTTCGCACTGGAATTACCATACAGGGAGTGCATTACAATTTCTACGGTCACAGCAACAGTCAACTGAAATCGCGAACTTGCTACTTTATGGCAGCTCCCAAAGAGCAAATCAGTAAAAAGATTGAAGGGCTGGGAGATTTTACAAAGATGAAGACGGTTGCGAAAAAGGCGAAACGGATTGGACTGCTCTTCTCAGTCGCCCGCGCAGCTATGAAAGTAGACCCGAAAAAGGTCGAAGATATTCCAGATATCGAGGTGGGAGACTACGTCTTCACAGATGGCTGTGGCTTAATTGCCCCAGCATTGGCCAAGGAGCTTTCGAGACGCACAAGGATTGTTTTTCGCAACATGAGATATACGCCTTCTGTCTTCCAGCTAAGATATCGCGGATATAAAGGGGTGGTAACTTTGGATCCATCCATGGCAAAAGGCGGAACTTGGCTCAAAATGAGAAAGTCAATGAAGAAGTTTAGCGGAGGCGATGATTTATCCTTTTCCGTCGTAGAATACTCAAAGGTACGTCTTACATCTTACAAGTAATATGTCTTTTGTGTTACTTGTAAGGAAATACATTGAATCTATCTGCTAAAAGTCCATCTTCGGTAGCCGTATGTATTCGGGCATCTAAACGACGAGGTAATTGTGCTTCTGGACGCCTTGGGTATCGACCGCAAGATCCTCCTACGGAAACAGCAAGAGCATTTCAATTTTCTGGCCGAGGCATACCAAGATCCGCGAGCTGCATTCAGGATTCTCTGCCATCTAGACAGGCCAGACCTTGCCGAGCGTGTCATTATTGAATCCTTGGACGCTGTGCGGCCGTCCATCAACAGGCTCGTCAATGCTGAGTACGACAAAATGCTAAATAAACGTGATGAGCAGAAATGCCGCATTCTCATCCCAAAATCAAGACTCTTGTTCGGGGTCTGTGATGCCTGGGGTGTCTTGAAGCCGGGCCAATGTGCTGTCAAAGTCACCATGGATGGGGACGGGCTGCCTTATGCCCTGAAAGGGACGAAAGTGTTGGTGACAAGAAACCCTTGCTTGCATCCAGGCGATCTACAGAAGCTTGATGTGGTAGAGAGACCAGAGCTCGCACATCTGGTTGACTGTATTGTCTTTCCTACAACGGGGCGGCGGCCAGCGGCAGATATGATGTCGGGCGGCGATTTGGACGGCGATACCTTCTTCGTGACATGGGATCCAGACATCATTCCATCAACAATCTCACAAGCAGCACATTATCCGGGAGTTCGAGAGCCTCTAAAATTCACACCAATCACAGATGATGATCGCTTGCTCTACTTTGCCAAATACACAAACGCATCGCTGGGCCGTGTCAAGAATCTGTATCTTCGGTGGGCGAGAGCAAACAATGCGATGAGCCCTGAGTGTCAGGAACTCAACAGGCTGTTCTCTCAGTGCGTAGACGGCAACCGCATCAATAGTAGCCAGCTTGACAAGTTTGCCAATCCCCCGGAGCCAAAGGCCGAGGCGCCTCCGTTTGTTCTCGACGAGCTTCACGATGCAGCCAAGGACATTATTGCAAAGCAGAAACTTGAGGCACGCAGCCGCACGGACAGTTTGGAAGGCTATACTCTGGATGCAATTCAATTGCTGCTCTGTAGAGATGATATCGCCATTTCTGAGGCAGAGTTGATCAGGATGGCAGTGAGGTGGTGCAGAAGAACAAATACCCCCTTTTATCATTTGCTAAACATGTTCGACCTAAATTCGCTCAAGTCAGAAGACAAAGCGTGGGTCTTGGCTCAAATGCCTACGTATGTCGATGCCCCGAGCCTTGTTCTCAACGCTCTATGCTCATCAAGCTTGCTCACTGAGGCCGAGCTCAAACACTTCCATCTTGACTATCCAGGCATGCACTGGAAGCGAGTTTACACAACCGAGCAAGATCGGCCTGCCATGTTTATGGAAGCAACGTGCAGAAATCTGGAACTCTTTCACAAGAAGATGATTATCTTTAGGCCAAATGAGCGACTGACTGTCGCCATGTATGTGCCGCAAAAGATAACTCCAGCCGACGACTTTGTTGTTGGTAGCAAAGTTAGACTATTTGCGTTTCCGCATTCTCAAGGGAGAGAGACACAGAGTCGTCTATCTTTGCCAACGAAGAAAGAGTATCGACTCTTCTGTGATCATAGTACGTTACAGCTATTTGAGGGTCAAAGACGCGATACATGGATATATATTGGCCGCGGAGGATCGAATGATAGCAGCTACCGAAATGCGCCTACTGAGAAAGACCGTCGGAAAGCGAGACAAGATTCTCTTGACAATGGCACGAATTTTGACTTTAGGGCGAGCATTGCGCTGAACAAGTTCAGTAAGAATCTCCAGAGCCATGTAGGGCGAATAAATAGACAGGGGATATCTAACGCGGTCAGTCTACTCCATGTATAACGCTTGCTATCTGAGATACTAACTCTCGGTTGGTACAAAGGAGATTTATATCATCAGCAATAGAGATGCCAGCTCTATGCGCAACTTGGATCTATGGGAAGACTACATTGACACAGAGAAAACTCTTCCCCTGTTTCCTCGCGAACCTAAAGAGTACGACGTTCCAAAGCTCCAAGACGTCGACTGGTCTCTTGGTGCACAACCTCCGCTCGTGGTTGAAGTGGTAAAACGGGGCAATGTATCAGCCCTCCAGGATGTATTAGACTCTTCGGCTCTACGACAGTTTTTCCTTTGGCTGGTAGAAAAGGAGCAGCGAGGGCTGCTCACCCGTTGCTTCAATCACTTGATTACGAGCATCAGGAGCGACAAAGTAATGGCACCAGCGGACACTCTTCGTACCATGGTCGAGTTTACAGGAACAATGCCGTACGTCTCCGCCACATTTGCCAATCTGGGTCTGTGGAAAGAACTGCCAGAGGAGCTGAATATGATTCTCCAAAACGAGAGTCATAGATTGCTTCGCAGCGTTATCCTCTCTGAAGCCGAATTTGGAGAACTAATCTTGGTACCTTTTCATATCATCTTGGATAATGTGGAGTTGCTTACACTTACCTCATTCTCCGACCTTGTTGAGCTCATTACTCTTACAGTCCATTCGCCCAGCACGGCTTTGGATCTTCTCCTTGAAGGTCTGGACCAACAAAGCTCCAGGTTGCTAACTGGTCGACCAGCTATCACTCAGCATTTTGTCCGCAATATCATTGGCATCGCTGTTGAGCACATCGGGGTTGTAAAAGAAGAAGCAAAGGAAAGAGATGAGCTTCTAAACATCCGCGTCATCAACGACGAGGAAAGAACAGGCAAAAACCGATATGGCACTCAAGTCGAGGTATCTTTCCGAATAGATGCCCCGGGCGGCACCCCGTTGGCAAATACTCATGTACGACTCGTCACAGCTAGTTCGCCGTCAAGTGCGATATTGGATAAGAGCTATTCGATGGACGGCCTGGTCGTGGAGAGCAGGTCGGGGATGGCAAAGATAAATTGCTTCCATCCTCCACCATCGTACGCTGAAAATTGTTCTTGGATTCTGGAAGAATGTGGCTTATTTGTGACTGCAAAGACGATGCTATATGCTGTTCGGGAACTTGCAATATCAGAGGATGGCTGTTGCGGAGTGATTGACCAAATAATGGGAACTCAACTTCATAATATTGGCAATACACAAGCAGCTCCTGAGGACGCAGCTGACGCTTTGATCCCGGCCTTAACATTGTCTGAAGCGGATGCTTCATTGAATACAAGCCAAAGATCAGCAGTGGAATCTGCACAAAAGAACAAGCTCATCTGTCTTTGGGGTCCTCCCGGAACTGGCAAGACACAGACCATAGTCGCGATCATCAGAAAGCTTCAACAAGACCCCAAGACTGAAAGGATTCTAGTTACTGCTCCAACACATAATGCCGTGGACAACGTCATGAGAAGATATCTTACGCGAATCAGCAAAGAAGGGCTCTCTCCAAACTCGTCCAAAATAGCCCCTCTGCGTGTCTCGACCGAAGTCCGAAAAGTAGGCGAAGATTTGCGAAAATACACATGCGACGCATTAGCCGGCCAAGAAATCCATTCCAGCCATGCTGCCCAGCGCCAGGCCAAACAGCGTGTTAAAGCTGCCTCAATCATATTCACGACGTGTATTGGCGCAGGACTGGGGTTGCTTCGAGGCCAGATGTTTGACACGGTGATTGTTGACGAGGCCTCGCAGCAGACAGAGCCTGCGTCGCTCGTGCCGCTTGTAAAGGGATGTGAAAAGGCAATCTTCGTGGGCGACCATGTTCAGCTGAGGCCTACGGTGCAAGAGTTCTCGCCGGCACTCGGCTTTGACGTCTCGTTGTTTGAACGGCTGTATACTCGACAAGGAACGACGCCTGGGATGGCGAAGATTATGCTGGATACGCAGTATCGGATGCATCCTTCCATCTGTGACTTTATCTCGAAAGAGTTTTATGAAGGAAAACTATTGTCTGGGTTAACAGATAGCGATAGACCAGTGCCACCTTCAGCCTTTCCTTGGTCAGCATCTCCAGCTACTAAAACCTCATCAGCGTCTGCCGCTCGGATGCTCTTTGTCGAATGTTCCGGGAGGGAAGATCTTGGGAACAAGTCCAAATCCAATAAAGAGCAGGCAGACCTGTGCCTTTCAATCTGCAAGCTCCTACGCTCAGCACCAGCGGCAACAGCATCTTCTACTAAAACCAGTGTGAATGATGTAAAGCCCACCGACGTCAATAAGGATGATACTACATCTATAGCCGTACTGACGCCTTATTCGCGACAATCAGAGATTCTCAAAAAGCTACTGTCGGCAATCCCAAACGTCGAAGTCTCCAGCATCGACGGCTTCCAAGGGCGCGAAGCCGACATTGTCATTTTCGTCACGGTCCGTTGCAACGAGAGCCGCGAGATTGGGTTTCTCAAGGATCTGCGCCGCATGAATGTGGCGCTTACCAGGGCGAAGCTGGGGCTGATAATCGTAGGCAACAGGGCGACTCTGACGGGAGGGAGCGAGGGAGAGGAGAGCACGGGGGTTTGGAGGAGGCTCATGGCACAGCTTTCTGATGTTGCTCTCTGAGAATTTACGCTGTCAATTGATGAGTATGACGTGGGTAATTTGGCTCAACATGCTCTAACTTTTCCGACTATCTATTGGATACCTTCTTTTGCCCCTGTAAGGCATAGCTCTTATTCTACATCTGCTACATCTGCTAGTTCTCTATGTTGAACATTTACCCAGTGACTACTGCACTCCTAACGCAAGAGGCTTGTATTCCATTCTCTCCAGCCATACATCCATGGCACTTATTGCTGGGAATGGGATCAGGGCAATCTAAATATATACATTACCTAGGCGAGCCAATACAGCTCAAGGCAACCCTTTCACCGCATTGAAGTTAGACCAATAGGTAGCAGATAGAAATCCTGTTATCAGTATCATGCTTTGCGCTTCTCAGACTGGAATAATCCATTGGAACCTTCAACAAGCAGGTGCTGTACTGCAAAGGCACAATCACAGCAACTCGAATCTTCGATGATGAAGATATGATAAGAAAGTATATGTTCAAGTCTCTCAGAGACAATCACATAGAATCATTGCTTCCTTTGTTCATTGAACAGTTTTGTAGCCCGCTCCCAAGTGTCATTAATACTGAGTATTGCCAGGTACAAAGCTTCCCATACTGGTGCGGCAGACAAGCCGAGTACTCGGCGTCGAAGAGATTGGAACCCGGAAACGGAAAAACCCTCAGCAACCCGCAAAAGAATTGCCCCGCCAAGTCCAGCTTGGAAAGCCCCCATGCCACTTCGCCAGCGAGCAAGGCCGACTCCATGATTTTGCCTGGAGCAGTCATCCAGATCCAACGCACCGAGACTGACGCCCGCGACTCTTGTCAGCCCCCGCCAGCCTGCACTCGGTGCCTCTCTCGTTTTCCTTCTTTACTTGCTTCTCCCCTCATCGCTGCGCCCTTTGCGTGGAGTGCCCTCGCCCACGGCACGATCTAGCTGCTTCTCCTCAGCAGCTGGTCCCTCACCACGTCCACGGCTAGCTGATGAGCGCTGGTTTCTCGACCGCCTAAGCTCGCGCGCAAATAGCTCTGCCAGCACCGGCTTCTATCTGAGCTTCCAAGCTTCTCTCCTTGCGCTCTGTCGCAACAGCCCGAGATGGCTACAAATGGCACGGCGGGCTTTGCGCCATCAGATGTTTTGGGGGCCGTCATGACGATGCGAAGCGGGGAACAGGAAGCAAAGAAGAAGGCGCACGAATACTTGGAGCAGTTCCAGAAGTCGGTACGTCGCAATCCGCTGCCGACGATTCGCCTTTCTATCCACTGGGATTCAGCGTGCTAACCATAATCGCAATTCTAGAAGGACTCTTGGGGGACCGTAATTGGAATCCTCCAATCCAAGGCTGAACCCGAGGCGACTCTTTTTGCTGCCATCACGCTGCGCGGAAAGGTTGTTCAAAATCTTTGCCTTTTTTTTTTTTTGCCGTTCCCGCTATTCTCGGTCCTCAGACTGCTAACGATACCAGATTACCTATGATCTCATCACCCAGGTCCCCCCCAGCGAGCTACCCGCCCTTCGAAACCAGATTCTGCTCCTTTTGAAGCACTACGCCGCTGGCCCCAAGCCCATTCGAGTTCAACTATGCGTATGCTTGGCGATTTTGGCGATCCAGATGAAAGATTGGAACGATGTGCTTTCCTCGGTCGTCCAGTCACTCAGCGACAGCCCCGAGAGCCATGCTTGCATTCTCGACTTCTTGCGAGTCCTTCCCGAGGAGGTGACTGAAGGTCGAAAAATTACCTTGTCTGTATGTGGATTGCGCTACTCTTATACGACGCGGCAGCTGGCCCCCCGATGGTTTCGTCTCGGCCGGTCGGTAACCACCCTCGAGGAACAAATCTAATTGCTTGGAAATAGGAAGAAGATCTTGCAGCGCGGACGCAAGCACTGCTGGCAGATAACGCAGATCAAGTTGTACAGCTCCTAATCAACTATTCACAGTCTTCGCGTAAGTTTTATACCCATTCTTCATCTGATAATCTTTTCATCTCAGGTGTCTACATTTCTGCAAGAGAATGAGGAGACTAACAAATGTTCCTTTCCAGCTGCTGCGTCTCGAAACCCGCTCCTTATGGAGTGTATCACGTCGTGGCTTCGAGAGGTTCCTGTTGGCATTATCGCCAGCTCGCCTCTCCTGGAAGCTATTTTCCAGGGTGTTACGTCTGATGAATGTAGCCAAGAAGCCGCAGAGTGCCTGTGCACGATGCTCAGAGAGACGGCCGATGTTGACGAATCCCAAGCTATCATCCAAACTCTGTTTCCGCGAATCATCAGCCTCACACCGCGCATCGCCACCCTGGTCGCTGAAGAGGATACCGAATCGCTGAAATCTCTAACCAAAGTGCTAGCAACTGCAGCGGAAAGCTGGGTAGTTGCCATCGCACGACAGCCAACCCAGTTCCGCCCCATTGTCGATGCTGTCCTCGAATGTGCCGCTCGAGATAAGGATCGCGATGTTATTGAGCATACTTTCAACTTTTGGTATGAGCTCAAGCAATATCTGGTGCTTGAACGATATATCCAGGGCAGATTGGAGCTTGTGGACGTCTTCTCCAAACTTGTGGATATTCTACTAACGCACCTACGGTTCCCGACGCCCGAGTCCGGAAGCGAAACCGACTTGTTTGACGGGGACCGCGAGCAAGAGGAGAAATTTCGTGAGTTTCGACACCAGATGGGCGACACGCTCAAGGACTGCTGCGAAGTTATGGGCGTGACCGAGTGCCTTACAAAGGTGCTTCATGCAATTCAGCTATGGACTCAAAAGTATGCGAGCCAGGCAACAGAGGCGTCAGTCCCACACTGGCAGGAGCTTGAGGCCCCCTTATTCGCGATGCGCGCCCTCGGCCGCATGGTAGACAAGGAGGAAGACATTGTGCTTCCTCAGCTGATGCCGCTCCTTGTACAGATGCCCAGCCACGAGAAGCTTCGATTTGCGACGATCATGGTGCTGGGACGCTACACTGAGTGGACTGCGGCTCATCCCGAGTACTTGGAGCCCCAATTCAACTACATTGTCAACTCGTTCCAGTCGGATTCTCGAGAAATCACTCGGGCTGCGGCGCTGTCACTCAAGTTCTTTTGCACTGACTGCAAGCATCTTCTCAGTGGTCAAATACTGCAGCTTCAGACGTTTTATGACCAGGTTTTGGATAAGCTTCCTGATCTCAGTAAGGAAGAGGTCACCGAGGGCGTTTCGAATGTTCTGGCTGTTCAGCCTGTTTCGGAGACGTATCACCTGCTCAAAACGTATTGCGATCCGCTAGTCCAAAGGCTGATGACGAAGGCAAACCATGCGACTACGGACGAGGGCAAATTAGCAGTAGCAGGTATGATCTCTCTTCCCTTCTCTTTCCATCTAAACGACTATATCCCTTTTTGCTGACTTGAAAAACAGACCACCTGCAGCTTATTACCATCTTTGTGCAAAATGTGATGCCTCTGGTTAACCATGGAGAAGAGAACCCTGCGGTCAAGTACTGGCAAGAAGTCTTCCCTATCTTGTCTACTGTACTAGACAACTTCCTCACATTTTCACCAATTTGCGAAAGAGTTTGCAGATGCTGGAGAAACATGGTCATTTCCTACCGGACTGCCATTACACCCATGCTTGCGGACATGGCAAATAAACTGGCCGGTGGTTTCAATGTCTCGAGAGAAGGCTGCTTCCTTTGGGTCACATCTGCCATTCTGCGGGAGTTTTCCGAGGCGCGAGAGCACGTGGATCCGAGCATCGCCGAAAACATCTACACATTCTTCGAAGCCCAAACGACAACGTTTTTGAGAGTCATGACCGAACTGCAGCCCAAGGAGCTGCCAGACGTGATTGATGATTTCTTTAGGCTGCTCATCGATGCGCTGCTATACTATCCCCAGAAGCTCATTCCATCTCCACTCTTGGTTCCCATTTTCGAAGCCTCCATCTACGCCTTGACTTTGGAACAGCGAGATCCTCTGTCTTCGACTCTCCACTTCCTGAGAGATTTGCTGTCCTATGGTGGCGACAATCCGGCTAGTAGCGAGGGGCTGCCGGACTCGGCTGCGGCGAGCATCAGAACGATTGTTAAGAACCTCCTCAGCAGCCACGGAGAAAATCTGGTGAAGCAAGTCATGGCGGGCATGATGATTACTTTCCCGCGAGACTGCTTTGCGGATGGCAGCGGCGTTCTACTCAGTCTCTTTGAACTTTTGCCTGTGCAGACGACCGAATGGGTTTCACATACAATTCAGCTATTACCTCAAGGCACCGTGTCTCCAGAGGAAGCCAACAGACTGATGATGAAGATCAAGGAGCGATTGTCGTCGAATGAAGCAGGAGGTATTCGGCATGTGAGAGTGCTGCTGCAAGACTTTACGAATACATATCGGCGCCGTAACGTTGCGCCTCGGGACGGCCTCGGGCAGCTCGAAGCGACCCGGTTTCAGTTTGCTGGATGAAGTATGTAAACGGTTAAACGAGGATGAGAGAAGCAGAAAGATTAAAGAAGGACTAAATCCACAAAAATTACGGCGAGAACTAAGATGAGGCAAAGCAGTGGAATAACAAGCATAGGTATCAGCATTGTCTTTGTGAACCCGGCGCGGATCACAAGGGTAAAGTGGTGGTGGATATGTATGTCTCTAAAGGAGACGCGAAGCTAATAGAAGGTCGGAATTGTAAGTGAACCTGAAGTTGGCATTGAGGCGCAGAATCAAGGGAAGATTCAAAGACAAGAGAGATTATCATTGAGCTGAGGGAGCGAAAATTTAACGTCATGTTATGTTGATGAACGGACATCTGGAGCCGAGGGACCATTGGGTGGGAAGGAATTCGGGATTGTTCTATGGGGAGGCAGATTATGCAAATATCCAAATGTTTTACAGTAGATAGACACCACATATTTAACAGGGAGGATGTAGATGGAAATAGGAAGAAATAATATCGGATTATATCTGAAGGATGTTGATAAGGGATGGAGTTGCGCTTTTCGGCAATATGCCTAGATTAGGATCAGTTGAGGTGAGATGAGAGAGTGCTGAACAAGGGCTTATTCATAACTATAAGCTGCGCCTGTTTAGCGTGTAGAGAGGACGTTGAAAGCGAAAGACACAGACGTAGTTGCAATTTCATGCGCATATGTACGTCCGTATATCACAACTCTAAAAGTTACCTTATCTAGTCGAAAGCTTGGTTCAACGGCTTCTGAACCCGTTGCCGCGTGTGTTGGCGCATGAGTCAGACTGTCGGAGCATGTTAAAGCAACATACATTTGTGTTTAGAACAAGAGAGGGCGCGCCCTAGGCTCTTTTTGAAAGTACAAGTGACTGAGGGGCATTATTGGTCCCAATTCCTTGGGAGTTCTAAACTGACTTGGGAAATGTTTGTACTAGAGCGATGGTCTGCCTGATTGGGGACTTAATTAAGGGCCGAAATCCGTTTGATGCTGGGTGGACTTTAAATATCGTTGATTGCGGACAACTCATCTTTAACTCTTGACTGGCTCTCTACTCATAATCAAAGTCGGATTTTTGCCCACATAATTGATGAAGCAAAAAGAAGACGCACGCAGAGAAAGGATCAGCAAACAAAACATTAAAGTCAACGCCGAGCTTACAATGTCTCCTCCGGAAACAATGCCCTCTTCAAAATACAACAACGTCGAGCTTATTCCCTGGGATCCCGACAGCGACATCCATGCGCAGCGGTTATACGAGCAGCGCGTGGCGTGTACGTGGGACCAGGATCTGATTGACGAGTGGAAGGTGAAAGTGCGAGAAGGGAAGAAGTTTTTTTATTGGATTGTGAGATTGAACTTTTGATTGAGGGTTTGTGAGGAAAGCCTGGGCTAATAATGATGGGATGTTGTAGAAACTCAGCGATGACTTTGCGGGAAAGGATGAGTTGATTGCAAAGCATATTGCGAAATACCCGACAGTAAGATGAAAGGAGTCTTCTCAGAAGATGTAACTATTCAACTCATCAAAAAACAGGAAAAAGAAGCCATCGTCGATACAGCAACTACTCTGGCCAAATCATCCCGAACGCCAACTCTCACAACCTTCATGCCAATCGGTCACATCGCACTCGATCTCTATCCAGAGCGAAACACACAATTCTCACTTCCCCAATCTACAGTATGGATCAAATCGCTCTACATCTCACGGTACGTTCCAACTCTCAAGCCGCAACACCCAGTTATCAAGATCTCATTTTTTTTCTTCTTCAGAACAATGCAATCCGGCGGTTTCGGCCGCTCGGCAATGTACCAAATCGAGCATCTGGCCACCTGCCCACCTCTCAACGCCACGACCATGGCGCTCGACACTTCGACAAAGGAGTATCAGACAACGCCGCAATATCTGGCCTATCACTCTGAGATGAATGGGCGCAAGATTGAGGCAAAGGACTTCAGGTCCAACGAGGAGTGGTATGTGCGACAGGGGTATCAGGCTATTGCGAGGAATGAGCGTGGGTATACGTGGGTTGATCCGAAGACGGGCGTTGAGGAGGTGATTCCGTGCGTGTTTCTGAAAAAGGACATTGTTTGAGCGGTGGATGTTGTTGTTTGAGCTGCGAATGACTGTCAAAGGATCGTTTTCATAGACTAGATGAAAGGCGCAATTCAGGGGGTTACGTTGAAAGAGCATTGTTCAACCATCTCTTTGTTAGATGTTGTAGTAACCTTCGTTGTTTACTGCTTAACTCACATCAATTTATTATCTTAACTCTGCGTAAATTCTCTGTGACTTCATAATATCCCTGGTCTATTGTTTTTTCTGTCTCCCTTGTGCCAAATATGATCACGTACATGAAAGCCATCAACTGTATAATGAGTTTCTTTGACATCGGACTTGCAAGGCATTTCATAAGATTTCCTAATTGTATCATTATGAAAATGGCCCAAGTCCCGTCTAAATATGAACCAAAGACATCGCTTTGTACTTGCTGCGTATCCCAGAATGGCTTATAAAGTAAACTTGTGCCATAAGGATGAGAAAATAATGCAAGTCATTTGTGCACATCTGCATTTGCATCGTAGGTCGAGGATCCCACCCGCATCAATACACTCTCAGTGTAGAGCGGCAGTGAAAGAGTTTACAACCATGGCCACCATTGCAGACAGAATCAAGGATAGGATCCTGCGAAGAACCAATACTGGACGCATAACTCGCAATCGATCTGACCAGAAGCAGCAACCTCTATCACACATAGTACAAAACGCCCGTAATCGGCTAAATCCAAAGAAAAAGGGCACAGTCGGTGACGATGAAGACGACAACGAAGACGAAGACGGCAGTGGAGATGACAATCACCAAGATGGCAGCAATCCACCCTTCTCAAAGAAACCCGTGGCATTGAGAAGATGCGATTTCTGTATGCGTGATCCCATTGGCAAACAAATGTGCAAGCAAAGATACTGCGACTACACAAAAGGGTGGAAAGGAAACTTCATCGAATGCTCCAACTGCGCTGACTATCGTTCACAGAATCCCGGCTCTGGCCACAGATGCAAGCCTCCTCAGATAAATAATGTCTGGCGCAAGTACGGCGTTGCCGATCCCATGGACTACCGGCCACCAACCTGCGATCAATGCCTCAACACCAAGATGGTCAATCAATGCAACGTTGATTCGACTCTTGGCTATGGCTGCACGTTGACAAAAGCCTGCAGAGACGGCAAGTGTACGGTGAACGGCCAAGAGATGGAAGCTCGGCCCAATTCTCGAATTGACGCTGCTCGATGGATCCGCGCAGAGTGCCATGTCTGCCAGAACAAGACGAAGAAGGGCGCCACTGTGGGATGCAGTTGGCTCAGAGATCGTTCAACCTGGGACCAGGCTTGCTCATACTGCCAGTCTAACAACCTGACGTGTCTCAGCGGTGGCCGAGTTGTTGCCAATCCGCAGAGGCTGACTCTACCAAGGACGTGGGCCGTCAATCTCCAAGTCTTTGACAAGGGCTTTGTCGAGTGTAGGAGAATCAACCCGGAACGTCGCTATTGCAAGAGATGCTGGGAAGACGATCACGAACACTGCCGCGCCGATGCCAGCTCGTACTTTTACAGCTGCAATCGCTGTACTCAACTGGGTGTTGACTGTATCGACGCCGGGGACGACACGTCCTATCCTCTCTTTGATCTGGCCAGGGTTGGTATTGGAGGCTTCTTGCCCTTTGTGGAATGCAAGTGCTGCAGAGAAGCAGGACGAAACTGCGATCTTCAGCGGCCGTGCGATTCGTGCGTCAAGCATGGCGATGAGTGTGATGCTTGGGTAGGAGACACGGTCAAACATTGCATCAAAGGGCGGTTGGATCCTCCCCCTGGACCTCTTTATTATCTCGCCCTGGGATACGGTGCTGGCGGAGTTGATGATCCCAAAGATGGATCAGCCATCGAGCACTGGGTAGGTCCAGCCACAAACATCTACGGCATCCCCGAGAACCAGAACAGAAACTTCATCGCCACGATGGGCGTTCAGCTGCGGTCTATTCTGAGCCCGCCGGGAGCGCCGCCTCATGGAGATGCAGCTCAGGGAGGGCGTGTAAGTGGCCGAGCAAGTGAAATCACTCGAGAGCAGATTGCAGCCTGGATCAAGGATCGCTGGCCTCAGGCAGTTCCAATGGACCAGCTTGGACACTATCGAGAGCGAGTAGAGGCTGTGCGGCAGAAGATGCAGGATATTCGGGATGGGAAGATTGTGTCGGCGCTCTTTTCTGATTTCCCGAACCATGGCGGTGGTGACGAAGAACATGATGAAGCTGATCCTAACCGTGGTATAAATGCTCATGGTAATAGCGGCGATGTCACGACTTCGGATCCAGCTCCTCTCATTTTCGATACCAGCGCCCCTGGCTGGCTCTCAGAGTTTATAAACTCGGACATGATTGACGATGGAGTCGCTTCGCCTCCCTTTGAATGTCCCACGTTGCTCACACAGAGCATGTTTGACTTTGATGCTGCAGCTCCTTCCAGCCAGATGCCCGCACACTTGCAATTTAGCCCGTTTGAAGTTTCCCAAATAGATCCCAGTCTTTTCCTGGTGGATAGAGATGAAGATTTGGATACGTCTATGCAAATTGACTTCCTGCCACTTGAAGCCTCATCAGCACTAGAAGATATAGAATATATCGATCATAATCCGCTTAGCATCTTACAAGAAGAAGCCATGTTTATGCCGCGACTGAAGCCAAGCATACCCACTCCGTACAGCTTCGTCCTGGGTGGTCCAAAACAGCCTGACTCCCCCTTTTGCAATTTCCTCAGCCTCATCCCAGAGGACGTCAAGCCCTTTACGCCAGGCGGCGATGAGACTTGCTCCGAAAAAAGAGCCAACGGCAAATGCAACAAACCCGCTGCTCTAGACTCAATTTGCCAATGTCTGCTGCATGGAGACGACTCGCCACACGTTTGCAATGTCTGCTGCAACTTGAGCGCGCAAAAGTTAACAGACCATCTGATCGCCAGCACGGAAGTGTCTGCAATGCGCGCATATCTCTGCGCCGACTGCACCGCCCAAGTGAGCGAGAGCGTCGGTGAAGTCTTGCGGCGCAGAATCGTCGGCGCGGTCAACATCTGGGGCGACTGCAACGACAGCTACTACACCAAGACGGAGCTCGAGCTCGAGACGTCCCTTGGCAGGATCTACTTCAGGGGCCAGGCCATGCCCCTGACGGGATGCGCGTGCGCGACGAAGCTGTTTGCTCAGCGGCTCTGTGCGAGGCATCGCCGTCGGTTTGGCCATTTGGTCGTGGGCCAGGTTGCGAAGATGCGCGAGTGGTGCTTGCAGACATTTGGCCGCAACATCTGTCCAAGCTGTCTTATTGATAAACCGCCTCATGAGGCGAACTCGTCGATGAGTCCGGAACAGGCTGAGGCTGGAAATGGTCCGAAGGCGTGGGTGTGCCTTGCCTGTGGCGGTTGGGTTGTGAATCAGGAAGAGGGAGGGCTTGTGCCGGGTTGGCAGCAATGGGACATGTGTCAGGTGGAGATGGATGAGAAAGAGGAAGATGAGATTGGGATACATGGGTAAGATGTGGCGTTGAATTAGTATTGGAAGCATAAGTACATGTATCATTGCGTTCGTATTCGGTTGTTTAGCGATGAAGATGGCATTGAGACGCGTACCAGGTTAGACAGTAAACTACTGGATGATATTGTCAAAAATCATCTTGGACAGCAATAGCTCCTGATTTGATCTTCAAAGTGCATGTTACTTGTTTATTAATAGCTAAAGACTGTATTAGATATCTCTGCCAAAGTAATCGATATATAGTGGGAAGATGACGATAGATAGAGGCATAGACATAACATCGAAAATTTGCCTTGAGGATAAAGAACATAAGATGGATTTCTTTTGTGTGTGGCCTATGTGATTTGGCGGTTTTGATTGACACGCTGGATTTATCGCCCAGTCAGCTAGTCTCTTCGAACATTTGGGTCTGGATCTTTATTCGTCTCCCGGAGACTCGGGGACACTCTCATCATCAGAACTTCAACCAGCCCGCCCCTTATCCTTGCTGCGACTGGACGGCGCTTCAGGGAGGTCATCTGCATCATTTATGGTCCTGTTCTTGTATTTGGTGGCTTCATCGACAATACCTGTCATTTTTTCACCTGTTGTTGGCCATAATCGACGGCGCCTCCTTCTATCTCATGACATCGTCATTTTTGCTTAGGCACAAAAAAAAAGCAGTAATAGGAGGAAAAGAACTGACGGATAGCTTAAGATGCATTATTGTAAATTGTAAACAAGCAGCAATAGCTTGGGACAATAAGAGGGTGTCAGCGCCAGAACCGAGCGGGGCCGGCGAGAACCTTGATGGCCTCTTACTACGGAGAGCACTGACATTAGAAATCCCGTCCAAAGCTTTTTCAATCTTCAATTTCATTTCTACTCCACCTAAAAATACTCGCTCAATACAATCTGTCCATTGCTTTGTGATCCTCGTCCTATCACAATAATCGAGTTACAACGCGCCAACAGTGAATGGCGCATTCGCTACGTCTGGCAGGATGTCAAGATTCCCGACAGCCGCGTATGTTAACCACCATCCCTGCGCGGATTTATCGAGACAGTGAACGCGGGCGAGAGGCTGCAATAGCTACTCTCTCAATCTGTTCCACCTTATACTATTGAAGATGGAGCTTGCGGCTCTTTTCACATACCACAAATCATGCTCTTGAACCGGTAATGCCGGCGGCTTAGGAAGCCTGAATCGACGTACAGCACCTCATTCCGCCACATTGACTTCCACACAGCATGTGACAATTCGAGCCGTTATCTGGGCGTCTCCGCGTCGGCGCTCCAGCATCTGAGCCCACAGATACCGACGTGCTCAAAGATTCTGGCTCGCTGCGGTCTGGACGGACCTCTGGCTGCAGTGTTGCCGAGTGGATGCCGTACGCGTGAAGGCATTCCATGATTACCTTGGCCTTGTCTGCGAAACTTTTGACGGTTCTACCATCAACGACGACATGGGCAGTCGCAATAGACTTGCGCTGGTCCAGTCGCCAGATATGAAGTTCGTGAACAGACTCGATACCAGGGATCTGTCGCAGCATTCATCATCAGCCTTCATCGTCACTGCAACAGAAGCTGAGACAGGTGCTTGCACTTACCATTTCGATATCGTGCTTGATATCATCAGGGACTATTTCGCTAGGAGCAGTTTGCAGCAGGATGCGGCCGCTGTTCCTCGTCAATGGCCAAGCGGTCAAGAAAATCATGACAGAGATGAAAACGCCAATTGCAGGATCGGCATAGAATCTCGCTTCTCCATGGGCTTTCCATATGATGAGAGCTGATGCTATGACTCCGATGTTATTGATGGCATCACCAACTACATGGACGAAGACGCCAAACATGCCCAAGTCTCTACCAGGGCGGGATGGTGCGACCGACACATGTCTGTGCTCATAGTGGCCACTAAACGTCTTTTGGTCTTCTTGTCAGGATGAGATCTACCGTTCGACAACGAAGAATTCTCACCGATACTGATCGCGCCTCTGGTTCAAGCGCTGTTCCATTGTTTGTCTTGGTGGCAGCGTCCTCTTCGCGCAGCGTTTCTTGCCTATGGCCGCTATTACGATCAAGATCGAGATCGTGTTCGTGCGCGTCGTGTTCATGACCGTGTTCATGACTGTGGCCGTGATCGTGATCGTGTTCTGAAAGGCCACATGTCAGCTTCCCGCACAGCCATGAAGATGATTTGGGGTTGAGTTTACCGTGAAGAAAGGACAACACCAGCAAGTTTAGCCCCAAACCAACGCTTCCAATGATCAAAACGATCTTGGGTTGATCGACGACTGCCGGTTGGATAGGTATCAGTTCGATTCAACTGTTCTGCCATCTAAATGCTGCCTCTCACCTGTCACATTGACAAACCGTTCAATAGCCTGAACGAGGATACTAACGCCGAGCGCCAAAAGGAATACGCCATTGAAAAAAGCGCCCAAAAGAGTTGCACGAGCCCATCCAAATGTTAATTCTTGTGGTGGCGGGGTTGGATGCTCAGATATCTTCGACAGACGCATCAGCTATTGTGCTCTTCTGAGCAATCGGGGAGGGGGAACGGACTATGACGGCGACCAAAGCAACTACGAATCCAATCAAGTCGCTCAGCTACAAACGAATCAGCAAGAACCTCCGCTCAGAAATCAACTTGTCGTACATAATGGAACGCATCGGCGATCAGCGCAAGAGAGTGTGTATAAAACCCGGCTGTGCACTGAGGTCAGAACGGTTGGTTATCTAGAAACACGGCGGAAGAAACTCACCAATAAGCTCGGCCACGAAAAACGAAAACGAAATGGCAATTGTCGCGATTAAACGCTGCTTACGACTCAGTCGAATCGCCATGCTGCGGCAGGAAAGGGGGTGTTATCTGTTTCTTCTTTGCGAGTGAAAATGCTGATGGGGATATCGTGCTCTCTTTCGACTCTTGAAACCAGTATTGACCACGGCGAGCTTTGTCGAGGAAAGGGGATGAGAAACTTTACAGTCGGCCGCGACACTTCAAATAGGGATCTTAATGGCTGGTAAACGCACGGTTCCGTTTGGGAGCTCTAATATGTTTAGGGCGGGGCTATTTAATACCACCTTGCTCACCACACGGCTGGATAGGATACGGGCAGCTTTACCATCAAAGCGGCCCGGATCGCTTCCTGCAAAGTAGCGTTTGACAATTCAGTGTGTCAAATGCCATGCTGGGAATCACGGCGGACACTCTGGGTTGCTTTCGGGGCACTTCCGAGCCACTTCCGGGCCGTCCATCACAAACAGATATCCGATCGAGAATAGCAACAACCTACCTTCGATCAATGCGGAACCTTCCACAGAATGCGTGCTCTAACGCGAGAGAACCAAGGGCTCGGGTTATTATTCTCATACAAAGATACAGGGCCAAGCCAATAATGGGTGTCTTCGTCTACCAAACAGTCAAACTTACGACTCTACATGGTAGGTTACTAGCCAAGATACGTTTGACTCCTGTCAGCGCAAAGGCACCTATGATCTGATCCTAGCGATCCGGGATTTTCCATCTTCATACGCCTTTACTATTTGCATGTGAGAAGGATTTTGTCCTAACATTCACTAAACCCATTGTCTGACCAGACTTGCAACGCTGTGCCGCCAGGGAGGGGGTGATAACTAGGGGCTTCGGAGCTAGTATTATGGCGACGCGTAGATGGAGTTCTCAGCTGGATATTGGTCACCACAGCTCCGAATCGACTCGGCCATCGGTGATCCGAGGACAGTTGTACACCGTTGTGATGTTCTAAGTGATGCGTCGTAGTACCTATGCGTCGTAGTACCTATGCCTCGTACGCCTTCGCCAAGCCACAAAAATGGAAGATATTTCTGCCAGGAAAGCTATTACACATGTAAAGTCATCTAGCTGTTTGTTTTCTCGGCATCTCCCGTTTGACAAGCCATAGCATAGCAGCGATACGGCTTGCTTGCCGGGAATAAGGGCCATCCGCAGTGAGACGAGGAGAAGCAAACGCAGTAATGCAAACGCAGTAATGCAAACTTCGAGTCACGCAAATCCGGTGTTCACACCATCAAATGCTACTGAAGCTATCAATAGATATCAGCGAGACCAAATATTTTATACAAATAAGACGGAGCTTCTGCAGACTTTGCCATCCGAGTCAGTTCACCGGGTAAACACTGTGCTATGAGACACGGCGAGTTTAATCTCATCTTCAGTCTCCACAAAAGCTTCTGCCCCACTGAGACAGCATGCGGTACCTACATTTAGGAGGATGAAATGAGCAGGCGGTGAAATTCCTTTGGCTGCCACAGCTCCATTTCTGCCGCCCGCTGAGCTGAACTAGTACCGTTATCTGCCATCATCAACTGTCGCGCGACTGCATCACCGGCAGAGCTGATAAGCATCGTCTCGGTAGCTGCTCGCGAGCGATGCTCCCATAAGCCAATTCCTCTATGATTCTCGCATCGTGATTGCGTCCGAGCCGACTCCATGTCCCGATATGTCGGCGCAGCACCATCGGCTCCGCGGAGGGGACCGCAATGGTCCCATCATCTGCGACAGTCGAGCACAAACTCGGATCGCGCATCCGAGGTATCAGTATCGGCGGCCTCGCCAGGCAGCATGTCCACGCACTCGACTCTAAAGGACACCAAGGATGAGAAGCCGCGCAAGGCTGAGCACTACTGCACCGTCACAGTCAACGAAGGGTATTCGCGAGACGAGGTGCTGCTGAACTTGGACCTGATTGGCGGCGATATCAAACCGGGCACCTTGATGTCCATTGCTGTCGTCAAGTCGGACCTGTCAAAGTCGTCGGCGGGATTCGGAAGCTTCAAGAAGCTGGCGCATGACGATAATAGCAGTCTGCGATTCCAGAATGCCGGTCCTTGCGATCCGAACAGCCTGGGGCATCAGTACATCTTTGTCGCAAAGGACATGCCCAAGGAGGTCAAGGCCCGGCAGCCCGAGGCGGAAGTATATGTTGTGAAGCACATTGCAGACACTTTTGGGATGAAGAAGGGATCCATTGTGCTGCTGACACCGGTACGCTCACGCCCCTTCTATGACATATAATTTGGTTGTGATTGACTTGATGTGGCTGACCTGCATTCTCTCATAGGTTGATGACGATCACCCAGTTACCGAAGCGACGCACGTTGAAATGATATTCAAAGACCAGTATCTCTCACGAGCGGATATGTGGAGGGTAGCCGTCGGAGAGCTTGCGCAGAGGACGGTGTACAAAGGACAATCACTTCTCTTCATGGGCACCATAAAGGCTCAGGTCACCACAATCTTTGCCGATGGAAACAGCGTTCATTCTGGCTTCTTTGGTCGGGAGACGCGGCCAATTTTTCGCAGCGAATCGGCCAGATACGTGCTCTTTATCCAAATGTCCAAGGAAATGTGGGACTTTGACGCTGACAGTTCCGGCGAAATCATGTTCAACAAGGTTGTCAACGGATTTTTGCCAGCCCTGTTTAAGAGATGGGTTAAGCTGAAGGTAAAACACCTGGTTAGCATTGTGCTGTTTGCGCGTGTCGAATATGATACGGGCCTGACAAATGAGCTGGACGAGAGCGGGCTCCAATCGGATTACTATACGGGAACCCAGTCGTACGGGAATCGGCGGCCTTACAAAGATTTTTATCGAGTCGTAGTGAGCGAGATGGCCAGCGGAGAGTGGACAAGAATCCTGTTCCAGTTGAAGAAAGAACTAAACTATTTTCGAAGAGACATTACTTTGCATCATCAAACAGCAAACCCGTCAGACAGCTCCAAGGATACTGCACCTGGGAATGAACCTGTCCGCCGAATCAGGGCCGAATCTTCCTTTTCCATCCACGGCAACATCTTGGAGGCCATCAATCTTGCATGCGCCCAGTTCTCTCACGATTACATTGACCGGGATTTGACTAGGACAGGCATCTCCGTCGCCGTCATTAGTCCGGGAGCCGGTATTTTCGAAGTGGATTATGAGACACTACGAAGAACTACAGAGGCTCTTGTAGGGAACGGCATTGGCATTGACCTGATTTGCATGGCTCAAATGCCCCTACACTCCGTTCCCCTATTCAAGTATCGGAATCCGCGGTTCTCATTTGCGGGAGATATATCTCAGGATCGCCATCATTCGCTATCCAGATCCTTTCATAGCCGTGAGAGCACGCCAAATCAGCAGACCCCCATTGTTGGAAGTTTTCAGTCTGGCGGCGGTTCATTCTCGCCTTCCAAAAGCAGAGATATGATACGCCGCGTTGAACATGTTAATTCTCAAAGTAGTCGTGACGAATGGTGCTATGTTCTGCCTCAGTGGCTGCATGTTTCGTTCTGGACTGGTACATCGAATGAGGCACTCTCATATGCGGGCGTTGCTTTGTCCGTGTCTAATAGGGTGGAGCAAAGCGATGATGCCGATTTCAGAATAAGATGTCGGATGTACGACCTCCAAATGAGGAGTGCCCTTGATACGAATGAGATCGAAATCACGCCTCTGCATTCGGATATTAATTATCCCAGTAACATCTTTGAGAATAGTAGCCTCTTGAAGAGACGTCAAGAGGCCATCGACGACCTCTGGTATAACCCACCGGTCCGCCTTACAGATCATATAAACGAAAACATCCATGGCTTTCAAAGGTTTACCCCTGACAGACTTGGTCGACCTTCAGAAAGACCATGGTGGAAGCAGCTACAAGATTTTGATGACTCCAGGGCCATCTTGACTCACCATAAGCGTCACCACCATCATGGCTCGGAAGCGGGTCTCAGGTCTGATGAAATTCGGAGGCACCATATGGAAGACTTGAATATCCTGGGCACATCACTTCCGGAAAAGAAACTCTATAGCAATTATCCATCTGCTAGGAAGCTCTCGATGAATCAAGCCGAGATGGAAAAGCCGAATATTTTCCCCAAGAGGACGTTACCAGATCCGCTACCTATAAACACCCTGCCATCTCCTCCGCCTCCTTCTCAGCCGCAGTCGTTTACGTCTGCGCCATATCAGTCAGCTCCTCTTACCAAAGTCCCCTCAGCACCAAAGCAACCCAAATTTATGAAGCAAATTAGTCTTGGGCAGCGAGGCTTTGGCATAGCAGCTCCAAAAATTGTAGCGGCTGAGGTGAAGACGGAAAATGTCAACGCAGCAGTTACCAAAACAAACATACCATTGACTCCTCGATCACGCTCAGATATGAGGCCGTCTACGCCTCAGACTATCAGGAGCCAGTCGCCATTTTCAATCACCAAGCTCAGAGCAGAAGCCACTGATCCTATCATGGAGAGGATGTCATCAACGCCAAGCATCCCCATCTTGAAAAGGAACGGATCCAACCGCCACGATATAGGCATACACAATGTGAAAGCAGGAACTTCTGCTTATCCTTCGGCATCGCGCACTCGTAGTGATAGCTTTGGGGAGGATGATCACGAAATGTATCAGAGCATGTTTCGACCAGAGGATCAGAAAATGATTTTGAATAAGCTTCGAGCTGGCGTTGGCGTCGGAGTTGGCGTCGCACCGGAACCCCCTGCAACGATTTCGCCTACATCAGCAGTCAGCCCCTGGCTGGTTTTGCTGAACCCGTCGCATCCAGAGAAGAATCAAATCAAGGACGCAAATCTATATACCCGTTGGCAGCACATATTCCCTCGTATATCTGATATGAAGATACAGAAATGGAAGGCTCTGTGTTGCCCCGCCGCCGTCCCGTTAACGACGGAGTACTTTCCTACTAGGTCGCAGTTCGATACCGAGTATCAAAGACATCCGTACACTGTGGATCAAAACGCAGATGATGAATTGAGCGAGGAGCCAAAAACAAGACAGGAATTTATCAGTGAGCTGATCAGCCTGCGGTTTTCACAAGGATTCCAGGTAGTGGTCGGATCAGCCGTTGCGCAGGCGTTTGGGCAGAAGATGATTAAACTTGGTGACATCTTCTCCCGCAATCAGGTCCTTGAAGACGGCACAAGTATATTCATGTCCGTTGGCAACGTCATTCACCAACTCTCGTGCGTAAACGGGACGGAGGTTGAAGTCAACATCTACGTCAGGAAGCCCACGGCAGACATGTCGGGATTGCCGGAAGGATTCTCTCCGATATATAAGCCCGCCATTCGAACGCTATTTGATACAGACTATGAGGCTCGACGTATAGAGCTTTTAGAAATTCCTAGACCCGATCGTAATTGGAACATGATTGATTCATACGCTGCGGGCCACCATGACGAGATGATGGAGAGCCTGCGGTTCTGGAGAGCTCGGTTCGTTCTCATCCCACTGGCTTCCCATAATCCTTCAGTGCCTAGGACGCAAAACGGCTTGTATCCTGAGGAAATCAGGATAGAGGGCATCAAACGCTTGGCTCATTTGTGGCAGAAGAATCGCTACATACCCCCCTCTGAACGCAGATTCCAGACCGCTAGAGGGCGCAGACAGCTGGATCGCAGCCCCTTGGATATTGTCTACAAAACGGAAGACCCCTCTGTTGTCATTGCAGCTGAGCTAGAAACATTACCCCTAATTGAGGGCCTCGAGGGTGGTATGAGTAAGAAACATCAGCTCGTGTCGAGGAAAGACCGGTTTGAGAAGTCAAACTTGAACTTTGCCGTCTTAGCCGAAGCGATGCAGCAGCCTGTGGAGCAGGGCGGTGTTCCCCTACGAAATCGTCGCTGGCATCTGCGTCTTCATTATCATTCTTTCCTCGGCTCCGATATGACATCGTGGCTTCTGGAGAACTTTGATGACCTTGAGACTCGTGAAGACGCAGAGGATTTGGGCAACGCACTGATGGTGCCGGAGGAGCCCAAAGGTAAAGACAAGGACAAAGAAACGTCAGAAAAGGAGAAGGAAAAAGAAAAGCCTAAAGGGCTTTTTGTGCACGTCGAAAGACGACATCGGTTCCGAGACGGCAACTACTTTTACCAGTTTGCTCCTGAATTTGCGAAGCAGCAGCCTGGCTGGTTTGGCAGCAAGAAGAAGGAAAACCCCTTGCCCACTACCCCCATGACAGAATCGTCAATTGGGTCAGGTAGAACCCGGTCAGTGCACGATGACTATTCTCCAGCGTCTCTGACCAGCACGCCTACGATGGGAGCACAACATGTAGCCAAAAGCCGTCCCAAGGTAATTCTAAGCAAGGTCATAAAATACGATGTTGATCCTAGGAAGAGATCATACCGTCCTGAACGAATTGACCTGCACTACGACCGTCTTCATAACCCAGACAACTGCTACCACGTTAGGATCGACTGGATGAATGCAACCGCAAAGCTTGTAGAAGACGCCGTCGACATTTGGGAGCGCGAGGCCAGCCAATACGGTCTACGTCTCGTGGAAGTCCCCATTGGCGAGGCCAGCGCAATCACAGAAATCAACCCCCTCCGAAGGCCATATCCCATCAAGCTTGCCGTGCAGCCGCCTGAACAAAAGCCCGAGACATTTTACGACCCCAACTCTCTGGGCCCGCAGACGGTGCCTACAAAGTACTTTTACCAAAAGGCGATTTTGCGGCACTTTGATTTTGTCCTCGACATGGAGGCGGCTTGTAACTATCCCGGCAACGTTGACATTATATACTCCTGGGGACGGCCAGATTACCGATACACGCAGTACATCCATCGCTCGGGAGTTTTGCTAGCTCAGGTAACGGATGATGGCGACTTCATCGTGTTGGCAAACCGTCTGTACGGCAGGCGAGCCGTCAAAGAGCGAGAATCCGCCGCGAGAAACTTCACCCCAATCGACCAGCCCCATCCCCACATGGAAAGGGGCACCGCGCGAGCACCATCGTTTGACTCCTTCAGCCTCTCCGAATCGATCATGGCAGGCTCGTCGATGCACATGGGCGGCGCTCCAACGCCGTTACAACACCATGCCGATAGGCACCATCACCATGCTCCGCACCACATGTCGCACCACCATCACCCCTATCACCACCACCACACTCCATACCACCACCATTCTTCGCCCTCTCTCAAGCCCGTCAACTCCTCCGCCTCGCTCAGCACGATCCCCTCCCAACACCCGCCAGCGCCATCCCAACTGCCAGCCAACCCCACCGCGCACCTCTACGAGCCCGAAGCCATCAAGGAGGAGCTCGAGGCCTTTTGCTCCGACGCTACCGCCCTCGAGGCGTTCTACAAGGAGACCCTGGAGAGGGGCCAGATCATCCAGGGCACGCCGGCAACGGCGGCGACTGCAAATCCTGCTGGGCTGGAGGCTGTGCCGGAGACGAGCATCCCCTCGCTAGGCTTACCGCCGGGCGTACTGGCGTCGCTGGATAGCGGGGCGGCGATGAGGATTGGGAGTCCGATGATGTTTCTGAGGAGGGGCAGTGTGCAGTTTGACGGGCTGGGGTTGGGAGGGTCGAAGAAGTGAAAGGAACAAGTTAGGAGAGGACAGGGAGGCTTATTTTTGGTTTTAGTTGAAAAGCGACTTGTTTAGTTGTCTACGGTTAAAGTTAATACCTGCTCGTTGAAATGTAATATCATGTCGTGTTTAGGCAAGTAGGTAGGTAGGTAGGTAGTTCATCTAGATGATAATACGGAGTTCTTCGGCCAAGGATTTGCCAACTACAAGTATATTGGATATCGAATAATAAGGGACTGGACTCATAGTAGGAGCTTGTCAGTTATTTTCACACAGGGGTAGTTTTTGGAATAATACAAAATGGGTTACACTTGAAGTCTAAGTTACCCTTACGTCCCTGCTAACCAATAGAAAACAAAATTCATAAAATACGTAGCAATTTTCCAAGTCAAATATTCATTCATTCTATTTGGTATCAACTCAACGTCCTACAAAACCTGTCCGCTGTTCTATCCAAGCAATGTTTTTTTTCTTTTACTTATTAAAAAAAAAAGAAAGAAAGAAAGCAAATCCCTGTACCAAGTCATAAAATGCGGGTTTTTTCAAGCTATCAGAACACACACATCTACTTCTTCCCTTCCCAAAAGCTAAAATCAAAACGTCATGATAAAAAAAAAGTATTTTTAAAAAAAAGATATACAACGTAGCAAAGAGTTGCTGTGTTGATGCGAAAATTCGTCTGTACGTTAATTCTAATAGTACATCGAAGAGAGGCGAAAGGAATAAAGTCAAGGTCGTCTTTTTTTTTCCTTTTTCGGCACGATCGCTAACACAAATGTTTTTTGGTCGTCGTAGATTAAGGGAGTAGAACGCCTTTTTTCGAAGATGATGATTTTTTTTCTTTGGCTTGCGTAATAAAAAAAAAATATTTTCATAAATCCCAAACGCGCATAAAGAACCGGAGGCAAATTACTTGTGTAAATAAAAATCGAACGAATAATGCGAGTGGTATCAAAGAAGGTATGGGAGAAATAGACAATGCAAAAAAAAGGGTCAAAGTCGTTTCCATCTCCATCTTATGCCGCTCCGGTCATAGTGTCGGAGTTGGGATACCCTAAGAATAGGCGCGTTAGTAAATTTATTCACACAAACTATGTATGTTAGCAGCTTGAGACTTACAGAATGCGCAGACAGCGATGATAGCGTAGAGGCACATCAGCAGCCAGCCTTCAAGCCAATGGCTCTTTCCATCGCCAATGAGGTAGTTGACCAGCAGCACGGCAACAAACATGACAGCAACCTGGAAGGTATCGAAGCTCAGGTTCATCTCGTCGTTGCCCATGCCCCAACCGATAACGACCAACATGGGAATGAGAAACAGGGCGACTTGCATGCTGGATCCAACAGCAACACCAATGGCAAGATCCATCTTGTCCTTGACAGCGACAGTGACGGCAGTAGCGTGCTCAGCGGCGTTGCCAACAATGGGAAGCAGAATAAGACCAACGAATTCATCGGACAGAGCACCGTTCTGGGTAATGGCATCGATGGATCCGACCATGAACTCAGCGCAGAGAGCAATAATGACGGTAGAGCCAGCCAAAGTAGCAATAGCCACCCAGAAGTTCAACTGAGGGTCTTCCTCTTCCTCTTCCTCTACTGTGACATTGAAGTTTTCCTTGTCGACAGCGCGGCCGCCGACCAAAGTGGCGGGAACCACCAGGCCTTGCTTGATGTTGGGGTTTGAAGACCCGCGGCTCCATGGCTTGGCGGGAACCTTTTGACTCTGTTCGTTGAAGACCTGCGAGTGGGTCTTGAGCTGGAAGAACAGGTAGGCGCCATAGACGACGAGCAAGATGACGGCAGTACCGCGAGAGAGCTTGGCAACGTCCTTGGTAGGCGTATTGGCGGCGGCATCGAAGACGGTGGGAACAATGACGGAGGCAGCAGCCAAGGCCAGCATAGAGGCGGCAGTCTGCGCCACAGTGGTGTTGAAGTATTGCTCCGGGCGACGCAGACCACCGAAGAAGAAGCAGAATCCCATGACGAGTAGCAGGTTGGAGAGAATGGAGCCAATAAGCGAAGTCTGCACAATGTTGACCTTGCCGTCGATCAGAGCAATGATGGCCACGATGAGTTCAACAGCATTACCAAAGGTAGCGTTGAGCAATCCACCAAGGGTCTCGCCAGTTCGGAGAGCAATCTCTTCAGTAGCAAAACTCAACATGGCGGCAAGCGGGATGATGGCGATGAAGTTGACGACGAAAACCGCGATACGATTGACGGAGTGGATGTAGTTGAGGGCGATACCGACCGGAGCAGCAACGAGCAGCACATTGATCCATGAGTTGAGCAGCGTTCGCTGGATCTGGTTGGCAACGGTAAAAGGCTCCTTGGGGTAGACGTGGCGGAAGAGACCAGTCTCATTGGGCTTCTTCGTCTTGCTGTTGTCAGTCTCGCTAAGAGGCGGCGCGTCAAGCTTTTCATCCTGGTCCCCCTTGCCGCGATTCCGTATCCCATCGGCGTCAAGTCCTGACGGGGTTCGGATGAGTTGCTCCTGCGTCTCATTGCTGGGCTTGCGAACAGCTTCTTCGGTGCCTGCGCCAGTTCCGGATTCTTCTTCTCTGATGCCTGTTTGCGGATATGGCGATGTGACTGACTGTGTTAGGTCCGCCCCATGCTGGGTTTCTCCGAGCTCGACATCCCAGGTGTTGGATTGCTTGTTGCCGGGCTTCTTGGAGTGAACATGCCGGAATGGGTTCCAGCTCTCGTCACTCTGTCGGCTGTGGAGATGCGCCAGGCGCTTGATGTTGGCGTGATTGACTGAGAACAGCTGGGTTAGTCTATGTCTCCCCTCGCTGCCATCGTCCCCCGTCGCGTGCGACGACATTCGTGAGTTGTGGTTGGTGAGCAGAAGCGTGCAACTTCAACGGCATGGGACCAGAAGCATGAAAATCAATGTACAGATATATTTGGGTACAAGGAATGAGATGAGGAGGTAATAAAAAAAAAGGATAAATTAAAGACAGACGCTATGCAAAAAGCAAACAAAACCGCAAAAGAAACACACAAAAACAATGGGCTAATGGTGATGGTGAAGATGCGACGGCGGCAATGAATGAATCCCAACAAGCTGCTCCCTCGACAGGTCCATTGAAGGGTCTGCGACGGTGCTGTATCAACGGGGGAAGAAGAAGTGCTCGGCGGCTCCGGATATTCTCGATGGGGTAAGGAAAGGCAAGAGAGAAAAAGCAAGGCAGCAATAGGCAGTAATTAACAGGAGACAGCTGGCAAAAGGGCATTAACACTCACATGATTGCGACATGGTCTGCTACACAGCCCCGGTCCACTCAGGCAAAACTCCACCAGTGGGTGATTAGTGTTCCGGCACGGAAAACAGCCAAGTCAAAGGATCGGGTTGGGTGTCGTTTGCGAGTGGTTGGCGCGCGCGTCGATTCGGTGACTCGGAGGTTGGAGATGGGCCGTGTGCGAGAACGAGTCTGGGCGACGGCGATCGCTTTTATCAAGAAGCGCAACGGGCGGCCTCGAAAAGGGCAGTGCCGCTCAGCTCCTGTGCTTGTCGATGGGGACCGTGATTTGAGATTAATTGTCTCTGATTCCACTCCCTGCCGGGGGGCTGTGGCTTGCTGGAGCTAGGATAGCTAGCAGACTTGGAATGGTGGGAGCAGTGAATAATCTCCAGGAACCCCTGGCGCCGCTACCACAACACGCGTACTTGCGGTCGACGGTGGCTGGTACCCGCAATAGTGACGGCCAAGAGACTCGGGCGTGTTCAGAGAGCGAGAAGAGCAGCTGCTGTTCAGCAGAGCAGACAGAGGAAGGACGGGACTGGTTCAAGGGAGATCGGATCGAGATCTCCAGACGTTCAAGTGGCTTTTCGGTGATGCAACGGAGTCGGGCCCGCGATATGCGTGCCAAGGCTTCTCGAAGAGCTTGTTTCTGTCTGTGGGCTACACAGCAGCAGGTCGCAGCATGGGCTGGATCCGAGTTCCTGGCTCTGGGACTGTGAACGAGTCGCGAGGCTGACTGAACAGACTGATTCGTCGATGATTCCTGAGATCACCAAGGCAGCAGCACAAACTGCTGTGGCTTGAACTCCCACGTTGGATCAAATCGGAACGAAGCGAAAGAGGCTGTGCCAAGCGGATAGACTGGCAGATGGGGAACCAAAAGAGAGCGTGGACTAAAGCGTAAAATATAAAGCGAACGGAGCTTTGTTTTCGTTTGCCCCGTCAGCTGCGTACAGTGAACGACGAGAGAAAGCAGCGCAAAGCCGTGAGATTGAGGCAACGAAGGGTGAGAAGTGAAGTGCAAGAAAAAGAAGAGAGGAGGCCACAAGTTTTTTTGGCTTGGAGGAGATCAAGAGCCCAAAATCATGACGGCGTGTGCCTCCCTAACTAAAATTCAAGGTTATTTGACCACGCACATCTAAAATCTGGCGGCAGTTGCTGGGGCTGTCAGGGGTGCAGGTACTAAGGCACTACTACTACTAAAGCTCATGTACAGCCAACGTACCGAGTACTTCATATGGGCTGCACTGTGCCGGCGGCTTTGGGTGCCGTTACGTCTTGGCAACGTGTTGTGGTTCTACAGTGGTCGGTTGGCAATTATGCAACCGTGCTCAGCGCTGTATTACTGGACATTCAGTGACGCGCCAGCTTGACCTCATCACACTGACAACAAACACAAGCACCTACATGGATGTGCGTGTGCTACAGCGCCATCGCACACTACTGTATCATAGATAAGCATCTCTTTGTTCACAGCCATTGATGACACTTGCATTTGGTACAGTACTGTCTGCTGATCGGGTGGGACACTGATCGTCTACAGGCACTATACTGTGCTCGCATACGCAGGCAAACGGGCAGCGCTTTCGAAAGAGGCCTCCATGCACTTTCTAGCGATTTCCACGTCCACGTCCACGTCTTTGTCTCGCTCTCTGTCACTTTGTCTCGGGTCTCAACATGATACCAGACTGTATAAAACAGTCTGGCACACTACTAGCCGTGTAGTACCCGCGTATATCCCTACCGCAGCTTGAAATGTCTGTGCTGGCCCGACGTGCTACAAACGACGACATGACATCTCTACTCTGGTCGTCTATACACGTATTGAACGCTAGCAAATCTTAATTTGATTGCTTGCTACACACTGGCACATCAACCCACACAAGGCAGATTATACGGCCAGCCCCCAGTATCAAGGCTCAGATGTTTTCTCGCTGCTACTTTACCGCCACTTTCTATGGCTTTTGTTTATTTAAGGTACTCTGCCTATGCAGGCATCTTCCAGAGACAACCCAAAGCTCCCTTGTAATAAATAGCCTTTCAACCACAGTTCCCCCAGTCTGTGCTCGCCTGTTTCAATCCGGCCACAAAAGCCATACATACTAACATCAAGTACCCCTCATGTACCTCATACTTGCTCGTTTACACCACCATCAGTCATTGTTCTAGTGCCATCCCCCCCTGGACCCAATCATTTCCCCAGTCTGCACACGCCGGCCTTTGTCTTTTCTCTACCCCTTGTCCCGCTCTTTAGTCCCAAAGTCTCCATCCAAAGCCCCTGACAGAGATTTTTCCTAAAACTCTAGTGCAGGCGAGCTGTTTCTAAAAGCTTTTTGACTTTTTCTTTCATGACTCTGCACGAGTCGCAATGGCGATACTAAAAACTCCCCTTGTGCCTTACAGCGCCAGCTCATAGGTAGACGCAGGTCATAGGCGTGTTTCTATAATAGTAGGCTCAATTCAATGTTGGGTACATGGACCCAACAACCAACGCGCATACAGTACGCATACACCTAACCCACGGCTTTTCAGGCGGCGAAATATGTGGCCATGAGTAGGACCACATAGAAACGAAACGTGCGCCTAGACCAATCAATAGGCCTCTCCACGCCCAACGGAGTAACCCATTCGTTTCTTTTTCGTCATGACTACACTATCTTCCCTAGGGAAGAAAGCAAGATTTCCGCCACCAACCACTAGTCCCTAAATTCCTTGTTTCTGAAATATGCTTCTTCCAACTTCCCACCTATCAAGATTCCAAGATGTAATTCCAAGATGCATTAATGTACTTCTCACTGCATGGTGCGGCACGCGCAATATGCAGCAGTAGCATTCTCTTCTCCCTCACCTTCTATTTTACTTGCGGTGAGCTTTGCATCATGCACTCCTGCGTCTCCCCCATCCTCTCCGCACGTTGTCTTCTATTTCAGTCTTGACGTCAACCGTTGCATTCTGCACCACCTGCTGTACAAGGGCGGCCCCTGCGGCCCTCCATGCATGCAGTCTGCACCGATGCATGCATGCCCGCATCTCACAGGCCGTTTTTAATCGCTCTCGCTATCGCTCTCGTATTTTACTGTGTACTTTACCATGCCCTTTTGCAGCCATCCATTCGAGCTGCCTCCTACAAAGCTCATCCTACCCTACGCTAATACGAGAGAGAGAGATTTCTCTCACCGCATACTGTACAACACAACGCGTACCCGCACGGGCACTGTTTGGTCCGTCGTCCGTCCGTTTTGCCCGTACAACGCCACATATATGGAGGTCGCTGTGGCTGGGTGAGATCAAAGCCTCCAACGACTGCGTAAACCATCGACGTGGACGCAACACCGCCCTTCTCAACCACGTCAGTTGGTACTAAGCAGATAGATAGTTCGCATAGCCCGCCATAATTCCACAAACAACCCATCAACATGCATCAATAGTGAGAGAAAAATGATGTCTGCTAATATACTCATGCCTGTAATACGCAATACGCATCAACCTATTTTTGATCTCCATCGCAGTTACTTACCAATCTAGGCAATCGCCCAGTCAGGCACTTATGGCTGATCATCCACCATACCCAAGGTATGCCTACATTGTTGCTAGAATCATCGGCGTCAGCACTTTAACAGCTTCACACCCCCATAGCGACAGGCTTATTTCTTATTTACTTCCAAGGGTTCTTTTATTTTCCACAACTAGGAGCCTCTAATACAACCTGTAGGCACTACTAGACCGTAAGGCCGCAATCGAATACGCCCGTCTTCTAGTGCCCCATTCACCCAATTGTCTTCCGCCACAACTTTTTTCAGCTAAGCTAGCCCTGGATTCATTATAATGATTCCCATTCAATGCAGCCTTACCATGATCATATTCCAAAACTGTCTCGACATTCACAACAGATATATCCGTATCTTTAACCAGCTAATTTTGCCGCTAAACATTAGTAGTATTGGATGTAAAGCACGTCCGCTGCTTGTACACCTGGCACTATGAAGCCTCTTGCCATGTCATCTTGGGCTGCAACCTGGAAAATCCTTCTCTCCAATTCTGCGAATCACCTCACCAGCTTCCAACAGTGTCAAACCCAGCATAAATTAACGCGCAGTAGCAGCATAATCAATATGATACGCCCGCAAGCTTCAGCCCATCACAAAGCAACACATGGCAACACACTTCATTATCATAACTTGATGGACTCAATTTACTGCCATAGACTTCTAGCGTTGTCTCTTCTAGGCATTGCATCTCTTTGAACGCCAAATAAAAACTATTGTACAAACTCATGTAATAGGTAGGGTCAGGTAGGTATCATGTGAAACGCCCTGAAATCAACCATTGTTCTCCCAAAAAACGCCATCCATGGTCCACTAATGAGCAAAAATGAATATCCCATGCTTGAATTTCTTTCGTCTCGACTATAATCGATCAGGCAATGCCCAACCGAAGGATCGATGTTGCATATTAAACGACTTTCACTCTCCAGCGTCCAACGCCACTCATGCCATTCCTTCGGTATGTTTCAAATAAGAAAGAGGATGCTAATGATGGGGGAGAAAAAGTGTGCCTAGGGCGATGCCACTAGAGTCATTGGGTAAAATGAATAGAGACAAGAGAAGAAGAGAAAAAAAATCGAATAATGAAATGAGGAATGAAAATTGACTGAAATCGGTCGCCGTTGGCCCAGCATCAAATCTGCTGTAAATGCTCTAAATCCATTCCATATCTTCGTCATCATCGCGTGAAGCCCCTGCTGGTTTGTTTGGCCGTCCTCGTTTGCGTGGCTGGGATCCCGAACGTGCTCGCTTCTTCCGGCCTCCGGGAGTGCCAGCGCCTTTTCTCTTGCGGCCTCTTTCGGGAGCTTCTTCTTCTTCTCCTTCGCCACCGCTTGGAGGGGTGGCTGGTCCATCCAACGCCATCTCTTCATCTTCGTCCTGCACCTTGAGCTCTCTGTCGACGTTCATGAGCTCCACAAAGGCCTTACATTTCTGAGCCATCTTGTTCATCGACTCCAGGCTGCCAAAGTGTGATGTCACCTCATCCCAGAATCGCTCTCCGTGAACTCCTTGAACCTTCATTGGCATTTTGTTTAAATCTTTCGCGAGCGCCTTCGCTTTACTGTCGTGGCGACTAGTTCCCATGCCATATAGACGTCGAAGATGCGTGCGAGCTTCCCAGAGGCACGAGAGGATGATAGCCCCAGTTGTCAGTTGGCGAAGTCGTTTCGGATCAACCTTGATGCCAACCAGAGGTGCTCCTTCAGCGCTTGCTTGAGCTTCAACACTTTCGCTCAGCAGCTGGTCAGTGACTTGGTCTTGTTCTGTTTGATCCAAGTCAAGTCGCACGTCGAATACTTCGGACTCAATTAAATGGGCTACTGCCGCGCCGGTTGTGCTCACAATCTTCTCCATCGTATTGACAACCGTTTGAAGCTCTCCAACCGTTTGGTATTCGAAAAAGGCCATGTTTTCGATGATGAACCGTGCAAAATCCAGGTGCGGTGGCATCTCTGGCTTTGCGTCAAGCTGTGCAATGTCAAAGTTGACTTGGCTACACAGCTTCTCTAAGAAGCGCTGCCTGTTCTTCATCTTACTAATCTTCAAGACCTCCATCATGAGATGTAGCTTGGGCTGGAACACCTCGGGAATCGCTCCGTGAGAGTCTTTGACAATGTCTCGCTGGTAGTTGTATGCTGACTGTATCGCTTTGACATACTCTCTTTCGAGCACTGTTTCGTGCTTTTCATGTAGAGAACGATGTTCCATAAACGCCAATTCTGCAATTTTGCGGTTCGAGGATGTCTCCAGCGTCATCAATGTGATGCCTGTTTCCTTGGGATGCGTCAGGCCTTGGCGATTGATACTGCCCAATACTTCCATTGCTAAAAATGCAAGTTCGTCTTGGCTTGCCAGAGCGATTCGCGTAATGTCTTTGAGAAATCTTTGCGTGGTAGCGCTGGCGACATCGTCAAAGTTAGTGCCTCCCATGACCGTCAGCTCTCGCTTCTTCTCCTTCGCACCGGACTCGGCAGCAGCTCCAGACCGTCTCTCTTCTGTAAGAAGAAATTCTTTAAAAGACTTTAGTATCATAGTCTCGAGCATAGGAGCTTCTTCCTGGAAAACTTGTTGGAAAGCTGTGTAGACCTTGGCCAAGACGTAATTTCTCGGCCAGGACTGGCAGACCAGCCCAATGGCCTCCAGAGATGCCTTGCGTGCCTCTAATGGCTGTGAAGGCGAGGCAAATGGAATCAGCACATCCACAATCAGTCGAGGGACAGAATCTCCCTGCCACTTGGGGAACCGGGCTTTGAACACTTGCATCTGCTGATCCAGATCGCAATGCTTGCCAACGCTGCCAACAATGATGGCGTAAGCGCAGAGATGATTAATCCTCTTACTGTCCAGTACCGCAGCTCCCAATCCCAGCTTTTGAATGCCCAATAGACCTGACGCGACCAAATTGGCCAAAGGTGCAAAATTGTTTAGTAAATCACAAGTTACCTTGGTGCATGCAATGAGGTCATCCAGAGCGCCGCGGGAAGAGATTTTTCCGACGCCCTTCAGGAGCTGGAGACGAATTTCGTTTAGGAACTCTGAGTTGACAGTGGGCAGCTCAGGAAGCACACGTTTGTAGATGACGGTGACGGCTCGGAATGCCGCCAACTCATCAACACCACTAAACGTTGCAAGATGGGGTTTAAGGAGCCTGATCTGCTCAAGATTGAACAATTTAGGATCCGCCTTGGCAAAAATTGTGAGCACCTGCAGAGCATCGCGGCCTGCTGGGCGTCCTTCTTCTGATTCTCCACTGTCAACCAGCGCAAACATGCTGTTTACGAGATGAGAACAGACGGTAAAGGGGCCTTCCAGGGATTTATCTTTGGGTCGAAGGATAGATTGAAATACCTTGTCAAGGATTTCCGTGACATTGCCTGTCTTTACAGTCTGGATAATCAGGGCCACATGCTCGGTGAGGGAGGTCTGGAACGCAGCGCTGTCATCAGCGCCGTAGAATGGCGCGAACCAAACTTCCTCAATCATCTGACGGGCAAGATCACGGACGCTTTCATCAGGATCTTGTACGCGTCGGAGTAAGCCGTTGGCTATGGCGCTGCGGATTGCGTCGTCGTGATTGCGAAGATAAATGTCGCGTGCAAGTTTCATGGCTCGCTTCCTGACGCCAACACCAGCGTCTTGGAAGCGGTCAATGATCTTTGGCGTCAGTGGTGATTCCAGAGATGGCCTCAGCGTGATGCAGCTTCCTATAAGACCAAGAGCGGAGTCTCTCACTTGCGTAGACGAGTCACTAGAGCAATCCAAAATGAGTTGAATTACCATGGAGTCGCCGTCCAGAATAGATGGGTCTGTTTCGAGGACTTGAGTAATACTCTTTAGACTTTTGCTGCGAACTGTTGCTTGGTCACTAGCCATGGAGCCAAGAAGAATATTGACAATCTTGCTGAATGACTCGAACAAAGGGGAGCGTAGCAGAATGATTGAGTATGAGAGCTTGGCTTGAACCGAGCTCACGGCCTTGAAAGTGTACTCATTAGACAACCAGCGACGATCTTGGATCATCATTCGCAACCTGTACGCAAGGCGTCCGAGCTCCCAGTCTCTCTCATCTTCATTGTCTTGAACATCATCATAGCCCGTATGAAGCCGAGTAGCCCAGTCTGTGATGAGGAAGGAGACGGCACTGAAAAGGTATGGGTCGTCTGATAGACGAGCCTGGAGAAACTCTAGCGTGGCTCGGTAGGGTCCGTCCCAGGCAATGATGCTCTCAAATGAGCTCTTTTGTTCAAGAACGTGGCATGCTAGCGCCGCTAGATACTGCGAGAGGCCATCGACGTCTGTGGTTTCGAACGTGTTGGCAGTCCGCTTGACATGTGACCGGAGACGAGAAATCGCTGCGCTCATGGTACCCAGCAACTCAAGAGCCATGTTCTTGGCGGGAGCAGGGGTTTTTGGTGCCTCGAACAGTTGTACCATCATGAGCATGAGAAGGCGTAGTAGCAGTTCGGCGGATGGCCAGTCTGGAGAGTCAAGGCATGTCGTGAAGTCCTCAACAAAGAGGTCTAAAAGATGGCGGTATGGCGTGTCACCCGACTTGGTTGATCCGATGGCGCGTTTCACAATGAAGTTGACGATATAAGAAGCGTTTCGACCAGCTCCTTCACTGAGAGGACCGGCAGCTGCCTCAAGCTCCTGAATAGCAACAGCATGCTGCTGCGCACCTTGGTCATCACTGCTGATGGACGGTATCATTTGGTTCTTTTTGTGCCTCGCACGCCCTAACTCTCCATCGCTTTCCTCGTCTTCATCCATTTTGTCTCCTTTACCGTTGATGGCCTGGAGCACTGCAGCGCGGCCACTTTCATTTTCTTCAACCATGCCAGAGCTAGCCTGAACCAATCGCATGAGTAGCGCGGACACGGGTTGGATGTTTCCGCCTTCTGAAAGTTTGAAGTGTCGTGAACTCTGCTTCCCGACAGGAAGCTTCTCCAAAGACGTAAGAATATCGTCAATGATACCTTGTCGCTGTTCGGGCTTGATCATAAAGATTTGGCAGAGCATGTCCATAGCAACGCTTCGCATACCATCAAATCGCTGGACTCCGACTGCCGAGTCCTTTTCAAAATATGCGTTTTCAACGAAGATGAGCTTGGAGGCTGTAAACTCCAAAGTGTTGAATACCATTTCGGAAAGCTCTACCTTGGTAACCAGTTCTGCAAGTGAGGCGAACAACTTTTGGCAGCTAAGAAAGGTAGATGACACGGCTTTTTTATGCTTCAACACCATTTTGAATAAATTGGCAGATGTTCCGGAATTCCGCAGCTCCACAAGAGGGATGATGATGTCTTCGGTAACGTTTTTGAAAATAGTGACGCACCTACTGATGACATTCTCTGAGTAGAGCTGCTTATCTTCTCGGCCTCCAGATAGGATTCGCAGGCAGGTACGTGCAGCTCTCATCCCCAGCTCAACCTCTGGCAGCTGCTGAACCCATGATTCCATGGCAGCTTCATCCCAACTGTCATCAACACGGATATCCAAGTCCTCGGCAAGCTTCATGCTGGTATCGCTCAGTTTCACAAGTTGAAGAAGACCCTCCACAGGAACTCTACTGAAACACTTAAGTGCAATAGCTTTCTGGACGGCACTCTGGATCTTTTGATGTGTTGCGCTATTCATGATGATTTGGTTGTCAGAGGTCAGTGTCACGACGTGGTCGTATCCCGAGTCCATTCCAAGAGCACGCCCGACCGCCGAAAAAACACTGCGCATGAGCAGCTCAAGTGCTTCAAGGGCAGTGTCAGCTCGCTGTTGCTGATCGAGACTGGCGCTGCTAACAAGCCCTTGGGCACTAGCTGCTAGATGCTGTGCTGTTTTGCGAACGGATAGGTTGTCCGGGGCAGATGGTAGATCTGCAATTTCCAGATATTCGTCTTTTTTTATGTTAAAAGATGGAAGCTCTACCCGGATCGAGGCAGAGTTTTGGTAGTTGGCATCAGAAGTTGTTGAGCCGGCATGAAGTGAGTCTTCTGGTGTCACAGGCAATGTCAAGGGAGGTTGTCTATTCGGCGGTTCAGGGGAACCTTTGGTAGGATAGGAAGATCCAGTAGTGTCAACGTACGCTGACGGATCGAAGTCTCTTCTTGAGGATATCAGCACCTCTATCCTTGACTGGTGTTGTCTTGGTGCCTTGTAATTGTCTGTGGCTGCTGTTGGGGTATCAATGACGCCAGACGATATTTCGTCCTTTAGGAATATCCGGCTTTTGTCGCCGTTGATGCTAACACTCTGAGGACTCGCAAGGTTTGGCTTGGTGGCTTTGAAATACCCGCCGACTTTCTCGTATACCGCTCGTGCAATGGGGGATAGCCCATGTGAGAGACTACCAGGTCGAGAAGTCGCTTGCCCTGTGATGATGGACTTGAAGTGGCTGTATATTCGTCAGCAGAGACACTCAGGGACCGAAACGAAGGGCCAGTATATCTTGTCTTACTAGTGTGTCCTCTGCGAAGGTTTTATCTCGTGCAGAACCAGGTCAACTGCCTGCTTCGTATTCCGCGGCAAGTGAGGCTGCCCAAGCGCCTCTTTGTTCAGTCGGTTGAAGTCGTTTTGGGAAAAGAGATCGGAAACGGATGGGGCCGGTGAGCCAAACCCTATGTTGGGATCGGGAATGATTTCTTAGGGTAGCATCAGTAACGGGTGTAAATGGCGAAAGTTATCGAGCAGAGACGGGATGGCAGCTCACCAGAAACGAAGGGCACAGTCGAGGTCTGGGGAGAGTAAGGAAGAGATTCTTGCAGCGTGAACGGTCGCGAGATTGCGGTTTGCGAATCAGCAGGGCCACTATGGTGGGCATTGAGCCCGTTTTCAGGGTTCTCCATATTGTGTGGTTGCATGTTTGTTGCCAGAATCTTGAGGCTCGGCGACTCTTCAAAGACGCATCGTCGACGCAGGAGCTACAGGCGCAGCAGGAGCTCCCCAGCGTGTCATGGAGGAAGCAGCGACTTTTAAGGCGGTAAAGAGGGGGAAGCAGCGACGAAAAAAAAGGGCGTGGAGGCGCCAAATGCAAGGCCTGGTCGAGTTGGCTGCGCATTCGCAGAAACCAGCGCGTCTGCAATGCGTGCCCAAGTGCTGCGTATTGGGTATTGTTTCCTGAATCTCGAATCACGCGCATCGCAGCCTGGGGGAATCGACAGCCTCGCTGGACCAATCTCCAATGTCGAAAAGAAGCCGGTGGCCCGTGCGCCCCAGCGCCCAGCCAGTCAGAGGCGCTTCCGGAAGCGGTACCTTGCCTTATCAGTTTTTCCGGATTATCAACCCTGCAAGATCTTTTGCCAGTTGTCTTGCATGCCAGTTTTTGTACAGCTGGTCCCACGCGATCCCTCCATTACACACGTAGAATTCGTCATAGTTGCTGCGCTGGCATATTAGACGGGAAAATTTTTAAGCAAAAATGGCTGCCATTGGATCCATGGTGTTCTGCACCGACTGCGGAAACCTGCTGCCGGCGACAAAGGGAACCGAGCAGAATGTGCTTAGCTGCGAGTGCTGTAGCGCCGAAAATAAAGGTTTGGCCCAATTAGAAATCCGAGCAAAAGGTGCTTTGGGAAAAAAGAGAAGTTTCTAACAGGTGATCGCTTTAGATACCGGCGCAAAGGTCATTGTGACCAAGTCAAAGCCGTCTGATTTTCCTTCATTTTTGCGCCAAAAGCTCCAGTCCAGCGTGCAGGCCGTTGAGCGCCATACACTCAACACCGAGAGCACCGTCCGCGAACGATGCCCAAACTGCGGCCGAGAGGAAGTCAAGTACACAACGGTACAATTGCGAAGTGCCGACGAAGGCTCAACCGTCATTTACAACTGCGAATGTGGATACAGCTGGCATGAGAACAATTAAAAGCTCTATATTTTTTTTGCATTGGAAAGATCTATAACTTGTAATATGGACACGAAAAATTCTTACTTTCTTCTATGCTGAGGCGCCGGCCACCTCAGGAATCAAAGCATATTCCGTCTCACCACTTCTCTCAAACTCGGCCATATCTAATGCGACAATGACACTCTCCCGAACAACCTGCTCCTTGTCTTGAAGAAATCGCTTCAGGATTTCTTCGACACCCTCCTCATCTCCAAGGCTACCCAGAGCCTCAGCAGCTTCGTGGCGCACCATGCTGGCCTCTTCCAGGTTGCTTAGAGCCTCTGTCAGGGCAGGGATAGATGCGGGATGTGAAAGCTGGCCAAAGACAAAGGCAATCTCGTGGCGGAACAGTGCGGAGGAGTCGGCGAATCCCTTGGCGAGGGCTTGGACGGCGGGAACGGCAGTTGGGCAGTCTGGGGGGGAAGCGAGGTCGCGGAGGGCAAACATGGCGCGGTATCGCATGAAGAGGGGCTGCTTGAGGTCCATGAGCACTCTGCCAAGCTCTTCAACCGACTTTTCGGACTCGGGCATGGGCGGCGCAGGGTCGATGGAAGCAAAATCACTAGGATACGTTGTTAAAGAAGATGAGACAAAAAGAAAATTCAAGCCAAGTTACCTTTGACGCAGCTTTTCCTGCTTCCTCGCCTCGGAGTTTTCCCATTCAATGCGGTCAATTGCAATTTCGCACGTCTCTTTGACGACGATTTCCTCGTCGGCACGATCTCTGAATTCCCGAAGTATGTCCAGGCTTGTAACATCGCCCAGAGCTCCCAGAGCCTCGGCGGCCTCGTGTCTGCACATGGGATCCTCCTTCAGGTCTGACAGGACATCGCGCAGAGGGGCAATTGCCGCGTCGTTGCCGGTCTGGCCAAGGCAGTATGCGAGCTCGTGTTTCAGTAAAGCCGACGGGGATGCGAAGGCAGCGGCGATGGCTTCGATGGCCGGAAGGGTAGACTCGGGGTCGGTTTTGGCGACATGCTTGAGAGAGAAGAGAGCGCGGAATCGGACGGGCAGAGGAGTATCTTCAGAGCAAAGGCTCTGCCTCAGGCTTGCGACAGTGGCAGTAGACATGATGAAATCCAAATTCTATAACATGAGGGTATCTCGCACAATGACAGGTTTGTACGCTCGTAAACCGAGACGCAATGCAGCCTGTATCAAAAACTTTTAGTGGGGTTGTGCCACCGTAGTGGGGTGACGTCTCGGCGTCTCTTATCGGAGGCTCTTTATCAGATCCCGAGATGCATGCGACGAGACCCAGTGGCTACCTTACCTTTATAGTTCAAACTACAACAGTTGCCAAACAATTAAAAGTGGGGTTTCGTGGTCTAACGGTTATGACTGCGGATTCTGATTCCGCCAGCGAGGGTTCGACTCCCTCCGAGACCTGTTTTTTGCTTTTTGTCGTTGTAGACTGAAGTTTGATTGAATATATGCGTGTGGTGTTGATGGTGTTTAGGTAGACCCGAGCGGTGGAAGGACCCTGAAAGTGCGCCGCACCTGCCTACATGCGCACGCCTAACAATGGGAAAGACCCTGAAAAGTGAACCGCACCTGCCTGTCGCTCTTGCCATCGCACTTTCTATGGCTTGCATGTGATTTTGCTTCAACCAGAAGAGCCTACGTTGCATGATTTACCTGATCTTGAACTTGACCCAGGCACATATGTGACCACGAAGGCCTATCCAATGTACCATCGTAGTAGGCGGGTTTTCACCTACTGCTGCTACTGCTGCTACTACTGCTACTACTGCTACTACTGTTGCTACTGTTACTATTATTGTTAATATCCTCTAGTCTGTTGGAATGCCCAAACAATATGCAGATGCTCAGCGGGTTCTATGGTGTGCAATGTGATCTTGAGCCTCCCTTGCCCAGAGATTGTTTGATTTTGAACTTGATCCAAGCACAAGAATCCATTCCACGTACCATCGCAAGAGGGCGCTGTTCAATTGTTGATACCACTGCTTCCAGCGGGGTTGGGTACTCGCCTACCCTACATTTTCTCTCGAACCAAAATTCAGCGACCTGTTGTCTCTGCTATAAAACAGTAGCTGAGTATTGTAAACAATATATCTTCAACACTTCTTTTGGTGCGCAAAGTCTATGAGATCGCAGGCGCCTTTGCCGCATTCATGCTGTAGGTGGTTTTCTGTATTCGATCTACTGCCCCAAAGCGACGTCCCGATTTCGGCAGGCTTGGATTACCAAGTCTAGCCTACCACTGATGTAAGTCGCATTATTAAGCTTCAACCTTTCGCCAACTTCTTCCAATTCCACACTCAAGTACCAACATCACATCTGCACCTCAATAACGAAGGGCATAAAAGCCCCAACAGGCGACAAAATAACCGCTGCTAGAAAAAGAAAAAAGAAGAAGGAAGAGAGTACCACATCCTTTGATCCTCAAAGAGGCATTGCCGCTACTCTATCACTTCTTCCGCCCAGACAGTCGCCGCAAAGATGGCCCCGTCACTAGAGGAGCCAGAGTCTGTCGCCGACGTCTTCGCCAATCCCCTCAAGCAGAAGCCGCAGCTCGTTGCCCCGGAGCCAGAACACTGCCCAGGCCCGGAATCCGAGCGCGCCGGCACGGCTTCGTCATGCGATGGCTGCCCCAACCAGGCCATCTGCGCATCCGCCCCCAAGGGCCCAGATCCCGACATCCCGATCATCACGGAGCGGCTGCAGCACGTCAAGCACAAGATCCTGGTGCTGAGCGGCAAGGGCGGCGTGGGCAAGAGCACATTCACCAACCTGCTTGCGCACGCCTTTTCGACGAACCCAGACAGCACGGTAGGCGTCATGGACGCAGACATTACGGGGCCCAGCACGGCCAAGATGCTGGGCGTGGAGAACGAGACGATTCACGTGAGCGCAACGGGCATGTCGCCTGTGTGGGTGACGGAGAACCTGGCGGTGATGTCGATACAGTTTATGCTTCCAGATAAGGACGCCGCGATCATCTGGAGAGGGCCGAAAAAGAACGGGCTGATAAAGCAGTTTTTGAAGGACGTCGAATGGGGCGACTTGGACTTTTTGCTGGTGGACACGCCTCCCGGCACGAGTGACGAGCATCTGAGCGTGAATTCATTCCTGAAAGAGAGCGGCATCGATGGCGCGGTGGTGGTGACAACGCCACAGGAAGTCGCACTTCTCGACGTGCGCAAGGAGATTGACTTTTGCCGCAAGGCCGGCATCAAGATCCTGGGCCTGGCGGAAAACATGAGCGCCTTTGTATGCCCCAACTGCAAGGGGGAGAGCCAAATCTTCAAGGCCAGCACGGGCGGCGGCAGGGCGCTCGCGGAGGAGATGGACATTCCGTTTCTGGGATCGGTGCCTCTGGACCCGAGGATACGGATGGCATGTGACTATGGGGAGAGCTTCTTCGACTCGTTCCCCGATAGCCCGGCCTGCTTTGCGTTTAAGCAGGTGGTGAGGAATGTAGGACGGCAGCTGGGGCTGGATGAGAAGACGGTGCTGCCGGACGAATAGAAACGGGAAACCATATTTGCATCATATCGGGGTAAAACAACGAAACAACTAGATGAATGAATGGGCGGGCAATTAGTCAACTTTTGGCATAGCGAACATATTTTTTTCTCTTATTTCTATTTCTATCCGCTTAACTGCTTTGGAATATCTTCCAGATCCTCTGCAGACTCTATATCGATAACCTTGTTCACTTCGGCCGTGTTGCGTATCAGCTCTTTTGCGCCGGCGTAGAGCATCCTTGTTGCCGCATTGCAGTTGATGGGGAGGTAGTAGATCATGGTATAAGGCACGGATAGCCGTCCATCGGGCTGCGTAACAAATCATTCCACGTGTTAGACTGCATATATGTAGAGGTATATATCGAAATGGATGAAATGGTTGCCTCACCATCGTCAAAGGATAGCTCAGGAAGATGAACCGAGGGGTGCTGTCGGGGAGGTCGTCGGCTATTTCGTCGAGGGAGGTGTATACAGTCTTGTCGTCATCTTGGCGGATTTCGTGAGTGTTTTTATCAATCAGATCTGTCCCATGATTGGTAGTTAGCATCTGAGCATAATGTATAGGTATAGATGTAGATACACGCATCAACGACAGCATGCATCCACAGCCCTGAATCGTCCCGCCAGCACGTACATATCACCGCCTGAGGTTTGCTGGCCCGAGATGTCGTCAAGCGAAACTTGAGCAAATGGGACTTTGTCTCGCCAGAGATCTGGTAGAGCCTGGATTCGGATGCCTTTGGGATGCTCGAGTTAGTGGCGGAGGGGCATATCGGCGGGGGACGATGCCGGTGCGAGGGGATCGTACCATGTTAATGGATTGTGTGAGGTCGCAGCTGTAGAGAGTGCAACGCTGAAGGAAAGATGCTGTGAAGAGGCAGCCGCAGCGTAGACCAGACCCCTCGATGCCGGGATTGCGAGACTTGCAGTTGTGGATTTGCTTTGCCGCATCTCCAAGCCCAGCCCAGCCCAGCCAACTCGTCATTTGATCCCTCCACTCCTCTAGCTTGGCTGGAACTGCCCCCAAGAGCTGCCCCGCTATACTGCTAAGCTGTCTCTGTTAGGCCCATTCAGCGGGAATACAGCAACTGAACTCTTCCCCACGTAAGCCTGGACGACAAATCGCAGCGGACTCCAGCCTTGCCCGTGCAAAGGGCCGTCACGGGCCGGTCATTGATTCACTATCGAGCGCCAGCAGCTCGGACCTGGCTCTGCAAATCTTGAGAATTTATCTTTCTATTTCGAATTTCTTCAATTCTCTTTCTTCCCCGCGCCTCATTGAATCGATCTGAACAGCATTATACAGGAATTCAAGCCATTGGCGCTCGTTCTCTCGCTGCATAAATATCCCGTCTCCACCGTTTCTTCACCCATGTTTGCGCGGCTATCTCACGCCGCAAGACATCGCTTACCCATCGCCTCATCTTCCTCTTTCATCTCTCAATCTCTCGTCCGCCCAACCCTCTTCACCTTGAAAATGTCAGCAACCGGTGACCGGACGATCAAGACGGCGGCATGCCTGATTATTGGCGATGAAGTTCTGGGTGGAAAGGTATGACTCAAAGACATGTCCGGCGTTGAGCCGTTTATGTATCGTGACCTGTGCATTGTCCGGGAATGAGACTAATGATTTTTTCTCTTATAACAGACTGTTGATGTTAGTATGCTGGATCCTGCAACGCCGCAGGCAAAATATAGACGAGGGAAAGGGACTTGCGAGTTGACTGTTGTAAACTCATAGACCAACTCGGCGTATCTGGCAAAATGGTGTTTTTCACTCGGGATCGTGAGTATTCACCTTGGCGACCCAATTATCGTGCTTGATAGACGATGCCGGAATTGTCCTGACATTTCTTGCGCTGCGGCAGAACTTGAAACGCATCGAGGTCATTGAAGACGATGAGAGTGAAATCGTGGAGGCCGTGAGCCGAATGAGCAACCGCTATGACTTTATCGTTACCAGGTGAGAGCTTCAGCAACCACAACACTTGAGATATCTTTCATCAGATAAATACTAACTCTCGTCCTAGCGGAGGCATCGGACCAACGTAAGAATGCTACTCTCCCTCATCCCTCATCCTTCCTACTGTTATCTGGCCCCTGAATCTCACATCAACCGCTTCACTGGCGCAGACACGACGACATCACCTACCCATCCATCGCCAAGGCCTTCGGACTCCCCCTCAAGCTCCACCAAGAGACCTTTGAGAAGATGAAGAAACTATCAAAGCCCAATCCGAAGCAGCCGAACTTTGACTGGAACGTCGACTCCCCAGCTCTCAGGGCGAGGCTCCGCATGGTCGAGCTCCCGACAGACGAGTCGCGCGACCTCGGCGAACAAGTCATCTTCCCGCACGAAGACCTGTGGGTTCCCGTTGCGGTTGTCAACCGAAATGTGCACATCCTTCCCGGAGTACCGCTGCTTTGTAAGTGATGACGAATTGGGACCCTTACGCTTCTATTCTCTGGAGGTATAGTACTGATAGGAGCTTTTCGTTTTCGCGATCATGCAGTCCAGAGACTCCTGGATGGATTGAAGCCCCACGTTCTCCCCAGACTAGTCGATCCCGAAGGCAAAGGAATCCATCGCATCATGATATCCACGCCGCTGCCGGAGAGTTCCGTCGCCGAATACCTCACCACGTTGGCGGCTAGAGTCGAGTCTCACGGCGTCAAAGTAGGAAGCTATCCGCGATGGGGCAGGAAGCGAAATACAGTCACATTGGTTGGAAGGTATTTTAATATCAAAAAGATTCCCCTTTTCAATCTCTTTGAGAGAACTCTGCTTGGCGGATCTCATATGGCTAACGGTATACTGCGTAGGGACCAAGCCTATCTCGAGAGTCTTGTAGCTGAGGCGGAAGAAGCAGTCCAGGGCAAGCGAGTTTCCAAAGAGGACGAGCTTGACGAGCCTGCCGACAAGACAGAGAAGAAGCTGTAAACTGGATACAGTTTTAGACAATATTACACACCAACTCAATGGCTGAACATATAAATGACACTTTCCAACGAAAAGATCAAACACGCACTGTCTACTTTTCGTCTCGTGTCTATCTTCTCTTCTCGCTTCTTTACTACTCTTGGGCTAGCTCTCCAAAATTATATATCCGACCCCTATTGTCTCTTTTTGCGGAGGCGAGCTTCTCGTCCTTCAAGCCCGGACCATATCGCCAAAAAAAAAAAACATACTATTCCCATCCCGTATCGAATGTCTCACCCAGTCCCGTGACGAAAAGCAAGGATTTTGTTCCTACTGTGGACTACTCTGCTCTTGGAGTTAAGAAACAAAAAACCCCTTGTAGATCGGGAGAAGCCACCCCAGCAAGAACTCTGCTCTGTGCGCAAGAACGATGCAAGACATTGCTTACTTGTATTATTGGGGAGAGGTGATGCCTAGTCCACTCGTGATGTTAGTGGATTTTGGATGGGATGGGTAGCTCGAACCAACAGTTCGTTGGCCTGGCGCTGTTTTAAGCTCGTGCTATCTTCTCCACGATCACCATCAGCCCCGAAAAGACTATGCGAATGTAAGATACGGCTAACACTGCTACTACCTAGTACTAGTATTTGGAAATCGCAGTTGAGGACTTGGGGTAGATAACAAGTACTTAGGTAGCTGCTAGTTTCAGTTTCAGGGCAGGATCAGATATACTACATATCCGCAACTGGGAACAATATATCCGCCCCCTCTTCGACATTCATCTACACCCTTTTCGTATTAACCGTACATGTCAAAGAAAGATTAAACGAGACCAGTTGCCGGAAGAAATCTTCCAGAAACAACCTACTACTACTAGCCACAAGTAATCCCCTCGGAATCATGCAAGCCAGCATTTATACTTTGGTCTATATAATCCTCCGTGAAAGAAGCTCAGCTCAAAACGCTGATCGCAACCCCCACTTGGCTCATCTTCAACCGCAACCGCAAACGCCATGAATCTGCTAGGAAACGACTAGTGTAAGCCTGGCCCTTTCTAAAGCCCAGAGTAGCATCTCGTCAGCTTTCCAGTAGCAAATGGCAGCTGCCTAGATTGGAATCTGACAGTCTCCTTTGGGGGCCAGATACGGGATCGAGCCAAAGTGGAAGAGGAAAAAAAAAATTCGACGAGGGGGGACGGGAGGATTGAAGCAACGCGGGTGAGCATCTATGTAATTACATGCTACCTACTGGTATTACATGGATGCTGGCATCGATGTCCCATAGCTTGCTGCCGCTACCACAACTTTGAAGTCTTTAATAATAAAGTTTGCAGCTGAGTCAGTGTTGCTGCCCGCTCTGTTCCTGTTCAGGTCTTCCTTCTTCTACTGGCCATGTTCTGCTTTATTGGTGGAATTGAAGAGCAGCGGCATCACTCAATGGATATGTAACACATAATACGACGTCATCGTCAGACTGTACCGAGTCAAAAACTTGGATACTACCTTTTAAATACTCTTAATAGATTTTTAATCATTGAGAGTAGGACTTTGAATTTTTTGCGGATCGATAGTCGTCGGGCTAGGCAGCACAATTAAAACGACTGGTCGGCAAGGACAGCGACCCAGGTGCATCAACTTCAAGAAGACACTATCGACTTTACGAATGACAATCTCAGCTTCTTTTTCTCATCAGCATAACATTACTCGTGCTCCCGTAATACAAACTGATAGTGACGTCTTGAGTCGCAAAGATTGGCAACAGGCCGCCATGGTTTACAGTGCTAGTCTATAGACATAGCATTTTGCCAAGACTCGAAAGGGGGGAATTAGACCGGGAAATGAAGAAAGTTTGGTGGGGGCGTGTACGCTCTTCTCTTATTTTTCCCTCTTCGTTTATTGTGGGTGGGTGGAGTGGAGTCCTTGCTGGCGTTGATGATTGTGGAGAGTATCATTCTAGAAGGCTGATAGAGTGGCACGAGATGGAGCTCTTGGGCTTGAGCTTCATTTCACTTGGGCTCTGCTTTATTCTAGAAAGAGGCCCCGTGCTTGTTCTTACTGACGGCGAACGGGCGAGCTGAAATGAGGCGAAATCGGTAGAGCGACTGTGCCAAGTACGGCGAGGTTTTGTGTCTGCCCTTGACCATGAATGCGATTCGCCGAAAATGGGATCCATGCCAATAGGTAACAAAAAGATGGCGGAGCACGGACGGTAGATTCTGTATGAGAGTCTATACTCTATACACGGAGTAATCTGTGTAAATGACAGTGTCATGTACATCATCCATATAAATAGTCATGATGGTATCCACGGTGAAAAGGATCGAACAGAAAAGTAGAGGTAATGATCAAGGAAGAAAAAGAAGGTACAGACTCGTCTCGCCAAAAATGCTTTGCCGACATCAACGGGAACAATAAGAGAGGGAGAGGAAAAATAGCTACCCCAGATACCGGGTCTGTGCAAATTGCTAATGACGTCCATGCCTCCGTTGCGCCCAGGGGCCTGGTCGTATCAGAAAAAAAATCGGCATTGTACTTGGCCATCTTCAGGGAAAAGTCGCGATCCACCTGCGACAAAGATCGTTCGCTAGTAGAACTAGCAGAAAAGAAGGTCCAGGGAATCGGCACCGGTCCGAAAAGGCCGCCGCAGCGCGCTACGACTTGTCCCTCGATTCGACGGCCAAAAGACTGGACCCGAGACAACGAGGGCGTGGCCGGTGTGGTGTTGCAGAAAACGAAACCCGCCAACGACGAGAGCTGACTCGCTCGCAGTGAGCGCGTGCGCGCGTCAATCCGCACCAGAGAGACCCAATCATGTGTAGCGGCTTTGAGGGCTTCCAGTAAGTAGTACAGCTAGCTGCTGCGATTGATGGCGGTGATGGTGGTGGGCAACATCAGTCACGACGGGCCTCTCTCCGGCTTGGACTGGACTGGATTGGATTGGATTGAATTGTAATACGAGTGCGTGCTTCTCGGTCCCAGCGGCGACGTCGTGTCCAACCACACAGAGCGCCGAGTCTTTCCCGCAGTGCTCCCATGGGGGCGATGGTCAGCCCTGGTGGCTCAAACGCCGGTACGGAGTAGCACTGGGCATGATGGTGTCGCCAGGCTGCTTGACGCCTCGACAAAGCCCCAGTCGAGGCGAGGCGAGGCCAGTAGGCAGCGGCTGCAATATGTATGAAATCGGGTGGCCCTCAGCACGACCTGCAGGTCGCCTTGCCGCCGTCTCAACACCTGCATGAGCTTGATTAAGCTGCGCCAAGGACTACGAATCGTGCTACTACCCTAGTATGCAGTTGCAGTAGCAATACACACTGCTTCTTGTTGCTAAGAATACATACACCCGATAGCCCGCTTCATTTGATAGGCTCATCATGGCCGAATCGTTGCTGCAGCAGTCTGCAAGAGCCTGCGCGAGGCTGCATGATGATGCCAACGACCGTCGATAGATATTTGCCCATGTACTGTGTTTCTCCAGTCGGCGGTAATAGTAGAGCCGGGTATTGAGACAGCATCCTCTGAGTAGGATTCAGACGTGAGACCCCCAAGTTGGTCAAGGCTCTTAATGGCAATCGCCAACCTCATCTGCTTGAAGTCGGGTGTGAGATCAGACAACACGAGAGGAGACTAGACGAGACCGGATTGCTTCAGGCGGCTTTCGCAAATTCGGTGAGGGTAAAATGTCCAGAATAATCATGATCCCACACGGATAGAGCAAGCCGGAGAACAGTTTGATTGGCACAGGGGTGGTTAAGGTGATAACCCCCGCTGCATTTGTCGTGCTAATGAAGACAGACTTGTGCTATTCTGTAATAGTAGCGAACTGCGATGTGTGTCAGGGGCAGCGAACAACGCATTGACCTTTGGAGAAATTTCAATCTATCAGCGGTATTAGTGCTCCATAGCAGCAGCAGTCCTATTCTGTTATGGCGCCATCCGAGAAGCAAAGACCATACTTGACTTATCATATCATGGACAGGTATCATTTCCATGACAAGGGTGGCCGCTTTTTTTTTTTTCTTTTTTTCTTTTTTCCCTCTTCTTTTCGGCAAGCATAATGGAAAACTAATGATTTTAGGTAGTAGTCGCTCCCCCCTGACCGATACACGTACACAGGTATACGAGGATATGTCGTGAGATAGAAAGACTCGGCTCGAGTTGCCGCGACAAGAGACGGGCCGTCTGCCCTTTGGGGTCTTGTTTCTGAACATGGTCGATCGTTGTACGTACGCAGAATTGCAAGCATGCCGTAGAAATGGTAGTAATACCGTCTTGCCTGCCTACCTGAGCAGTGATGGCAGCAGTGCTACTTCATGCGGGTACTAGTAGTAGGTAGTATCACTCGTGTAGCTGTCTTCTGGTATTGCCGGTCGCGACACAGAGCACAAGGGCCTGATGAATTGCCGGACTCGACCGACTGAACCAAATCCAGGGGCCAGGTAGCGAGCAGCGACGCGATGGTAGACGAAGCGACACGACGACGTTGTGCCGGCAGTACGAGCCTTCGCGGAGCACTAGCAGTATTCGTGCAAGTGACAGCTGTAGCGATGCTACGGTGACGAGAAGCCACGTGAAACCGGACATTACCTACTCCTTTGCCCATCTCTGTTCGCCTCTCCTATCGCCTCTGATTCTCTAGCGAGCAAGAGCTTGGCCAATCTTCAATTCAATGCTGAATGACGCCAATTAGGCGATGTGCTATAGCTTCGAGAATTAGTACTACTGGCATTGCGAATACTACCTGTCATGCGCTTCGGCTTTAACGTCACTGTCTGACCTACCTGTTTGGGCTGCCATTGACGGAAATAAGATGGATGAGGTGACATTGAGAGCTGTGTGCGTTCCAAGACGGCGCCAAATCTGAGATACGGCATGCTTCTTTGTGGTGTATTCGTGGAGTTGGAGGGCACTTTTGTGGTGGAAAGATGATAGATGGCTAGGTCTAGCGTCGTGTTTGATAGATATTAAATCCCCAGATTAGATGTTGTCCGGAAGATTTATAGCTGAAGCTCGTTGATGCCTCTA